AAACGCAAACTAACCCTCCAAGAAGGGCCCACAAATCTAGGGCATCGAAGACTACCCAATATCCAAGGCTCGAACCTGACGCTGCAAAGACTAGGCGAAGACCTTCCCAAGCAAAACGATGTGGGGGCACGTAAACATTCCCAGGCTGTGGCATAATCATTATATATAAACTGAATCATCATCGGCAGACGTGCTCTTAACATGGTGTGGAGAAAGAAATCACATAGTAGTAGGTCCAATTCCCTGCAGTCTAGCTTGGGGCGTAGTTACTTCGACGCACCATGAAAGTAGTTCAAAAGGTTAGCTAACGTTCACAGGTAAATTTCTACATGTCCTATTAGTACTCTTTTGTATTTGTGCGGCTTCGATGTTTATCTTGTATTCTACATTCACGACGCACATAGATGTTGCACCTTTGGTAAACTTTCGTGCCCTCTATTTTTGATATTCAAACTCACCTTCCGAATGCATAGGATTCCGTGGGATGTTCCCCTGGGACTAAATATGCGCGTGCATTCTATGTCTATGATATCGGTTGATAAGTAGCCAGAACGAAGGATATATTTATGGGCTTATACAACAGGTACCGGAGAAATGACAGTCCAAGGGTGAGGTTCACTTTAATCACTCCTATTCCAGCTATATTGAAGACAATCTTCTGAACTCGTCCCTCCTGCATCTTCAACCGAAGATATCATAGCTCCGGTAGACCAATTGATAGACGAAAGCGACGCATCACGATACAGTGAGCGAATGTCGCCACGATATCCATTACCGAGTTCCTCCCACTGCGGATGAATCTGTGCAAATCCTGACACAATGACATATTTAATGATACACAGAAACTGGCACAGATGGGCCTACACTTTCCACACCCCCTAGTTGGATTGTAGATTCGCTATGAATAGCCTCCCTGCAGATACCAGCGCTTTGATGTCAGCAATACTGGAGGGCATTCTCTATGGTGAGTATCGCAATGAGTTTCTTCGTTCCATGCTCACATAGCTAGGCTCTCCTCTCTAGGCTTTTCAGTCCTCATGTTTATCGGCACTATCTGGGCCTTGACCTACAAACGTCGGATGCGGGATGTCAATCGCCCAGTCGCTGTGGTGGTCCTCCTGCTATTGTTAGTGAGCACTGCGGTTAGTTTTTCGCTTCTAACATAGTATGATGTTATTGGTTGACAATTCCAAAGCACATGGTCATGACTATCATTCATATCGAAAATGGACTGGTGAAGTATCGCGATACGTGGCTAGGCGGGCCACCGGCGTACTTCGCAGATATTGCGGAAGAGACATATGTGATCAAACACGCGTTATACATTTCCCAGACTGTACTTGCTGATGGCGTGATGGTGCGTTTCTGTGTTGGTTTGCTTGTGAACTTATAGAAATGCCTTGTCTTGCAAAAGATTCATCGCTGTTATGTTCTTTGGCGATCCGTCCGGGTGATCATCCTACCAAGTTTGCTATGGTGTGCCATCATAGGTCGGGTTATAATAATACTCTGGAAGTTGTGTGGTCTGATACTGCCTCGTAGTGACTGGCATTCGCGCAGTCTACGTGAATTCGCAAGCCACTTCCAATCCCGGAGATGTCTTCGCCGTCGAAGATGCAAAGTGGATCATATCATTCATTGCATCGACTCTTACAAGTAATTTGTTATGTTCAGGTAAGCGCGTTGCCGTGAACGATGTCGAGGCCCTGAAAGTGTCCAGGACTACTGATATATCGTATCTGGAAATCTGAACGTCGCGTATCTAAAATACGTGTTTCGAAGAGCACTATGATGCCAATTGTGCGCATCCTTATGGATGCTGCTGTTTTGTACTCTGTGATGCTATTCGGCCTTTTGATTTGTTTCCTCGTCGAGAACAACGGACAATCTGTTATAACGGATATAGTGAATCCGCCGTTTACCTCTTCCATGTGGAAAAACGCTGAGAACTGATTGACTAGGCCGTACCTATCATATCGATCACCTTCTACATGGTGATTATTCGCCTCGCGACCAGTTGTCGACATCACCTCCCGAGACGAACGACCGAGGAGATAGAACAGAGAAACATGCAATATCAAACGAGGCCCTTAGGGGTCCGGATATCCCAATTTACTCAAGATGACAGCACCTCAACTTATAAAGTCGGGGACGAAGACCGACCATCGACAGGGATCGAAGAGAATTAAAAGGATATGTTGTACTTGACATATAGTCATTATGAAATCATTGACATGAATGCCCTACTGCTATATTTCCTCCGGAAATGAATAGCTGGCCCATCTGCTATAGTTGCACATTCGAGCGAGGGACAGGGTGGGCACAGTTTGATTCTTGCAACACTCTAAGCGAGTTCACATCACGCTGGTGGGCAAAGAAACGGAATAGATCTTGACGTGGAAAAGAGGAGAGGTGGAAACAGTATTCATTCCGTCACGCACACGCCGTGTCGAATCATGACTAGCGAGTGTCCAATTGGATACAGCTGCCATATACGCGGTGTATAGGGACTCGCTTATGATGCGGTCGTGTGCCACAAGAGGTTCTAGCCTCTAGCCTTGCGGGGGAACGCCAAGCCATTAATGCTTTGGCATCGTGCATCAGGATGAGCTCGGGAAGTGCTGCTTTTATCGGGGCGCGTCATAATAGGCCGCGTCGAACCACCGTCAGCGCGTTGTGATAAAAGGGCAAGTTGCATAGGAGTGCCTGGGTATTTTCTGAGATGACTTGATGAATCGTGAACCTGCGGTACGCTATTATTAGTAGCGCTCGGAGGTTTTGACCCTATCTTGGGTGACACATGCCAGAAATTTGGTAAACCAAAAAGCAGCAGTTTGGAAACTGTCGAGTGCCTGACCATTGGTTAACCGGCGTTCCAACTTCCCAGAGAACTTGAACGTCGAGGAGTCGTTTCGTATGAGTCACCCTGTCGTGGTCTCGTCGCATGCATGTCGACTGAACTAATTATGCAGGGCGGCACTAGTTAACTTCGTATCACTGTGGGCGCACGGCAAAATCACCTCAATACTTTGCGATTCTTGACCTGTCAGAGCGAGAAGGGTATTCAGCGTAGCCGGAAAAGGTAAACGTAAAGAAGGTCCGCTATATCTCCCCTTCCCCATGTACTACCTATCCCCTAAGAACACCCACGCAAACCTCAACCTCCACTCCAACCCCCCTCGTTCCATCACCCACGAACGCCCCCCTGACCTTCTCACACGCCCACCGTGTAAACTTCAAGACTTCTTCATCGCACAACGAAGACGGGACATGTGGCGAGAGTGTAACTATCAACTGCGGTTCCGGCCCTCTCGGTACATTGGAAAAGGGCGATGAGGAGTCAGAGGGTGAGAGAGTGGATCGTGGCGCAGACGGGAATACCGACGAAAAGGAGGACCCTGGCGCAGACTGTGACGCAGATGCAGACCCTAACCCAGAAGACCTCATCTCCCCTCGTCCAAGCGGACCCACCTGCCACACATGCGGAGCAGGAAGACTCGTGACGTGTTCATGTCGCTCAATTTCGCGGACGACGCGCCAAAAGGACTCCATTTTGGATTCTGGCGTGTTTGTGCCTCTTGAACTTATACCCATGCCTTTCGTGCCCATACCACCCACGCTGCCAGCACTCATTGTGAACGATGCTGCAGGTGCAGTCTGCAATAATACACCACCCAAGACTACACACGCTGCGTATGCGACGTGCGTGGTGATGATGACCTGGAGAGTCGCTAGAGAAAGGTCGAAGGGTATGTAGTGTGTACTGCATGAAGAATTAGCGTAGGTTATGCCATCGAGGAAGGGAATTTGTCTCGTTTGGGAAGGAGTCTTGCAAGCGAGGTGAAAGGTCGTAGCAAGAATGGATGAAGTCGAGAGACAAAAACCCTTGTCGAACAAAAACAAGAATAAGTACTCACACATCCAAAACCATCTCACCCCCCAAAATTGCCACACAAAACAAAATAGGAGGAAGAGCGTACGGGTTCCTCAGTATTCTTTCCCATGGCGCTTGTCCTCTTCCTGGAACCGAGAACGATGGATGGAGTCGGGAGTGCTGAAATAGAGAGAACGGGGATGGGAGGTGTATGTGTTTATTCGTTACTGGTGGGATGTGTTAGTTGGGGTTTAAAGAAGGTAAGATGGAAAGGGGAGAAAGGAAGGGTGCGCATCAGAATAAGTATGCAATCAGTATTCAGAAAGACATCCAGAGGAACATCATTGCAGTACCCCACCAGAAGGAGAGATAAATCGAATGAAACGAACAAAATGGGGTAACAGATGAAACGAAATGCAACTCAGACAAAACAAGAACTACATGAAAAGAAGGGACCAACGAAAACACACCTTTAACCAACACATCATGATGCTCAAACGCAATGGAAGTAGCGAGGAGCGAGAGAAGGACTATGATAACGAGACCGAGGGGGTAACACAGTCTGTGTACGATGCCGTTGGTATTGACGTAGGATGTAGTGTGAGATGCAACGCAGATCCCCCGCACAAGAAACAGAACAACGGAAGACCAAAACCAAAACACAACAGAAATACGAAATCTATCAGCTTCGCCAGATCAAACAAGAAAAAAGAGGACGCACCCCAACATCTCAGGCCTCTCATCGCCCCAATGGTGATGATGTCCATCATTTCCCATCTCACCTGCGCCGTGCAGACCCAGGCCTCGCGTGATACCTTCGACTGTGTTGAGTGATGCATTCAAAGCTAACGCGGAAGGAAGGGAGGGAGAAGGGGAAGGTTGCCCGTGTCCGTGCCCTGTGTCCCTGTCCCGCAGAAAGCAGAATATGTTCGACAGCTTCTTTGGCCACGTATACGCCTGCGAACATGAGGTAGACGCATTGGGCGAAGAGGAGGGTTGTTTGTGTGCGTCTTGGGCTGGGCGGGGGTTAGTGTGGGTGTATAACATAGGAAGGTAGAGAGGGTGGAAAGTTGCGAACCTGAGTAACTAACTCACCAAAAACCACCCTTGCTTCTCTCAAGAAGAGGCCCACCCACTGCGATTCCAAATGCATCGAACACGACCCAATATCCTAAACCTGTACACGCCAGCGACCCGATAGCCTGCCCGCGCACCCAGACCAACCCGCCCAAACAGAATTGCAATATGCATGCAATTTGCGCCAAAAGACCGCCTTTGCTTAGATTCAAAGAAAATTGGGTATGATAAGGCAAGGGAGAGGGTGCAGGGGATTCTGAGCCGGAAGGAGAGCTGGTGCCTGCTGTGAGAACGACCTTGCTAGAGCTTATGCTTTCTCCGCTTTGACCGTTGGTCGCTGAACTCCATGGGGACATCGGAGCAGGGGTAGGAGCCGTATGCAACTCCTCAGGTTTAGTTACCGGTTGTGATTGACGAACAGGGTCAAGGAAAGAAAAGAAGTTATGAGAGAGGGAATGTTTATGATGATGACCTCTACGCGCTGTCACACTAGCTGGTACTGCACCTGCAGAGTTTGATTTGGAGATAGAGCCCGAGGAGCCGAATGAAAAAGAAGCTGTACGGTCGTGCCCGATCTGAAGGGGCTCGCTTTGTGATGCGGGTATATGGAGGTCGGTTCGGGATTGTGAATTGTTATTTGGGGAAGACTCAAGGTCTGAAGTGAGATCTTCAGAGATGGTTGCGTGTGAGCGGGGAAAGAATATTGATAGGTTGCGCGAATGCATCCGGCCGTGTCTTCGGCCGTGTCCTCTGAGTGGTTCTGGCGGGTCGTCAACCTGACCCGGTTCAAATGGATGAAGTGGGACATGGAACGTATTGGCGAGCGGGGATGGCACGGGTGGCATAAACGGACCTGACGATATGCTTCGTACGCGAGTATGCGATGCACGGAAGGGCGAGCTAGGCGGTGAATTTAGAGAAATGCTAGGTGGACGTCTCACTGTTGGTGGACGTGCTGGTATTCCTGGACCAAGCTGTGGTTGTCGAAGACTAGCAGGTGCCGCTGTCAGCGTAGGTGTCGTCGTTGGCTCATTGTCTGGTATGAGCACAAATGTTTCACCATCGTCTACGTCTTCCTTGCTGGACTTTCGGCGGTGCATACTTGCACTGCTAAAGTAATTACGATTCTAAAGAGAGTGGAACGGAGAAGGAGCGGCTGAGTCAATGAATGGTAGTCGTTTAATTTTACGTGTTAAGCGTTTATTCGAATTTGCACATCAACCATCATCATTCAACGTTAATTATGGTGACTCCCTTGACCATAAATCAAAGGTCTTACTCGGCGAGCATCCTGGTGCATGATGCATACCTTATATCCATTCATGCACGATAATGACGCGGTCGACTGGTATTATATCTCGCTGTCGACCTCACATCGTCACGGTGCATCGTGTCCTTTTAGCTCTATGAAACAACTAAGAGTCCGCGTCCTCTTCACATATAGTTACATCACCTTGCAGTATTCCTGCCTTCTACTGTCCGTTTCTTCTGTCTCGGCATGACACAAGCTGTCTACACCAGGTAACGTCGAATCTATCACTTATCGAGAGAAGCTGAATAAAACCGAATTCTTGAAGGTGTTACACATTTCTTTAATAAGCAATACCAGCGCCAGCCGTCTCATATTGCAGAATGGTTATCCGGTCGCCAACTGTAATTTATCCTTGACCGAGAACTTGAATGGTACTAGTGGACTTGCACAGGATAGTCTCAGCAAGAAGTTGTGAGAGGTAGGTCGGAGGGGCCTTTTCGTTCTCATCTTCATGCCAGCTCGAGTGTCCAGTAGCGATTGGCGAGGGCATCTTAATTAGATGCTATCCCCCTTGAAACGTCATGGCTGCGCGCAAGTGTGACTACCCGCGGCATAGTTTTGCCATAGATCCACGGAACGCACAGGGTACCAACAGGTCCGGGCTAGGTCGTGATGGTGCGTTTTATGTGTTCTGGGCCGTGACAGCCAGAGGCAAACCGTGGAATGACCTAGCTGTGAAATTTGAAGCCTAGCATCCTACTCATTATTGTCATCATTCCAGGGATTGTTGCTGTGGTGTATCATGCCCCTCGTCGTGTAGCATAACTTTCGATCATCACAGTGTATACAGCCTCGCCGTAATGATCAGACTTGCTGTCGAATCCTCGTGCGCGCGAACCTGAAACATCACCCCGAACCTAGTGCAGGAGACACCTCGCGGCTGCAAACGACATCATTTGCCTAGCCTCTTTAAGTGGACCCAATAAGTAGAAGGAAGTTATGCTTTCTTTACTAATTTGTTATAGATCTGTGATGGCCATTGAAACACGTTTTGCTATCATGATGAGATCCATCACGAAGCTCCGCCGGTAACTCGATTCATTTTTATATATAACGTGTTTACGAAACTGACGAGGATGCACATACCACTGCACATCCAGTTTTCGAAATGGCTTCAAGTGGTATTCCGTTCGACACCGCCGCTTTGATGTCAGTAGTGCTAGAAGGCATTTTATATGGTGAGTATCGCGCATCGAGTTTTTTCATCCCATGTCCACCAAGCTAGGGTCAACTCACATCCTCAGGCTTTTCATTGCTCATGTTTGTGGGCACAATCTGGTCTTTGACCTACAAACAGCATGTGCGGAACATCAATCGCCCAATCGTCATAGTGGCTATCCTGTTATTGTTATTGAGTACCGCAGTGAGTCCTTCTTGCTTCTTACGTCTGTGATATGGCATCTGCTGACATTCACAAAGCACATTGTCGTGAGCATCATCCGTGTGGAAGATGGACTGGTGAAGTATCGCGACACATACCCAGGCGGACCAATAGCATTCTTCGCAGACATTACGCAAGAAACGTATACGATAAAGCATGCGTTATACCTCCTGCAAACTCTACTTGCTGATGGGATCGTGGTAAGTCCATGTTTTAATCTGCCACTCTAGGCTCATAGAAGTGCCCTGTTTAATGAAAGATTTATCGCTGCTATGTTGTTTGGAGATCCATCCGGGTTGCCATCCTACCAGGCATACTGTGGTGTAGCGTCGCAGGTAAGGCTGTAATGATGCACAGCTTGAGCAAGTTGCTCATGTTGCCTCACAGCCACTGGTGCCACTGCAGTCTACGGTGTTTCACACTCTGCGTCCACTACTAGCATCTTCGCCAAAGATCTTGTCTCATGGATCATGGCATTCTTTGTTTCGACTATTGCAGCTAATGTATTGGGTTCAGGTAAGCTCGTTTCCACGAACACAACGCAGAGGCTCTGAATGTGTCCAGGATTAACGGCATATCGAATATGGGCGATCGAACGCAATATCGCTACAGTTCGCGCTAGTACGAAAGGCACCATGATGCCAATAGTGCGCGTGCTCATGGATGCCGCTGTTTTGTACTCTATGGCACTTATCGCCGTGCTCATTTGTTTCCTCTGCTCGAACAATGGAGAGTATGTTATAGTGGACATGGTAATCCCTCTTTTAATGCCTGATATTGAAGTATACTGAACCACCAACGACTAGGCGATGCCGATCATATCGATTGCCTTCTACATGGTGCTTATTCGCATCGCCATCAATAGGCGTCACAATTACCTCTCGACTGTAGAAACAACCGTCATAATGGAACAAGGCGATTTGCAGACATATCCTATGAAGCCCGTGGAGGTCCATGTACCCCGATTTACGGGCAGTGATAGTACTTCAGCGTACGAGATGGGGAATGAACACTAGTCAGGAAAGTCACTGGCACCTACTTGGACGTTGGTAGAGTTGAGGCCAACATCAGGGCCGAATGTAAGGTAAATGGCTATCCTATCTCCCTTGCTAACGCTGATGTCATAAATTTGATAATGAAGGAGTGACTTGAATCAGACTGGGGAGGAAGTAGAAGCTATTGGTGAATTCGGAGGAAGAGGGAAGACGTCAGGTGTCCGATTTTATCTTCCGAGAGTGGACAGCCTGATAGTTATCCTTAAATTTTAATGAAGGTATTGCAAGCAAGTACAAACGGCTTACGCAAAAGTTCAAGAAATGAGGTCGAAGGAGGTTGTGATTTGCATGGCTTGAAAACAATCATTAGTATGAATTCTCGGTAGTGTACTCATCACATCCTACTGAACAACAATGCATATCATCCTACTTGTATGAACTCAGTCGGGGTAAGGTTAGAAAGCGTTTTCAACCTCACGAAGTGTCTTATAAAGGGACTGTGCGATAATGAGACTGGCACGACAACAGGTTTCCCTTATCCCCTGTACTTTCTCGCGTGCTTGCACAAGCCCGAGATAGACGAGGGGTAATGCGGAGTTTCAATCCACTTCAGCGGTCACGCCCATTTGACAACTTGGGCGATGCACAGTGTAAGTAATGTCTGCCCGTTGATCTTTCAAGTGAAGTTCTTCATCCCCAGGCTTGAATCACCTGTTTCAATTCAAGCACAACGATTAGTCTGCGACTCGGATATGGATGCATCAGCACTCACGTGAGTCGGGAAAATTCATCCATAGGCTACATACAGTACTGATTCCAATCGTGTATATAGCTGATGGCTCAGCAACTCTTCAGTCATCTAAGAATCTCAATGCGATGACGACGTTACTAGCCCCTTATAATGGCATTTACCCAATGAATAGGCCCAAGGCCCTCTTTTTTACTCCATAGCAAAGGCTAAAGCCCCGATAATCAGTTCAGCAATCAGCATCATGCTTGCCAAGTATTCCACTCCTCCACAAGTTGGTGCACTTTGCGAGCATGACACTGAGTGATGCGACCATCATGACTTTGCGAAGAGTTCGATTAGCGCTGTCCAGTCGCGCTCAACTCTACTGGTACCTTTGTCTGCCAAGACATATGCACTCGGCGTTAGAGTATCTTCATCTTCAGGCCATCTCTAGGGTCCGGCAACGCTTGTAGGCGAAGGCATCCAGATCAGATGCTATCTTCCTTGAAACGTCATGGCTCCACACAAGTATGACTAGTCATAGCGTAGTTTTGACATAGATCCGAAGGACGCGTGGTACCGACAGGTACGGGGCTAGGTCATGATGGCGTTCTTGATGCGTTCTGGCCTGTGGGGAAAATAGAGTGGCTTGGCTATGATGATACTTGTAAGGTTCTTGCGCATTTGAATTTTGAAGCCTAGTATTCTACTCATTATTATTATCATTCCAGATGCTTCTGTTGTGGTTTACCGCGACAGTCGTGGAGCATAAATCGATCATCACAGCATAGACTGCCTCGCCGTATCAGAGTTGCTTTTGACACAAATGTGCGCCGACCCAAGACATCCTCCCGACCTTGTGCAGAAGGAGACTAGTCTAGGAGAGGTGCGCCCTGCGGCTGCGATCGACATGATCCGCTAAGCTTCCTTAGGTAGACCGAACAGAAGTAAATGCTCTTTCTTTGAGATCCATCACCAAGCTCCACCTGACGGATTGGTGATATCATATCACATAATCGTTTCTATATAACGGGTGTACAAAACTGATGAAGATGCACACAACGCTGCACATACACATATCCCATTTTTTGCCATGGCTTCAGATGATATCGGATTCGATACCGGAGCTTTAATGTCAGCAGTCCTGGAAGGCATTTTAGATGGTGAGTATCGCACATCGGATTTTTTCGTCTCCAGCAAGCTAGAGTCAAGTCATCTCTCCAGGATTTTCGTTGCTCATGTTTATGGGCAGCATCTGGTCTTTGACCTACAAACAGCACGTGCGGTACATCAATCGCCCAATCATCATAGTTGCTATTTTGCTGTTGTTACTGAGTACTGTAGTGAGTCCTCGTTGCTTCTTAGGTGTATGGCATGGCATCTGCTGATATTCACCGAGCACATTGTGGTGAACATCATTCGTGTGGAAGATGGGCTGGTGAAGTATCGCAACACATACCCAGGCGGGCCGGTAGCATTCTTTGCAGACATATCGCAAGAAACGTATGTGATCAAGGATGTGATATATGTTTTGCAAACTCTACTTGCTGATGGGGTCGTGGTAGGTTCATATCTTCGTCTGCCACTCTAGGATCCTCTGGGCTCATTGAAGTGCCTTGCTTGATGAAAGATTTATCGCTGCTATGTTGTTTGGCAATCCGTCCGGGTTATCATCCTACCAGGCATGCTGTGGTGTAGCGCCGCAGGTAAGGCTGCAATGATACTCAGCTTGAGGAAGTTGTGCGATCTGATATTGCCTCATAGTCACTGGTGTCCATGCGCTCTACAATGTTTCGCAATCCGGGTCCGGTACTAGCATCTTCTCCCAAGAACTTGCAACGTGGGTCATGGCGTTCTTTGTCTCGACAATCGCAGCTAATGTATTGAGTTCAGGTAAGCTTGTTTCCGCGAGCACGCGATGTAGAGATTCTGATGTGTTCAGGATTACTGGCATATCGAATATGGACGATCGAACGTGATGTCGCTACAATTCGCTCCAGTACACAGGGCACCATGATGCCAATAGTGCACGTGCTCATGGATGCTGCCATTTTGTACTCTATGGCACTTATCGCTGCATCGATCTGTTTCCTCTGCTCGAACAATGGAGTATATGTTATGGTGGATATGGTAATCCCTCTTTCACTACCTGATATTGAAACATACTGAGCTGCCAGTATTGAATTAGGTGACACCGATCATATCGATTGCCTTCTACATGGTGCTTATTCGCATCGCCATCAATCGACACATACTGCTCGAACTTCTGGACCTATTATTTACAAGGATAAATTCAATGCCTCGAGTGGTAAGCCTCCCCTTCCCATGCGCAGCTGCCCAGTAGTGACATTGGACTTCACGTGACCAGTAAAACGTGGCACTTTTTCCTCGTGTGCTTACGTAAATCGAGGAAGAAGTGCAAACCAATATTCTTCTCCTCTGCTTCGCAGATGACAGGTACACTGAAAATTATATCAGTACTAATATTGGTATTAGGTATGTCGCTATCGTTCGTTCGTATTACTCTTCTATTTTCTCTACCTACCATGTCTTTGCTGGAGTTCCTTATGGGAACCTCGAGCCGTTGTGCTCTGGCATTGCATTGGAGGCGGTCTTCGTGTCTAGCGTCTTTATAGACGTGAGGCCGTCGTCGACAGTCGCACGATATATCGTTTGTTTGTATCCCCCTTCTTTCATAACCCAAAGCTATCATATCTTTGCCGTACTCCCTCATGGAACCATTGATATCTACTGACTTTGTATCATTCAACAGTCCTGTCTCCTCCGTCTTGCAGACGACACGTACACCGAGAGTTATATCAGCACTATTGGTGTTAGGTATGTCACTACTCTAGAGCCTATTCCTAGCTATCTACTGACGTGGTATCGTTCAACAGTCACCTCTTCCCCTTCGCCGTCGATAGCTGCAACCTTGGAATCGGTCGTAACGCTGTCGCGAAGGTCAAGTCCTTCTGTCAATTCTCATGGTGGTCGACGTGCGAGTTCTCTCAACGTTCCGTCGCCTCAGCAGCGCTCTTCTTCCTCCAGTCGCGTTCTGTTCAATTTCGATGACATCTCAAAGTATGTGATACCTCCTGGAGAGCTTTGTAGGCAGCAGGTTATCTGTGCTACCCGGAAATATCGTGTCATTGGCTTTCCTGTTCTGCTTCCTGGCAATACTTCCAGTACAACGACTGGTTTGTCTTCGAGCGGTCTGCGGATTTAAGTTGCTATGAACCAACAGTTCGCAAGGTCAGCCGTGTCCTAACGGCCTGCGAGGTCAGCTCTTTACCCTACAGTGTACGAAGCACTTTTCCGACCTCTCGGATTAGCCCGAACTCAAAAATGTATCTAGTCCTCGAAATTTGACTGCTTTGTACCGTAGAGTAGCGCAAATGCATTCTTTTGACTTGTAGATTAAGGCTACCTCGTTCGAATATTGAAAATCGAAGGGTTGAAAAAATTTCCGACGAAATTTGAAACATGTTGCAAGAAATGGTATTTATGGGTAACTGAGCAGGTATACAAGCAAGCAGATGGTAAATACAATCTACAGAAGCCCTCTGCTTGCAGTTTCGGCATCCAGTGAGGCCAAAATCTCTGTCATGAGCCCATCCTCCATTGAGATGTCCGAGAGTTTCCCCGGTAAACAGCTGGCCTATTTACAATTTTCTGCTTCTTTCGCTGACACCAGGCTTGATGGTAAGCATTGCTGACGTTCTATAGATAATAGAAATTCGGAGACATTCACCTGTGGTTCTCCATCAGACCCAGTTAAATTATTGTCCTTGGCTCGAAGATTTGCAGGTAAAAACATGCCATAGAGGCTCTGTAGGGCAACAATGGACCCAGATATATCATCTGCCTCAACCTCGCTCTCCCCACTAAAGCCAGGCTCATACTCTGAGTCTGACCCCTGTTCTGGTTGAGGTGATGGCAAAGAGCTGAATTTACGACAGTCGGCTCGTTGCTTCTTTGCTTGAGCAGCTTTCTTTGTCACAGGAGGCATATGGTAATATGAACAGGGTTTCGGGGAGATGAACAGGGTATATGGAGCATGGGGTAAATTTTTTCCGACGGAAAAATTTGAAACAAAATGGGAAATTTCGAAAAATTGCTTATTTTTGCTTGTTTCCTTGTAGAATTTTCATTGAGCAAAAAAATTCGTACAATTAAGCTCCCTATAGAGACGGCACTCTAGTGCTTCGTACACTGTAGTACGTGACAAAACCCTATGTTTACGAGATTGTATAAGGAATTCCTGTGTGATGGTGAGCAAACTCGATGCCTCGCTTCTGAGCCAGTAACTGATGATCTGCTAAGCTGTCATTGACCTCGTCGTCATGAAGTATTTGTTCAACAAGTTCCCTGAAGCCACCTCAGGTCAACTATCAGCTGCTCGCTCGCTCGCTGTATGCGGGCCAACCTTAGCCTCTGTCGCTGTGAGACGGCTCGGGATTCACAAGCATCTGCTTGTCAACAATGCTGAACTAAGCACTGCGATCACAACACACGTTCCTTTGCTTACGTCTCTCTCCCCTGAAGATACTATCAGCAAGGGATGGAAATATGATCCGCCGAAAGCACTGAGTAACGTGCTGGAAAGTATTGTTGGAGCAGTCTTAGTTGACACCCGTTTCGACTTTGAGAAAACAGCGGTCATAGTCGAAGCGGTCATCAGCGATGTGTTGGAAGTCCTCACGACAGATCTTCCTCGCGACCCTGTGTCTGAGTTGATGGTCTGGGCAGCTGCAGCGGGATGCAGGCGGATATCTTTCCAGTGAGTTTCCTGGATATGCTTGTAGGACCCTCGTGACTCTTTTTTCAGGAAGACACAGAGCAATCCCGAGCTCCGGCGAAATGATAGCGTTTCTGTGGTCGTGCATGACGTAGTTGTTGTCGGCCACGCACCAACCTGTCTTTGTCGAAAGGTCTTGCAGCGGAACGTGCACGCACTGTCTTGGCTGACCCAACATTTGACAAGTCTCTTGAAAAGTTGTGCAATTGCATGCGGGACCTGGCCGCTGCCTCTCCCAGAAGTAGCAGAGGCTATCGTCGCTGACGATACCAAGGCTCCCTTGAAGCTCACTGATGAGACCGAAAAGGGCTTTGCTGCCATCGGACGTTGCAGGACTCGGACATTGGTGGGAACAAGAGAACTGATTGGCATTGGAGCTGAGCCCTCCGCATTAGAAAGAAAGATTTGCAAACGAAAAGGGAGCTATCGTCACCGTAGGGCACTCGTAAAGTTCGTTGGTAGATTCTTAATTGTATCTCGAGCAGCGAGCGTACAGAACTCAATATTATTGAAATAGCGTACAATCTGAGCGAGAGCAGCATAACGAACTACCTTTGGCACGACCAGCTGGTCCTACAAGCGGACATGGAAGATAGTGCGCGATAGGAGGTGAGAGGGTTTGAGATCGATCGATCAACACTTAGGGTCGGACGAATCTACCGCATAACTCTCATTTCAATTAAAATCTTGCCCGAAGCAAAACTCTGGAACCGCCGCTTTTCTTTGAAATAAGCTCCACTTGACAGATTAGATTTGTTTCTATATAACAGGATGCACATACCACTGCACATCCAGTTTTCCCAATAGCTTCAGGTGGTATTCCGTTCGACGAGGGTGCTTTATTGTCAGTAGTGCTCGAAGGCATTTTATACGGTGAGTATCGCACATCACGTTTTCTTGTCTAGAGTCAACTCACCTCCCCAGGATTTTCTTTGCTCATGTTTATTGGCACCGTCTGGTCTTTGACGTATGAACACCATGTGCGGTACATCAATCGCCCAATCGTCATAGTGGCTATCCTATTATTTTTATTGAGTACTGCAGTGAGTCCTTGTTGCTTTGTACGTCTATGGCATGGCATCTGCTGACATTCACCGAGCACATCGTCACGAACATTGTTCGTGCGGAAAATGGACTGGTGAAGTATCGCAACACATACCCAGGCGGGCCGGTGGCGTTCTTCGCAGACTTGCCCAAGAGACCTATGTGATCAAAGACGTATTATATTTCCTCCAAACGCTACTTGCTGATGGGGTCGTGGTACGTTCATATACTCGTCTGCCACTCTCAGGGCTCATTGAAGTGCCTTTCTTCATAAAAGATTTATCGCTGCTATGTTGTTTGGCAATCCGTCCGGGTTATCATCGTACCAGCCATGCTGTGGTGTAGCGCCGCAGGTAAGGCTGCAATGATACTCAGTTTGAGGAACCTGTGCGATCTGATACTGCCTCGTAGTCACTGGCACCTATGGGCTCTACAATAGTTCGCAATTTCAGTCCAGTACTACACCCTTCCTCCGCGAAATTGCAAGGTGGATCAAGGCATTCTTGGTCTCGACAATTGCAACTAATGTATTGAGTACGGGTAAGCTTGTCTGCAATCACGCGATATGGAGATTCTCATGTGTCCAGGATTACTGGCATATCGAATATGGACGATCGAACGCGAGGTTGCTAGAACTCGCGCTAGTAGGAAGGGCACCATGATGCCAATAGTGCACGTGCTCGTGGATGCCGCCATTTTGTACTCTGTGGCACTTATCGCTGTACTAATCTGTTTCCTCTGTTCGAACAATGGAGTATATATTGTGGTGGACATGGTAGTCCCTCTTTTAGTGCCTGATATTGAAACATACTGAGATGCCAGCGTTGAACTAGGTGGTGCCGATAATATCGATCGCCTTCTACATGGTCCTTATCCGCGTCGCCATCAGTAGACATCGCAGTCACCTCTTGACTGTAGGCGCGATCACCGAGACGGAATATATAGGCAACATGCAACAGTATCCTATGCAACCCCTGCAGGTCCAACTGCCACAATTTGCACCTAATACTTCAGCGTGCGAAGTAGGGAATGTTCAGTCAGGTGCATTAGCGAAGTAGGTGCGAACGAAATCGGAGGGAGAGCATAAGGGCTTATTCTACGGATTGTATCTTTTGTGAGCGAATATCCAAACTGAAAGTGACGATAGCGGCTATCCTGATTTTTTGAGAAGCTTTAGTAATAAATAATGCAGGCTGAGCGGGCAACAGAGTTTGCAGCATCATGATATATGGCCGACTCGCAAGTGTGAGATGCGGATCTACACGTACAGATGATTCACAAAGTTACGATTTGTTTCGGTCTACCATCAGAGGACAACTTAAGACTGTATTGTGGGAAAGTGCTCGGCGACGGTGATAGAACGTGCTACTTCAAGTTGGTCCATTGTCACATGACACGAAGTTCAGATGTGGCAGTGCTCAGCTGCTGATGATCAGTGACGGCGTAGGCGCTTCAAGCTTATGGAACTGGAAGCCTCAATCCTCGCCACTTTTCTCCCACCTACTACTAGCTGAAACCTGATTGATACGCCTTCAACTACTGTTTCGCGATGAACGAAGATGTATTCAATTCTCGAAGGAGATCTTCGAGGCTACAATCTCCTCTGCAAGTAGAAGCTGCTGTCAGCGATGCAACTGCAGTTGGTGAAACCTTCGTAAGGAACTTTGAAATTGAAGCTTGATGCTGACATATTGACTATTGAGACATGAACTTCCAGGCGACACCTCGCAGTAACACTCGCCAATTGCTACAGAGGGTCAAGAAAGGTGTAACTAGAAAATTTTCTGTAAGTCGATGAGGAGTTGATCTGTACTGTAATCAATCAGGCACTGAGACAATCAATAGTTCTTCAGACTTTCCCGCAGCTACGACTCTGCTCAAGGCAGTTAAACTTGAAGGTGCATCATTATCTCCGCATCCCGAGGTAGGTGCTTGAAATTTCGCTTCAATTTTTGCATTGTCTCTAAATTATGGCGGTCACTCAGCTTCAGGATGAGCATTCTGTTGTGGAAGAAGATGCTGTTCCTCAACCGATAGTCGCACATGTTCATCATACCCTCTCTTGTGTTGATGAAGGCGCTGGTCTCCAATCAGTAGCTACGCAGGTTCACAATATCACCTCTGGTATAGAAGAACGTACTAGTCTCCAATTAGTGGGCGTGGAACGTCGAGCTGCAGATGAGGCCGCAGATCATATGAATATACTTGGAATGCCGCATACAGAAATTGAATTGCCCAGCTTGGACCAATTTACGAGTCAGCATCACAATGTTTCTACCTTACCCGCCACATCTTGCTCGACACAAAGTACAAAAACTATCTCATCTGATTCACTTTCCTATCCGCATCTCCTTGACGAGATGGACAAAGATGCTCGCTCTGCATCACAAGCACACTCATTGAAAGGCGATCAAATACTTCAGACAGACAAGCCCCCTGTGTCCGAGGATGCAGATGATGATGTGTATCTATCTGCAAAATCAGATAACGGAGAAGACTCTGTAAGTATATTTCCCTCGTGATCCTCGTGATGTAGGCTGATATTTCCACGTTCTTTTTTAGACGGATGCAGAAGACTCCCTTCTGGATAATGATGTCCGTGACCTTGTCCAGTCAATCAAATCGATGTACCGGGTCCTGGACTTGGTCAGTGAACGAGGGAGTGGTGGGCTAGGTGACTCCATTTTCCTTTCTGAGCCTTTCTTCGCTGATTGTTCCTAGTGGATAAAATTATCATCGCACAGGACTCACTCCGGACATTCATTAATGCCATCTGTCCTGGTGCATATGTGTCTATGACGAATGTCGACTTCAGCGCGCTCGATAGCTTGATCATGAAGCCCATCGGCATCTATGGGAGCAAAGAGGAAATAGTACGACTCTTGTTGGCTCTTGGTGTCGTCGACGACCACATGTGAGATCGTGCTTTCCAGCTGCAAATTGACATCCTCATAAACCTTTCTTGTAGAGCAGCCCAGCTTGTCGCGAACCACAGCGAGTCCAGTGTTTCCAAACCAAACCTTCGTTCTGGACTTTACATTGTTCGAACAAATTGTGAAGCTACCTCCGACGAACAAGTGTTCGTTGTCTACTGGCCCGAGGATGCCACTTGGGATGACTCAGCTCCTTCATCCGTGAAACGTACTCGTGTAACCTTCATGCGGTTTGTCAAATCCTCCCTGATTTTCACTAAGCATTTTTGACACGATATTAGATACCTTACGACAATATGCGATCAAGTCAAGGCGCTCATCTCCCCTGAGCATGCCCGTTCCATTGTATGGTGTGAACAGGAAGGCGAAAACACCATGGAAATGGACGAAAATCAGGATGAGCACGACAGAATGTTCACATTTGAAGTCAGGAAAACCAACGAACAGGAAGAAGCCATAAAGCCGCGTCCTGGATTCAAGGTTTGCCCAATCGATCGTGACTGGTGCAGTGCTGACAACTGCACGTAGGCTGCATCCAGTCACATAGCCATGCCCCAGGCTCACTCGGAGGTAACAGGGAATGTTGGACCACATAAGCCCTGGTTATTGCACGGCGAGACTACTCAAGGGTTCATGACGAGCAGCTATCTACCTGCCAGGCGGATCACTGATAAGTGGACACGCAAGTCCATTACTCGCCTCCAGTTAAGCAATTGGTTGTAGGTGTTTCTCTTTGTAGCTAGTTCCTGTATTCAAAATCAATGCCTCCTCAGGTGCACCGACAGTTTGCGGATAAACGAGAACTTGGATGTCAACGCATTGCATCTTTTACTGGATGCAGGCCTTCGGGATCGCTTTCCGCAATTATGCAACGAGTGGCAGCAGGAGTCAGCTAATATTTCATCGAATGTCTATGCCTGCAGTACAGCGACACAGGCCGGAACTAGGAAGAAGTTGGAGGACAACTCATCTCTTCTTACTCCCATTTTCCATTGGGCATTGGTTGACGCCATTATTCAGAAATTTCCGTGAGCATCCCTTCCCATCACTCTTTTGTATCTTTAACTCGATCGCTTCAGTACCTTCACCTATGATTCCTTCCCCTACTCTACCAAAGACGAGCAGGGCTGCTATGCAACTCAAGGTATATCATCTGTGCAATCAACGTGTTTGATAATAACATTCTGTCCAGGACCGATCAAACCTGCTACTGCTCCTTCGTGAGTCGCGCTTGAAATAGCCTCAACCGTTTCTGATTCATTTACTCAGTAGCTCTTCCCCTCATTTCATGGAGAGTGTGCAGCATAGCTTCGAGGTCCAAGGTATTATTTATCTGTCTATGTAGTGAAGTTGCGTCATAGTGACAGAGTGTCTAGATCAACTTTCAACTATCGTTGAGCTATATCCAGAAATAGGGGATGAGCTTCGTCACACAGTGCAAAAGTTGTCCATCGAGAAGATTAACAGTCGCGATTTCAAAAGCTACAAGGAACGAATCTATGTCGCTCAGAGCCTACTTCGCCAATTTCCCGACGTCAAGATGGAAGATGAAGATTTTTCAAATGCAATTCTTCACAAGGACATACGACACGTCAGGGAATCCGTCAGGATGATAGGACGAAGTGCTGCCCCACATCAACGGCCAAAGGGATTGATGAGCACCACTTTGAATAGCATTAATTTCTTCATCTCATCTGGGGAGGGCTCTCAGTTCGTCGATAAGACATTCAACGACGCCGAGGCTGCTGCATCTGCAACCAGTGACACTCAATTCCTCGCTGAGTTGGATGACATTGAGAAGCTACCTGTCATGAAAAAGGTCGTCGCATGTACCAGGGCTGCTGCGTTGGCGCACTTCAGGTCACTTCTGATGATGCAAACAACAATTTTGACTCATTCGGCGCTGCACATACAAATCAGTAAATGTGTTGCCCGGGTTCGTCAGGAAGCGCTCAGCAGCGAAGATCAACAACTGGCCCAATCACGAAAGAGGTTAATCGCTTCCTTCAACGCCCATTCAGAGATGGGTTTTCATTCGTAAGTGATTTTGCTGCGTTTCTACCTCACCACATTCATAAATTGGTAGGCATACTTCTCTTATCAATGCCATTGAGGATGGGCGAGGGTTCTTGTCTCTAGCAGCGTCTTCGGTGCAAATAACTGGTTCAAGGGAATATCTTGAGCAACCGAAGCTGAAATTTACAGTCCATCCCATGGAATTGACAGCGCAGGATTTACACTCCTTACAGTTAGATTCGAGTACAATTCCTTCACCAAAGTTCAGGAATTCGTTCACGTTCAAGCTACCTCTAGGTCATTCTGTAGTGTATGTGCCCTTGGCAATTCAACTCATACATGTAACTGACGCACACTGTTAATCCCAGGAGAGCGCAACTGCTTCCAGGCGAGAAGATTTTGCTTGCGACGACTGATCTGTCTGGAAACTTAACGGTGTACCTGGAACACCTCACTGCTATTGAGGGCGCCTTGGCTCACGGCAGTCACGGGAAAAAGCTGAATAGCAACAAGATTGGCAAATTTGTTCTAGCTTTCGATGAGTCTAAGCGTGTGCTCAGCGTTGTTGCCACAGAGAAAGTTCGTTCTACTAGGAATCTGCTAGGATGCGCCTGACAAACCTGTCACCAGCTTTTGCTGCACATATTCATTCACGACGATAACCGTGTCGGTTTCCAGGCCAACGGCAGTGCAATCAATTTGACACAATGGTATCCTGAAGGTACCTCTATCAAGCACGCATGTTTCATATACGGTGGGGAAGAATTGCTGCTCGTTGATACATTAGCACAGGCCAGAGTTTACTCCCTGACGACTATGCAGTTTAGGTCAGGCTTTACGCTTACAAGAATGAAAATATCTAATTTATATATCATAGACCTGCGACGCTCAATCTCATCCAGATTCCAACAGCAGTTTATTCGACTCCAGATGGTTCTTGCTTAATCGTGTCTCATGTCCGCGGGTCTGACTTGACACTAACCGCCCACCACTGGAGCACGTTTGGCTCAACGGATGGCATCCTACTCGAGATCCCCGATCTTCCATTGGACCAGCCACTACTTCTGACGTCACTGACTAGTCGGAATATCGTGCATTTGGTCACACTTGACATTGACACACGATTATGTCGATCTATTGCTCTTGACATCACCCGGAGAGCAACAGAGTTCACCTTCAAAGAAAGGGGCACCCGAGCGGGAAATACAAAATCAGGGAATATCACTGCCCACAATTGCCTCATTGATTGTCACGCCGAAGTGTGGACGCGCTTTCCGGTTCTCAGTGCCATCCAGCGAGAAACAATCACTTCATCTAGTCAAAGGTGTCAGCGAACGCTGGTGTTCATTACAGGACAAGACTATCATAGATTTGTACCGCACTTCCACGATCTTATTTCAACCTTTGAAAGGACGTCAAAGAAGCCAACTGGCAATCTTCTCAAGAGAATTGATGTTTCTTCAACAGCATACTCTGCTTTTCATGATAGTCACCTTGGAGGTGTCGAGTGGAGCGTGTCAAAATTTCGTGCTGGGGAGTGGCTTGCAGAGTTTCTCTGCCTCATTCCTATCCAGATCGCTGTGACAATGGAAAATCGCTTCATTCCGCTCAAGGATGGGGTGTATTCCACTCAGCTGGAAAAGTCCCTTCTCGGTGCGGATGTCAACCGCATCGTCGATCACCTGTCCTTTGGTTGGTATGAATCTTTGTTCCAGTCATACATGGCCAAAAAGGTGCGGATGTTATGATTGCCCTACGATTTGTTAAGCCTATTAACGTCCGATATAATCTCAAGCCTGTCAAAGTCGTTTCATCTATGGGCGAACAATCAGTAGGGAAAAGCTTTTCCTTGAACCACCTCATGGACACATCTTTTGCTGGATCAGCGATGCGTACAACAGAAGGAGTATGGATGTCAGTGACTCCGACCCAAGATGTCCTTGTGGTTGCTTTGGATTTCGAAGGCATGTCAAAATAGTCATGATTGCAATATAACGTGTTGATATCCTCACCCAAAAGGTGTCCATAGTATTGAGCGTTCAGCTCAAGAAGATACTTTGCTTGTCCTTTTCAATACAGCAATCTCTAACTTGGTTTGATGCCCCTTTCACGCTGTAAATGGGCGCTTGACCTTGCTTCATAGGTGCTATTCCGGAATAACTTCGCCTTGAGCCGCGATATTACAGGACTATTTCAGTCATTCCAGTCGAGTGCAACTGTCCTAGACCCAGCAACTAACCCGAATCTGTTTCAATCAACATTAGTGATCATCATCAAGGTGATTTCCCCCTTTTGACAGTCGCTTTTCATATTGCTGAACTTGGCAACTCTAGGACGTCGTGGATTCAGACAAAGTTGATATAGCTAAAGAGTTCGTTTATAATCATGTCCTGATGAGCGCATGCTTAAGTTCACACTTAGGTTCGCTCTCAAGTTTCAAAAGATTGTCCAGGATGAACAAGAAGCCAACTTCATTTCTCGCCTCCACGCTGGACAGTTAAATATAATTCCATGGTATGCGCAGTGTTTCTGTGTGTATTTTCACGATCAACTTTATCGTTTTGTAGGCCGGTGATTGAGTCGCAAGAATTTTACAAGCTGTTTCCAGCTCTTAAGCGTCAATTGGACAAACAGAAACTCACTCATAGTACAGCGGGAGAGTTTCTTCACGTGATGAAGACCTTGATGGCAAAACTGAAGGTACATTTTGGCCATCGTACAATCTGTGAGGGTATTGATTCGAACATCTACAGGCAAATGATTGGGGCGCTCTCTCACGTGCGTGATCTTGGATTCAGAAACAACCAAACAGTTCAGTTGATGAACGATGTACCACAGAATCGATGGCCTCGCATCGAGCACAGCTTCTTTCGGTCATGTTGCCCAATGCTCTGGCGTTTGGACTGCAAGAGGTTGATCCTTGTCCAGAACCTTTGAAGGTATGAAACGCTCCTACTATCTTTTGTTTGACACACAATAAACGTGATGTTTATATAGAACCTGGATGACGGTGTCCCAATCGACATGCCTGATACTGCATCGGAGTTCTCATTAGCGGGGGGGCAGCAGTCCTCTTCTCGTGAGGCCGCTCTGCACGTCCTGTCTTGTGCTTGGAAAGACCATACTTCTCGCCAGCACATGTCAGATGTTCTTTGGGTCGAGAATTTGACTGCTCATATCGATAATCTGATCAATCTGCGTGTCGCTCACGTTCGCAAGTGGATATTGTTGAATGTCACTCGCTTTCCAAGTGAGCAAGCAAGTATTGGCGAGCTCATGAGAACGTTTGGCAGTGCAACAATAGACTTGAAGAGCAACTTGCAGTTGTGCAAGCTGAAATGTGCAAGCTGCGAGCTGCTCTGCATCCAGAGCAGATTGCATGACGGACAGCATGACTGCCAGACTTCTCATGAATGCATACATTCTTGCGATTTCTGTGCATCATCGGGAGAGACCAAGGCTTGTACGATGTCGTGAGTCGTCACCTGCACTTCTCATTAAATGATTAATATGCTTTCAGAGCGGGACATCCAGGCAATCACATGAAAGTTTTTCAAGACTACATCCTCACACGAGCTCACATGAGATTGCCCTTTCTAGGTGTATTGTGAACGCCCATCTCTGTGGTCAAGTTTGCAAACTCTTCGGAAGACAAGGATGTCTAGATGAATGTACAAAGGTGAGATTGATCTCCACCATGGTTAGAAAGGCTCTGAACTCGTTATTTAGGTGATCGGACATGTAGAAGACGATCATCTGTGTGCTGCTACTGTCCATGCCTGCGGTCAGGTATGTTTAATCCTTGGGCAGGCCTTTCGTACATGCTAGAATATGTCTAGTCTTGTGAGCTGTCAAAGTTACGGTTGGCTGATGGATCAACTCCACCTTGCCGTGGTATATGTGGCACTCCAATGTAAGTCATCAGCTATGAACGCTTAACTCCACATTTACCATGTTGTATACTGCAGTGACGTGGACCATGACCAACACCACTGTGGTGCTCGACTTTGCTCTTTCCCCTGCCAACTTTGCAAGAGACTCTGTGCGAGTACGAACCATCTTCATGGCTTGCAGGATGGCGCTATTCATCTCTGCGGGTGTGTTAATGACCATCCAAACTGTGTATCTTTTTAATCTTTAATTACATGACATTATAGGGAGGAACACCCATGTCCCATGGATTGCATTGCCTGATGGCATCTGCGAAATCGAGACTGCGCCACAATCGATAGAGGCGACGTTCACTGGAAGGCATGAGACATTCCAGTACACGAAGGTGGCGTGGTGTGTTTGTCGTAGGTATATTATCAGCTAATGGACAACCCCGCTTTACTGTTTACAGTATTCACAAGGTTTGTGTGCGAGTCGCTTACCTTTCATGCTGGCGTTTACCACCCTCCAAATAGTGGCTAAACGACTAAGATGTGCCAAACCGATACCGCCAGGCCTGGCGGTCCATGAAGGTCAGCACAATCATAGTTTAGACGAAAGAGTGGTGCATTTTTGCAGAGCAAGGTTTGGATCTTTGTCTCCCTCCATAGCCATTCCTTACGTTTTCTTGTGTTTTAAGATGTGAGCACTGTGGCTACTATTGTACATTGCCGCTCGGTAGGTACCATTGATATATCAGCGGTGACGCTTCACAAACCATTACATCAGGTCACCCGCAACAAGAGCACGAAACCAGACATGGATCCATGTCTTCGTCACGATGGGCAATCGATGGCCCAGATGGTACAAGTCTTGAGGTCGAAGGCCGTCGCTTCTCGTCAAATGATGAGGGTGCACCGATGATGTGCAACATTGTCTGCCAGACATTGGGCAGACACGTACACATTGACTACTGTCGATCGCAAGATGCTGCCCCATGCAGATTGAACCCTGAAGTTCTGCATATCTCCAAGAGGATGTCACCAACCCCGGACCGTCCCAAAGACTTTTTGACACACAATCTCTTCTGGCGACGGAGTGGTGAGTTGGCATGTTGTCATTATGTTGGCTGATCTCAGGTCCACAGGCTTCAAAGATCCGTACTCTCGGGAAGAACGAGCAAATTTCGCAAAATGGTAGGTTTTACAATGTGTTGTCTATGGCACTGACCACATTTCCTATTCAGTGATGCCATGTGCAGCGGTGAGGTTATCTTAGTTAGTGATATTAGTTGGTTACTCATTTTCACGCCAGGTCCTGAACACACAATTGCAGAGGGAAATGCCGCTCAGCCCTCTTTTTGTACTTTGCCTCTCTTTCACGTTCCAATGGATCCAAACGCCCCCCTAACGACCCTCGGATACATCTCCAATGACGGGCATTTTTTTTCTTGTAGGAATCCGGTGGTGATGCAGCAAGCATTTCACGTGTAAGTCGTTTTTCTTTTGTTCCATAACATGACCGTTCATCGATGCACGCTAGAATCTTTGTGGCAGATAGGTATTACATGCTACATGTTGAATATTACAACACAGACTGATTATAATGATAGATCTAGCTCCATGCGTTCGACAGATCGGCAACCTCTGAGGAGTACCCCCGTCTCGGACAAAATTATTCGAAGCTCTAACAATAGGTTTGGCGCTGTTTTGTCATCCTTGTACGGCTTCTGGTCTGCCCGAGCTGCAGCAGTCGCTGGTCAACAAGCAGCCAGACGAGACTCCTACAGTGTTATCCTGTTTGATCAGTCTACTGTGGACGCTGTGTTCAACGATTTCTCCAGCTCACCTGACGACTTGCTAGACGCTGTGTTACGTTATCAAACTTCGATAGGCACAAACTTCACTGCTGCCATTCAACGTGCCCAGTTACTTATGGAGCACTACTGGAGCACAGAGAGGTAAGTCTCCATTATTGATCAGTCTACGAGACATTTACATGGGCTTATACCACAGAACACCTGTAATTATATTTCTATCCGATGGCGAGTGCCCCATCGAGGACCAGACCATTCAAGATTTGTGCCGCGCTGCAGTCCGTCTTGGGTTTGTGGTTGCTATTGCATTCTTGATTCACTGATTTCCAGACTTCGAATGTAGGAAACCATTATCCTTCCACTCTGTATCTTTTGGCCAAAATATATATTCTTCCTCATTGAGAAGAATGTTCCAGATCGCTCTAGAAGCCCAAAACAACGCCCCGCGAGACCCCTTTGCTTCTGCGGCAGCTACTGTTGCGTCCACATACTCGGAAGCTTTAGATACGGTGAGCAATTTCATACAACGTCAGATGTAAACCCTGCTTGACATTATTTTGCAATCAGGTTCAACTTGCTGAGACATTCCTTGGAATTGCTCATTCGCTCACAAAGCCAAGAGGGTTTCTCATTAGCGAGAAGGAAACATGAGACAGGGGTAGGAATACAAGAATGACTGTTTTGATGTCTTGACTAGATGCTTCGATGTTCAACAGTTCTACGAGCAGATGTGAAGCTGTATTATATAAAATTAACAGTATTCAATACTGAGTAAGCAGATGAAAACATTCGTGATTCAAGGAGATAGTCCGATTTGCCCGCTACAGATTTGTCACCTCCGACACAAATATGCGTACCAAGGCACCAGAGCGGCCGCCTGCTCCCTGCCATAACCCCGACATCACTTCTGTCCTCGAGAATATAAGCAAGTGCTTAAAAGGAGGAGAGGAGAGGAATCTTGTGCCAGCCAATTGTGTCTCCTGCATGGTGATACCTGCAGTACATTGGGGGAAAGCAGTTCTGAAGTTCGAGCAGTTTCGACGAAGATATTGTGTAGAATGAAGAATGGCTTGCATTTCAAGCTTAATCGTGACAGGTTCGAAGGAGGCGAGCCGTTTTTCAGTATGTTAGGCCCACTACAGGGGTAGCGGAAACTTTTTTTTGCCACCAGCGTCATTTTTGATCCTCACCTGAAAATGAAATGATGTTCCTATGACACAAATAGCATAATGTCGATCAGGGCAATACATGAATGTACACGACATTGCAACGTCGAAAGTTTTGGTGAGCAGGGGAATATAATTACAATAAAACGGACTACATATTGGAGAGCTGTGTGCAAGCATAATGATATGTAGAAGCACAAACAAAACTGGGAAAATACAAAACAAACGACATACAAGACACATTCAATTTGGTTGCAAGTTCGATAGGGAGCCCTTTCCGGACTCTGCTGCGAACATCGATGGCCCGCCTTCGATCCCCATTCCATAAACTGCTTTATTGTCATCACGCGTGAATTTGGATCTATAAAATTGCAAGGGCTGCATAGGATGCTGCAAAGTGCCCGGGTCTGTTGCATCGGTCATCCCCGGGCCTATAGTCGAGAGATGACTGTGTTTTCTGTTGATTGCAACGCGAATAAGGACCATATAGAAGGCGATCGATATGATGGGCGTAACCTGGTAGTTCAAAGTTCAGCCTTTGTCAAATAACAGATGTCAATGACGGAATCACCATTTCGTATATAACAAGCTGTCCATTGTTCGAGCGCGTATAAGTGATCAATGTGGTCAAGAGCGCCATTGAGTACAGAACAGCAGAATCCACAAGCACGCGCACAATTGGCATCATGGTGTTCTTCCTAGAGCGAATTGTAGAGACATCGCGTTCGATCATCCAGACGCGATACGCAAGTAACGCTAGATGTTGTTAGGCCTTGGTACCATGTCCACAAAAATTCGCTCACCTGAACTCAACATATTTGTTGCGATAGTCGAGGCATATAATGCATTAACCCAATGTGCAGGCGTCCCATGCTCGTTTTCATAGATTTGACCAGAGTCACTTTTGATTTGCGAAAAAGTGTAGATTATAGCAACACCAGACACTGATGTAACGTCAGAAAACACATAACTCGTGAGCATGATCGCGAACTAACCTGCAGCACTGCACCACAGCATGCTCGGTACGACGATGATTAAGACTGATTGCCATACAAAATAACATCGATAAATCTTTCGAGTCAGCGGACGGCTGTCTGTGAGCCCAGATGCATTTAAGCTGCTATAAAAGCATGAACTCACCAATACCCCATCACCCAGTAAAGTTTGCAAGATGTATAATGTATTCCCAATCATAAATGTGTATTGAGAAGGATCGGCAAAGAACGCCACTGGCCCACCCGGGAATGTGTCGCGATACTTCACCAGTCCATTTTCAACACGAATGATATTCACGACGATATGCTTTCGGAATGTCAATCCATGGCAATATATATAAGAGGAAAGAAGCGCTTACCGCGGTACTCAGTATGAACAGCAGGATGGCCACCACAATAATTGGGCGACTGACATCCTGTATGCGCTGTTTGTAGGCCAAAGCCCAGATAGTACCGATAAACATGAGGATTGAAAAACCTAGGGAAGTGACTTTAGCTCGGTTGGCATAGGACGAAGGAAATGCTCACCATAAGTCACGCCCTCCAGTGCTAATGACAGTAAGCACGCAGCATCCAATGGCATGTTTGAAGCCATGACAAAAATAAGATCTGCAACTGTCTACAGACTTGTGGATGCACGAAGGTGCGGGTGCATATTTGTTAACCCCACGCATGTATCATTATATAGAAGGACGAGATTATCAAAGTGCCATCATGATAATGGCCCATCAGAGAGAGGTTGATGAAGGCAGTTCCCCGTTACCATGATTAGCTTCGGTTATTCCCGCTACCGTAAGGGAGTTTCATGTAGATCATGATTAGTCCAATTTTGTTGTCGCTCTAGAGTCTATATAGTTGAATCGATGACTTACCGCGGGCTCGGAAAATCACCTGTGATTCACACGTAACTCGAGGTGTTCGCCAAGTAGTGTTGTTGGCTGCTGAGTTTTCCTGCGTTCGGCGACCGGGTCATGGGCAAAACTTGGCACAACTCCCGACTCGCAGAAATGTAGCTTAGGTATAGAGTTTGAATCCAATGGAACGTAAGAAACAACCTTAAAGCAAGATGGTGCAGAATTCCAGGGTCACAAGATAATTCACACGATGGTGTTCTCAGTTGAAATACTTAGCTAAATTCGTTTTGAAACTACTGTGTGTGATAAAAGCTGTACAAGGCTGGACGTGCTCACATGCAAGGTCAGGCTATACTGTGAGTCTGTGGTAATGATACATTGTCCAAGGTTGATGTTATATCAGAGTCTGCCATAAACCATGATGCTATCAGTGATGTATTACATAGACCGTTCCTGTAATGTATCGCCTTCCTGCAATTGCTTAAAGCTCGTATGATATACACACCATTGAACCTGCGCACATCAAGCGCATATGAGTAGTGCATCACTTTCGGGCAGGAGACAGTCTCGAGTTTGGAGCTGTTTGTATCCAAATTCACGAGGATCCCTTACCCTCATAGCAAGTGTGCTGCACGGAGTTGTCACATCGCACACTTCGCAATCCCAAACAGCTGGCCACTATGTAGTGTGAATGGAAACCTAGATCAAGCAGATGGCAGAACTAGATAGGAAAAAGCCAACCAGCACCATGGAATGAGCGACAGTTAATTTACGTCATCGCGCTTATTTACATCCGTTCACCCACTGCACCAAAGTTCAAACGTTCAAGCTCAGTACTACGTGCTCACCGTGACTGGTCTGAGACAGTCGCACTAGATAATTCTTCGTGCTTACTTCTGCCATAATTGCAGAATGCTGAGCGCTCTGAAGGTAATTTCATTTTAGCGCGCGCTTATTTGGACCGAATCCGAGTGGTACATCAAGCCACCATCAAACCCATGATTCAAATATTCACCATCCGACGTGACCGGCTGATGATATCGAGCTTGAAGGAACTCGCAGAACTCCGTCATGACGCCCGTTCTAATGCCTAGTTAAATCCTTCTCAGGCTACACACCCTTATCACACCCTTATATACTTTGTTCAGACTCATACACAATCTCCCCTTCGCCGGATGAGCGAAGAACTTCTGTCTCGCATGAAACGTTCAAGCTCGTATCCTCCTTCAACAGCCTTCAATAATGCAATTGCAGCTAATGAAACTTCGGCAGTACGTGACTCCTTTCTGAAATCTATCGCACTTGATGCTATTGACTCTTGGCATGCTCGTTTCAGGCAATACCCCGTGGCAGAACTCGTTCGTTCAAGTTGCTACTGAAGTTTAAGGATGGTATGATTGAACGATTGTCTGTAGGTACTAGTAAAGATGCTGAACCGTACTGGAATCTGACATTGTATACAAGCGCTTGAAACGTTCCCGCAGTCGCAACCCTGACAAAAATATCAACCATGAAGACCCTTTATCGACTCAGAATATTGAGGTAGTTTAAAACTCACGCTTCAGCTTCTGCGCTCTTGCCAAATTCTGATGGTCATGCAGGTTCTAAAAATTACACCTTTTGCTGCGAAAGAAGGCGTTGTTCCCAAATCAGTGGTCGTGCAGGATCAGAGCACGCCTCCTGATGTGAAAGAAGGAGTTGTTCCAGCTGTGGCCTCGCAGGTTCAAAACACCCGGTCTCATATGAATAACGGTGCTGAAGCCCAATCGGCGGCCGTGGCACTTCAAGTTGCCCGTGAAGACACACATAACCTCAAGACACTTGGCGGACATGAGACAAAAGTGCTGTCCACAGTCAGAGATGGACCAGCGTATCTCAATGCTGCAGGCGATTTCCAGAACACATATCTCAAACCCCTCAGGATATTCGACTCTGTTATTGAGAAAATCGCGGATGTATGAGTCTTTCTTTTGCATGGGGACCAGGCTGATCTTATTCTATAGATACATCCATATGCGAAGATGGCTTTGGGCGCGTTGTCTTGCGCATCAAAAGTATGTTTTGATTTCGGTTTCATTTATATCGCTTGTTCAGTCATTATCGGTGCAGATTGTTCTTGCTCAAGTAGATCGTGATGAAGCAGTACTTCGCCTTGTCGACAAAGTGGCTGAAGTCTACGATTTCATGCTTAAGGAAGAGACACTTGGCCAAATTTCGTCGATGCATGATATCGTTGGCCAGATCTCTCAACAGACCCTTGAATGTGCCCATTTTATTAGAGACTACTCGAGGACCAAGGACTTTCGTGAGTCTCGAACAAAATGTTACGCTTTGCACATTCTGAATTCTCTACACTATCATAGCGAAGAGACTGGCAAAGAACATTTTCTCGGAAACAGATAGTACAATCCAAACGTACATCGACAAGCTGGAGACACTCATGCAAAACTTCCGGGATCAAGTTGATCGGGAAGTGGTAATCTTCGTCCACCGTACTAGTAAGGATTCGAACGTACTTCTGATTTGACAAACACTCATACCTATTCAGCTGATGAATTGAACCTCAGTGAGATGACTTATGCAAAGGGCGCAGGGCTAGATATTGGGAAACAATGCTTACCAGGGACCCGCAAGGACATCATCTCTCAGATTACGAAATGGATCAATAAAAGTGGAGATTCCGCTGGACGCGTGCTGTGGCTATCTGGCACTGCTGGGACGGGTAAAACAGCCATTGCTCACACAATTGCTAGCAGGTTTATTGGCGTGGGGAAGCTTGGCTCCTGTTACTGTTTCGACTGCCATAGTGCTGACCTCCGCCATGAAAAGGTCTTCTCCACCATCGCGCGTGACCTGGCTGATCGTCATCCGCAGATGAGACGAGCTTTGGCGAGTGCAGTTCAAAACGATAATGCGCTCAAGAATACCGTAGATATCATTCAGCAATGGGACAAGCTTCTGACAAAACCACTGGGGAAGCTCTCTGAATCAATCGTGGGCCCTGTTGTGATCGTTATCGATGCGCTAGATGAAAGTGGCAGCGCAAAAACACGGAGTAAACTTCTTCGCATTCTTTCCGGGAAGCTTCAAAACCCGGATGTTCAAGAAATCACGAAACTCCCAAATAACATCCGCTTTATCGTTACCTCACGCCCACTGCATGATATCGATGCCGAGTTTACCAAGGTTCAGCATATTCAACGGATGTCCATGGATGATGACATTCCACCCAAAACCGCAAAGCACGACATCCGCACTTACGTGTCGAAGAAGCTGGAAGGGCTGCCGAATTTTGGGGAAAGAGAGCACGAAGTCCTCGCTGAGAAAGCTGATGGCATTTTCGAATGGGCGCGCCTTGCTTGCGAAGCCATCACAGAACCTCTTCCTGGCTTATCTGCAGACGAGTCCTTTGATGCTGTAGCATCCCGAGATCCTGCCAAGCAAAAACACCTGCTATATGATATCTACCACTTATTGTTGACAAGGTTCATGCAAATGGATAAAGACAATTCGGCAATTCGGCACACGCAGCTAACAAGGTTTCGTTCCGTGATGGGACAGATCCTTGGCGCACCAGAACCTCTCCCTATGGAGTCTCTAAACGTCATGCGATACCAATTTCCAGACCAAGAGCATTACAAAGTGGAGACTATAGTGAACCATATGGGATCCCTCCTCAGCGGCACCACCAATTCATTAACCCCCGTTCGACCCTTTCATGCAACCTTTCGCGATTTCCTCATGGACAAATCACACAGCGGGATTTTTTTCGTCGACACATCGAAGGTACAACACGACCTTGCTTTTGCGTCACTTCGAGTGATGAAACGACTTTCTTTCAATATCTGTGATTTAAAGACATCATATCTCCCTAATTGCAACGACACCGGGCTACAGGAACGAGTCGAAAAAAATATTCCCCCATATTTGTCATATGCCTGTCGATTTTGGGCTACACACGTAAAACAAACAGATTTCGATGCAGTTCTCGCAAAGAAAGTGAGAAATTTCCTTCGCCACGAGCAACTGCTCTTCTGGCTTGAAGCTCTCAGCCTTATCAACGCACTCAACAGTGCAGGTCCCACCCTGTTACTCATTGTCCCATGGCTGAAGGTACGCACAATTACTAATGATAGCATCAAATGAAATACTGACATGTGAGCGCAGGACCATTCCGGATACGAGGATATTTTGTCGACTGCAATGGATGTACAGAGATTCATCCAAGTCTTCGGCAATATCATTTTGTACAGCACGCCACATCTATATGTATCAGCGCTACCGTTCTCACCCATCAACTCAGTGATGTCTAAGGAATTCGCTAAAAGATTTCCGCAGACTCTCCGTCTGCCAGCTGGACAGGATAAGGACTGGACAGCTGTTCAGAGCGTGCTCCGTGGACATACGCAAGGGGTTCTATCAGTCTCCTTCTCACCAAAAGGCACTCGCATCGTGACTGGATCTGAGGATAAGACTGTCCGGTTGTGGGACGCAGCAACTGGGCAGCCAATTGGTCAGCCGTGGAAGGGACACGATGGTTCAGTTAATTCAGTTGCATTCTCGCGAGATGGAGGTCGTGTTGTAACTGGTTCTTCGGACAGCACTGTCCGGCTGTGGGATGTAGAGACAGGGAAGCAAGTCGGTCAACACTGGGAGCACCGTGGTCCAGTTAATGCAGTATCATTCTCACCCGATGGAACTCGCGTCGTAGCTGGTTCTTCAGATCACACTGTCTGGTTGTGGGTTACAGCTACGGGAAAGCCGGATGGTGAGCCCTGGCAGGGGCACAATGGTTCAGTGAACTCGGTTTCATTCTCACCGGATGGGTCTCGCATCTTGACCGGTTCTTCGGACAACACTATCCGCCTGTGGGATGCAGTGACCAGACAGCCAGTCGCGGAACTCATGAAGGATCACACTGATTCAGTTAACTCGGTCTCATTCTCCCGGAATGGGACTTGCATCGCAACTGGTTCTCGAGATTTCACAGTTCGGCAGTGGGATGCAACGGGGAAGATAGTCGGTCAGCCATTTTTGGGGCACACTCGTTCGGTCAACTCAGTTTCATTCTCACGGGATAGCAGTCGCATTGTAACTGCTTCCTCGGACAAGACTATTAGGCTGTGGGACGCAAAGACAGGGCAGCCAGTCGCTGAACCCTTGCGGGAACACAATAGTCCAGTCAACTCAGCGTCATTCTCACCTGATGGCGCTCGCATCGTGACTGGTTGTTCGGATGGAACTGTCTGGCTGTGGGATGCAGTGACGCCGCATCAGGCCCGTCAGTCCTTGTTGGATCACACTCGTTTTGTCAGCTCAGTTTCTTTCTCTCCCAATGGAACTTATATCGCAACTGGTTCTTTGGACACCGGCATCGTCCGACTGTGGCATGCGGTTACAGGGCAGCTAGTCGGCCAGCCTCTGGAGGGACACACTTCCTCGGTTATATCACTCTCATTCTCGCCAGACGGGACTCGCATCGTAACTGGTTCTTGGGATAAGACTGCTCGGTTGTGGGATGTAGAGACAAGGCAGCCAATTGGTCAGCCCTGGGAGGGACACAATGATTCGGTTAGCTCGGTTGCATTCTCCCCAGATGGAACTCGTGTCGTGACTGGTTCTTCGGATAAGACCGTCCGGATGTGGGATGTAAAGACGGGGAAGCAAGTTGGTCAACACTGGGAGCATCGTGGTCCGGTGAACGCAGTATCATTCTCGCCCAACGGCACTCATGTCGTGACTGGTTCTTCAGACATGACTGTGCGGTTGTGGGATATGGCTGGGCAGGTAGTTGGTAAGCCCTGGCGGGGGCATTGTGGTTCAGTCAGTTCAGTATCATTCTCTCCTGACGGTACTCGCGTCGTGACCGGTTCTTTGGACAAGACTGTCCGGTTATGGGCTGTAGCAACTGGAGAGCAAATTGGAAAGCCCTTGCATGGTGGCACTCATTCCGTCAACTCAGTCTCTTTCTCGCCAGATGGGACCCGTATCGCGGCTGGTTCTTCGGATCACAATGTCCGACTGTGGGATGTAGCAAAGGAGCAGCCGGTTCAAGTTGGTGAGCCCTTGCGGGGGCACACTGGTTTGGTTAACTCCGTCTCGTTCTCGCCAGATGGTACTCGCGTTGTGTCTTGTTCGGTGGATGGCACAATCCGGCTCTGGTGTGCAAGAGATATAAATTTTCCAGAGCGCGCCGTGAAATTCTCCTCCGACTCTTCTCGTGCACTCTGCAACACTGCCGAGTTAATCACAAACACCTCCCATGATGAGCCCAAGTCGACCCCCTTTTTGTTGAGAGATGACGGATGGGTCGTTGGACCAAAAGATCAGCTCTTATTCTGGGTACCACCCACTTCCCGACAGGCATTTTATAGTCCTTGGAATGCCTTGGTCATACCTACGGGATATGTTGAGCTTGATTTGAGTCGCATGGCACATGGATCACAGTGGCAAAATTGCAGAGGTCCCACTCGGAGAACTACGAAGGAACGGTTATCTTCCCTTGGTTCGTCCGGCTAGAGAAGACATGTCACACGAGTGAGTACCTACCCTTTCGTCTGTGGCAGTTGTTAAATCGATATTTCTAGTTGTACGTCTCATTCCAACGATTGATATGTGGAGATGCTGGATACAATATGATAGTTTTGCATATGATAGTTTTGCATGGTCGAATTCGTTTACTATTATAATTACCTATCCATGATTGAGACAGGCGCCTGTGCACCAAGTGAACGACTTCCAACCAAGTGACACCCATCACTTCCCTCTTATGTTGTAGGGCATGAACTGAATCACCAATGAAGTTATGCGGTTGCGCGTGTGGACGGAATCTCTGATATGTTTTTTGATGATCATAGTGACTCGGAATTGGAACACAAACGAGCTTAGAACACTGGGTCGGTGGACTGAAGAAATTCGGGCCTGATGATTGTGATTGCTTGACGTATGTGCTACAGTATAACCGTATGATGTGCATCTGAGAGATTCAGATGAATGGGAGTACCATGAGAATGACGTGTGCAAGGACACCCTGGGCCACGGTGGTCAGCTTGAGGGACTTTCGATGGTCGGGGCTTCAGGCTGTCGGGTATCTTGACCACTGGCATCCATGTGGTCCACTTCAGCAGAAGGTCACTTCAAGATGAGAAGACACCACAGGAAGGTAATATGATGGTATAAGCGAATTCTGTCCGGTCATTAATAGATTCACGAGTCATACTTGGTAGTAGTAATCATGATGACCATCGGGGTCCGCCGGGAGCCTTCGGACATCTCCGCAGCAATTCGAAACACGACAGGGTTTGGCCTTGGCCTAGTCTGACTTCGGCTCTCACTTGAATTCGGGCTATGTCCATCACAACCTGCCAAGTTATCTCGCGTCGGGCCGTGTCGGCAGTGCCCTTTTCTCATCCTCCACATGGTCACCTCGGTGTAGAGGTCTTCCTTGATCGCTTATCTGTCTGCGGTTTCCCGACCCCGCGGCAGCAAACAGAAAGGAGCGCATAATATACCGTTATACCCGTACTTGTTCATGCTGGGCCATCATGATCAATCATCCATACGGCGCCGCGTCGAGTTACATGTATGCTAATGTGGTGAGTTTTCATATTGCTCGAGCATAATGTTCTCAGTCTTACGGTTCGGGAATTCTCTCAGGACCATAGTTACAGCCAAATTTCTTATGTGTCGCCTCCCCCAGATCACCTGTACAGCTTCGTGCCGGTAGGCCGCCTCACTGTCCTAATCAACCAATGTTGACATTGCAAATCCGTAGAGGTTTTCAGTCGATTCCGTGCCCTGGTACGGGGCCACTGAGCACACAGCTACAACTCCAGATAGAAACTATGACCGACAAGATTCTTTGCCATTTCGATGGACACTTCGGGTATGTATCCAAAGCACTCTATAGTACCTATTCTTAATACAATTTCCCCTACTAGGACCGTACTTGTCGCTTGCTGAAAGGAGTGCAGTCGAAAGTGAGGAGTAGATGGCGGCCACTTCATTTACGATCCCTGTTTTTACGCCCTTGTCACAATGATGTCCATGATGACCCAGGTGAGTTTTATACTGGCTATATCTGGCTTCGTCTCTCATTAGACATAGATGTATATTTCTGATTATTTAACGATGCTCTTGAACTTCGACTGTTATATTTATCCTTTTGCCATACCTGGCCGCTCAGCGATCCTGTTTACCGGATGTCAATCTCTTCGAAGTTTCAATACTGTTTTAGGGAGATCTTTGAAACGACGGTGATTCAGCTAGAGCGGTCCAGTCAATAAGCTACATTCCCATCTTTTATGTCTTCGTCTGAATGATCTGTCGGGCCATTGTATGTGCCATGATGCCATGTTCATCCTTAGTACGTTGTATTGTTGTCTTCAATATTGTCCCGTTGCCCATCCTCCGTAACTATTGTGATGCAGACGGCATTCAGGAGGGCCACACTGATAGCGTCGTTCATTAACTGGGCACAAGCAGCTCTATCTCCCGCTCCCTTGTATTTTCCATGCCCTGTCTATGATATCTAATGCTTTTCTGCACTCCATTGTCACAGCTAGCGCCTAGAATTCAGTTCGATATCCGCCGCGCGTCTCGCATCTCCTCTCGCCCGTTCCTACTTAGTGCGGCTCTCGAAGAAGCACACATTGAGACTAGGCCTACGAATTATCGTGAATAACAGAGCTGGGCCTGTGTTGTCCCAAAACACCTCAGATTCTACGAATACATTTTGTGCGCTCTCCTTTCCACGCCGTGCACGCGCACTCTTGTTGATGCAATTCCACGTATATGTACAGGATGGCCGTGCCTTCGCTCAACTGTGCGGCATGTCCATTAAAATTTCGCGGAGCACACCAAACCTCTGTTTCCCGAGGCTTTAGATCCAACACGTGAGATTGTCCCGGAATTCTCCTGAGAGAATGTCGGAAAGTGAGTCTTGTATGCAGTGTGTATGCACATTCTGACATCTGCGTGATAGACACGGATGTCACGTTTACCGAGGGGGGTGGGTATTTTTGTAATGGAGATCAATGAATACTAATAGAGATACAGACATTCTCAAGCAGCGGTTCTCGGGTAAGAAGATGGCTTCAGTCACCACCTCCCCAGACGGAAAAGGCAAGTGCATCCAAAAATACTACAAAAAGGCACCCAAACAAGCTGCAAAGGAGGCATCAAAAAAGGCTTGCAGGGATAAGGTCTGTCACTATCATCACTGCCTGATGTTCCCTTCTGAGTCTAAGTTCTTATTTTTCCTATCTGGACCCAGCTAACCGAAAGTCGGTCATCGACCTTCAGATGACGCTGCTCTTGAAAAGGGAGACGGAAAGCTGCAGCACATGGGTCCGATTCTGATGCCGATGACGTTACGCAAGTGAATGAGGTGGATATCGATACCGTTGCGACACCGTGGTTTCCATGGCTAAACCAGAGAGCATCGCGGCTCTCCAAGACAAATTATATTTGCATATGGCAGCTCTCCAACGTAGTTGACAAGGTGATAGAGAATTAGGAGATAAGGACGAGCTTTTGGAGGAAAGGAGAAGGATACGTGCCGCGCGCTTCGTTAAAAAGACGAAAAGAGACGCAAGAGATGCGCAAGGCAGAGGCTGAAGGTGAGAAAAGGGGGCAAGAAGGAAAGGGTTTTACTGTCAAGGTGTTTTGTATCTTGCAAGGTTCGAGCTTGAGCTCATCCTCAGTGCTTCACAAACAGAGTCAGCTACTTTTTAGGCGATGCCAGTTTACAGTTCTGAGATTTCAAAAAGGGGGACGTTCTTAGGTCAGTCAATACAGCACCAGTGACTATCAAATTCAAAGAGGGGACAGTTATGACGTCTTCGAACCACGAACAGTTTATATACCGCTTGCCTCAAGTCTCCTCTCTAGTCTTCTCCGACTTCTCGACATTTATTACACTCGCACTCAACGCTTATCCACCGCTAAACTCACCATGTCTTCACCTTTTACCATCGATTTTTCTGGTGCGTCGCCTGGGCTATCGGTGATGGTCAGTCTAACTCGTCTTGATTCTACCTGCAGGACGATGCATCATTGTCACTGGGGGAAACCGCGGCATTGGGCTCGGGTACAGTGAAGCTCTCGCTAAGACTGGTGCCCGAGTGGCAATTATCTACAGGTTAAGCTTCGCTACTTCGCTGTCAACAATCGCTAATTATTGCGCTGTTAGGAGTCACAAGGATGCCCCTAAGGTCGCTGAAGATCTGAAAAAGAAATATGGCGTCGAAGTCAGGGTATGTTAGCAGCCTGCTTGTGGAAATGCCGTCTTCACATAGACCCCTATCCTCCAGGCTTACAAGTGCGACGTCACCAATGCTAAGCAAACCGTTGAGATGTTTGAGTACATCAACAAAGAGCTCGGCCCCGTCACAGGTCTTGTTGCAGTGAGTAGATCTGTTTTCGCCAGATTGTTTCTTACGATCGGTTTGATCACAGAATGCTGGCGTTTCCGTCGTGAAGCCTTCTCTCGATCTGACCACGGAAGATTTCAACTACGTGTTCAATGTTAATGTCCTCGGCGTGTTCAACAGTGCCGTGGCTGCTGCAAAGTAAGGTCTACCATGTATCTTGTGAAAGCATAAACTCACGAATATGGCAGGCTTTGGAAAGGCAAAAACTTGAAGAACCTTTCGATCGTGATCACGTCCTCCATGAGCTCGCAGATCATTAACCAAGCTGCGACAAACGAACCCTTGACGCAGGTGTTCTACAACTCTTCCAAGGCCGCCGTCTCCAACCTTACAAAGGGGCTGGCTGCCGAGTGGGCTGGACAGAACATCAGAGTGAACGCAGTTTCTCCCGGCTATGGTCAGTACTTTTTTTCCATGTCTCAAGCACGATGTACTGAAAACTTCTATCAGTGAAAACGGATCAGACCGACACTTTGCCTCGCGACGTGATCGAATATGAAAGGAACCACATTCCCTTGCAAAAATTCGCTCGTGTACGTGCCAACATGTATTGTATTCTATTTCGATTTTGCTGATTCTACTTATTTTATCAATTATAGCCCGAACAGATCACAGGACAGGGTCTCTTGCTCTTGTCTGAGCATGGGGATTACATGACTGGCGGGGAGTATTTCGTTGACGGGTATGTCTGCCGGATTCGCACATCATCAAAACTCTGACAAGACTCTTCGCCACACTTCTCTAGCGGCCAGCTTATCTGGTAAATTCGCTTGCTATCGCAAAGCAGTTGTGATCGACGACGTGGTTGGATGATTTTGTAACAGATAGATGTAACATTTGTAAAATAACTTCAGACAAAGCCATGCTGCTGTAAAGATATTACGGAATCAGGAAGGACCGTGACAAGATTGACCAAGTTCGCTCTGAAGTAAATGCTGCCGAGATTCATCTTATCATCTAGGAAGCGAGTGGACGATTGAATGGCTGTGGTGCAATAGATTGGGTTCAAACTCGCATACACATTCGTCCGTGCCAAGCTTGGCATTTTCTGTGCGACATGTTGACATCAAATAAGAATAGGAATAAACATTACAGACCAATTAGTTCGCGAAAAACCAACCCATCTTTCTCGCACTGCTTTTTCTTTATACTGGTAAGGGCAGAGGAAAAGAGTCAAACAAATAATAACATTATCGACAAATCACCTACGCGAACACGCCGTGAGATTACGCTGCCGATGGCCATGACGGCTGCGCTCGCTGTGAATCCGATAGCGACTGGTACAAGCGATAGCAGCATGTATTGCGGTTGGCCACGATGATTCTCAATAATGTAATCGGCGATTCCAACAGCAAAAAGAATAGATGACCAGAGGGCGAATATGACAGGGCTGGCAACTGCAATCGCAAGCAAAGCTGAGTTGATGTAATCACCGCCTTTCACTAGCTCTCCCATGTCCTCGTCCGAAATAGAGAATGCCTGGATAGGGAAGTACTGAACAATGAAAAGACCACAAACGCTCAGCCCAGCTGCTCCTAGCCAAACAGAGAAAGCGAGAGGGGGTGCGGGTGGTGAAATCGCGAGAATAGCCGCATTCATAGTGGCGAGGAATGCGAGCTGTACAAACACGGATTTATGTGATATATTAGTGAAGATCATGATGACTTGTTTGAGCATACAGCTTACCGTGTTCGACAATCTATCCCACTCTGCTTGCTGATCCACACGCCAGCGATCAACTGCTTGTAGGCCGGCTGTGTCAGCGGCCTCTGCAAATTCACGAAATCGGGAAAGATAAATGCGTCCCATTTGGAGTAAAAAAACATTATCCAAGATTTGGAGACACAACAGATAGAATTTGGAGAGGGGACGAGACATCATCCGAAGCACTGCTGGTGTGAGGTGCTCAATACACCTCAAACTGGAGGCAGAATGGAGCTCCTTGAGGGTTCATTTCAACCATGTTTATGCAACGCGAAGAAGGGCGTATGCGGCTGTACATGACACAGGAATGCTCAAGGCTGTGCGCGAACACGCGGCAATTGTGAGTAGGATTTGCTACTGATATATGGAGCGACAGCTTTCAGAGCATGCCACACCATGAGCACTACCTCATTCAATATTGATTCGGAATATCGCATCGATGATTTGTGCAAATTGGTCTTGGGAAATTTAGAGTATCAGCAGGTGGGGGATAGTGGTGAGTTCAAAATAAAGTTTTTTTCATTCAAGACAAATAACAAAAAGACGGGACTCCTGGCACTGCACCTCCTGTCAAAACCAGCGCCTCGAAATATGGCAAGGCACTAATACACAAACTGGAATTGCTCAAGGACACTCGATTCTCCCACTGGCGTCACGAGTTTATTGTCCTTACCCTGACTTACGCAAGTGAAAGGCGTGTGCTTTACTTGGAACATTCTTGGCATGGCGGCGCAGGACTAGGAGAACGGATACCCGTGACTCTTAGCAGTCTTTTTAGTAGTCAGAAAGGCAGCGCGGATGAAGCAATGTTCTATAAACCGAATGATCCTCATGAAGACCACCGGAGGAAATGCACCATGACTCTCCTCGAAATTCAGTTCTCTGATCATCCTACTCACAGCCCTGTCACTCTTCATTCCATCGCCCGAATTCTAAGGCAAATGGGGACGAAACATAAAGCCTATGCGTTGTTCAGTGCCAATTGTTGGGCTTGGTCTCGAGGCATTGCTATGGCCGTTGCCATAGAGTCTAGTAGCAACGTTGAGATAGTGACCATGTCAGGGAGGGATGTGACGTTGCACCAGCTCAAAATTTACCTGTTGACCGAGTATGGTGCATTTGGGGGTTTACTTTTGCATTGCATAGGTACATCTCGTGCATTTCAACGCACTCGGATCCTGACTGATAGCCTGAAATCTCAGAGAAAGGGAGGCATGACCTACGTTGGCACGAGTATTGTACTCTGCGATTTGCTTGTTTCCTTTATGGCTTCATTGACCTTGGACTTTGGTTCAAACATGTCATTTTCGGTCCTCTCAACTGGGTACTACGCGTCAAGGAACTGTGCATTTACAACGACCGGACGACCGACATGAACGATCAAGACCATACATACACCCTACTGCCGCCTGATTTCACAGATTTATTCCCTACATTTCCGGGTATCTCTACCCACACTCTGGGATCCAGATTCTGCGGGCCAAGTAAATATCTATATATTCTGGTTCCTCCAATTGCAACCCCTGGAGCAAGAATCACATCAGTTCATGTATTTCTTTATGGCACTGTGGAGTCGGAACCAGGCCAGGAACAGTCAGCCTCTGTTACCGAAAACACTCTCAACAGAATGGAATGGTTTCAATGTGCTATTCTTCGGCCAACACCGGACGGAAGACTCATCGAGGTATCTGAACCTGCTTGTTTTTCACTCAGCGTACAGTTTCGGAGTGAATCGGGGAGGCGATCGTATGGTGCTGTACATATCATGGAACATCATCATCCATTGACTCTGGGGTTACGCCAAGGGGACTTGATAGCAATATGGGCCCTCGGAAGAGCTGGCTTTATCCACAAACCAGCAGGCGCTTGGATCAAGGTATGTTGCTTCATATGCAGTAATTAATGGCATGAATGAAAGGACACACATTTAGGTTGTGACGAATTACCGGCTCGGAATTTTAGATTGGCTGGTTACGATGCACGTGGCGAAAACGATTGCAGGACTTATCCTATACCCTCGTGGTCATACTTGGCTAGAGATTGTCATAAAGTGTTGCCATGAACTGAAGTACCTGTTTATTGAGATTCCGTGGTGTTTAAACAGTTTGTGAGTCAAGCTCCCTTACGATTTCTCGTCTAATTGATCGTTTCCCTATGAAATGTAGTTGTAGTGACTGGCCATGGTCCGCAATTAACATGGCAGCATCACACTTACTTTCTACTGTCACACCGCTCCAGCTACCTGAAGATAACGGTGACTCGGACGAGCACCCAGTCGAAGTGACATTGTCCAACTTCATAGAACAACTTCTCTCACCAAACGGCGGAAAAGGGTCGCCGTTTTGTAGAGCTATAATACACTCCATCTCCTTCGCACAAGCTGAGATTGACCTCTTCAAGATCATCGTTCTGCTAGTCACCCTCGATAATGTGAAGTATTATGTCCATATATGTCATCCCAAAGACGAGGAATCTCTCTGGCACCATTTTATCACTTCCCTGTGGAGCTCTCATGGGCTTATGCAGGATACAGTGGTAATATATCGACAAGGAAAAATGCAGAGAGCCGCTTGGAAAGCCTTGGATGTCGATTTCACAGCCGAGTTGTCTGATAGTGACACTGCAGCATCGCAGAGTATTCTCTCGGTCGCCTTGCATTTACGCAACTTACGGAACAATTACTGGTGGTATTTCTGGCTGAATGAAAATTGGCAGTGGCCTATATTTATCGTGAAGGCGATAATGAAATGTTCTGGCGAGATTGTCCGTCTGCAGCTGCAATGCGACGAAGAGCCGCTGCAGATTGACAAGTGGGAGCAAACTAACGACTTGCTGGGAGATAAGGTAGAAGGTTGGATACATGCGGAAGGCAGAATATATGGTGAGTCTCCTCGATATTAGTTATATTTTGTTGACCGCAGACATAGGGAATGGAATGAAGGATGATATACTTTTCTTGTTTGTGCATGCACGAGCGCGTTTCTTGATATGGTCAGGCATACTAATCTCTTTCTTTCTTCATGTTTACTATCACTTCTAATCTCTGTAATGAATGCCACTCCGCTGGCTACAGAATTCCCTTTGTACCGATTCCGAGTGCTACTCTGCCGCCTATGGAGTTCCCATTATACCGCTATCATAGCCATTCACCTGATATAAAAGCCTGTTCTTACTTTCCCGGTATCTTTAGTTGATAAACTCCCGCTCGCTCATCTCTCATGATCGGTCAATCCACGTCGAACTCACTAGCATCTCATATCAGGCTTTTGCTAATCAAAGGCTTTTAACGTTGACGTTAAAGCTTGAAGCGTGGACTCGGCCCTTTCCGCTGCTTAGTCAGTAAGTCGTCCGCAATGTATTGAAGTTAGCCACAATTGAACCGACATCGTCGTCGTCCCTCGCTGTAGCTGTCCTTGAAGCCTCAAGTTTGGGCTTGACTGGCGGATGTATGAAGCTAATATCCGCTGATGCCTCTCCCAGGATGTCGCTGTAGTACTGTGAATGCAAGTGACTGTAGTAGTACAGCTCTACAGTCCACACTGTATTAGGTCACGGGTGAGCTTACATGCATATATATATATATAGATCCATCCATCTGACATCATACTAAGAAGGTTCACCTGGTCAGCAACTTACATCCCCAGATACTCCAACAACGTGTTGCACAAAGACATGTCAGCCTACCAAAAGCTTGCGCTATTACTACGTGCACACTCCTTATCCTTAACTAATGTGAGTACATATTAGGAAGGCAATTTCACCGCGGTTCACCGCAATTGTGACGGTTCTTGAAGCTCGCCAGAATGAAAGTTCGAGATCTGGGACCTCCTTACATCTCCCTTCCTCCGACACTACATACATCTCATAGACGTATGCAACACACCATGGCTTCGAAAGGTTTTACCATCGACTTCTCTGGTGCGTCAGCTGCGATTGTGCAGGCATTACCCTTCAATTGACATTGTTTGCCTCGCCGTAGAAAAATGCATCATCATTCACTGGGGGCAATCGCGGGATTGGATACGCATATAGTCGTGCTGTTGCTCAGGCTGGTGCACGAGTGGCCATTATCTACAGGTTGGCCCTAAGTTGGGCATCCATATGTCAAGGATTTTTCTGAAATGAAATGCGTCTTTCAGAAGTTCCAAGGACGCGCATGAGGTAGCTGAGAAGCTTGGAAAAGAATTCGGCGTGAAGGTCAAAGTATGTGAGATGTTTGGTGGTTGACTCGTTGGATTAACCCTTTCTGTTTATTTACGCAGGCTTATCGATGCGATGTATCCGATGCAGACAAGACAAATGAAACGTTCTCTCTCATCGACAAAGATCTCGGTCCGGTGACAGGACTTATAGCAGTGAGTGGAACGCTCTTCAGCCATTTCATTTCTTTGAACCGAGTGGCTTGGTATCACAGAATGCTGGTGTCTCCGTGGTGAAGCCTGCACTCGAGCTGACCAACAAGGACTTCCATAAAGTGTACGGTGTCAATGTCCTTGGTGTATTCAACAGCACCAAGGCCGCGGCAAAGTAAGTTCCATCATGATGGATTTTGGAAAGCGTGAGCCAAACGGATATGGCAGGCTTTGGATTGACAAGAAGTATGGCGGTTCGATCGTTATCACATCCTCCATGAGCTCGCGAATCATAAATCAAGTCGCGCCAAATAAACCATTAACTCAGGTCTTCTACAATTCATCCAAGGGTGCTGTGTCCACTCTCATGAAAGGGTTGGCTGCAGAGTGGGCTATTCATGGCATTAGAGTGAATGCGCTGTCCCCTGGTTATGGTCTGTATCTTGTAATAATTCTGTTGGTTTTAACTCGTTGAACATTTGACATCAGTGAACACGGATCAAACCTCTGGTATGGAAACCTGCGTCCTCGAGAATCAAGCAAGGACCGTACCGCTCGGACGCTTCGCCGAGGTATGTACCAAGTGATTTTGGTCCGACAAGCGCTCACCACCTCAAAAGCCGCATGAGATGACAGGCCAGGCAGTGTTGCTTCTGTCCGATCATGCCAGCTACATGACGGGTGGAGAATATTTTGTCGACGGGTACGTATGGTATGATTATTCTGAGGCGCATTATTGGGTTTTTGACGCCTTTTTGAACTTTGAACTTTAGTGGCCACCTCATTTGGTGAACTGTCATGTGCTCAAGGAGCGATGTGTTTGAGTGATTGTACGTATTGGGATATGACTTCAAGCGAGCGCGCAACAGGAAGACTCGGACGCGGAAAAGTTGTCGCAGACAATTGAATTATGACTGTAGCAGCATTGAATGGACCATCGATTCGTGGACCTATATGATCAACATGCATAAATGGCGGTGCTATGCGCCCAATTAATTGGGTCATCAATATAAGGCACTGTAGACGAGTGGTAAGGATCATCGCAAGCAGAGAGATCTGATGAAGGTTGTCAGTATGCTATTTTGATGATTGACGGTTAAAAGAATCTGACATGCTGTAATAGCAGAAGGGGAGAATTTCAGTCGTGGCTGCAATTCAAGACCACAGCCCGCACTTTGATGAGCCGTTAGAAGCAATTGAACCTTTGGATAGCATTTCATCCCAAAGCGACTAAAATCGGTCTAAAGAACAAGTCCTCGTCCACAAAGTCCCTGCGAAAGTGATTGATCATTTTGATCATCTCTAAAGAATCTGCGTGATCTCATCAAGTTCCATACCGAATGGCCCATCTCAATTTAAACCTCAAGGGGAATAACACCGCGGTCTTGCGGGGATGCTACATGGGTGCACTGTATGCGGAGTCCTCGCAAAGCTTGAGCCCTCGGAGGATCCAAGATGGTGGGTTCAACGTTCATTCGCGTCAAGTCTATGACCACGTCCGTGGATCAAAGCTATCTATAAACCACACCCCAGCTCAGATGGCCATTCTTTTCACTGAATTCTTGGCTGGAATAATAACGTGCAAATAAATAAGCGGCGAACACGTTTCCTCTATTATTATATCACACAGCCAGGAAAGAGCGCTTTGCATGTGGGCTTGTGTCATTCTCGAGGTCATCCGGTAAGACGTCGGCACGGGTGTGTACACTTTGCTGCAATTGAACCTGAACACCTCCATGCGGGAATGACGGAGAATAAATCTGCAGGTCGCTATTGAATGGCCTGGAACCCACACGCGGCATCCATTGATTGTTCCGCGAGGAAGAAACTGTGCCATTGGCGCGATAGGAATCACCATGAGATAGTCCCATACCGACGCGGACGATAACGGAAGAAAACTGGGGGAAGGATGCACGTGAGAAAGGGCGGAAGAAACAGTTGGAGAGAATCGACATACCACAATGCCCTGTGTCAGACGTAGGGTGAGCAAATTGGAAAAATGAAATATACAGAACTTACGATGATCGGTGACATCTAGATTAATATGCCGTCAGTTCAGTCTTTTTGGAAGGAATGGCTGAACTTACTGGATTCAAAATGATGAATATGGCTGCGGACTTAGAAGTATATGTTACAATCATAACCACGAGCAAGGCTGAGTACACAGAACCTGTTGGTGCATGAACACATATCAGGGAGTGTATTGCTAGATTTTTTTTTACCAGATTCAATCATGATAGGCACCAAACGAGAGACCTGGTCCCCGCTACCTTTTACGAAGTGCGCAACTGCTTTTTGGATCTTCAAAATTTTGAAGGCAATCAGCACTGAAATGCGAATTCAGTCCAGACCCAAATACAGAGTAAAAAACAAACATGTGCAGATCACATTCATGGCCAGAGTAATCGAGGAAAATATCTTGACGCGAACGGAGAGGGCATCGGCGAAGACATTATCACCTAGAACGACAAAGTTCAGAGTGTATACCCATAAAACACCGATAACTATACTACATGTTAGCCGCAGCAGTGGGATGGCAGAAGGAGACAAACCAATATCCGCGATAAACAACAAGAAGGGGAAGGCGCAAATGAGGTAATTCCTACCCCATAGAATAAAGGAGCGGTATAACTGCAGAAATGCTCAGATTTGAATAACAGCAAGTTTAGAACTCGGATGCGTACAATGAATGCGTCGGACACTAATGTAACAGCGACATACAGACCACTCTTTAGAATGTTCTGCCAAGTGTTAAATGTGTCATAATATCTGGTTGGATAATTTGGCACTGCCTCGTCTGTGGTGAAAGCCTGCATGTTGCGCAGAATGTCGATGAAAAGGTGCTAGAGAGTTATCTATAAGATACGTGGACAATGTTGAATCGACGAGACCCGTACTGCTGTGATGAGGATGAACAGTGAAACTGCAGTCCCAAGCAAGTAATCACTTGGTCGCGAATGCCTCTTCCGTAGTACAAATATGCATTGAATGAACACCATCAGATATACACCTAGGCAAGGATCAGTATGGGACACACCATGATATAGAGATGGGAAAACAACACCATATGCCAACGACTCAATGAAAACGCCGATAAGCTCAGCTGTCGAGATTGTCAACGCCATGATACCTCGAGTTGCCTGCAAGTCGATGTGAGGTAGGTAAGATTGAGGAACTTTATATAGATACTCTCGTGCTGGCGAGTCTAGTAACAAGCGATCGGTTGCACGCACCACAATAAGCGCTATTTCTCGTAGACACACGAAGCAGTAAAGTGAATTTACTCTGTATTAAAAGCATCTGATCAGCACAGACTGGTTTAAAGTGTGAAAGCAGATTACACCCTTCGACTCATAATCCCACGCATAAGCTTGCAAGCAGACACTAGTGCGGTCATAAAGCTTTAGTGGGAAACATCCGCCAGATCATGACATTGCTGGCACCAGGCACTTGGACAATGCTATTGCGACTATCATCAGTGATCGCTATTAAGCAGACGTGGCATGTAGACTCGTAACCAGTCTGGTGAGAATTTATTGGCGTAGTCGTAGTCCGAAGAATTGGTCGGTCTCGGCAGGCGAAGCGAGGACTTTGAAATTTGGTAGATGCCCGTATGCCGCTTGTCAACAACGCAAACTCTTACCGTGAAAAGTACAATATCCTCTCAAATACAACAGTACATCGCGCCGGAGCACAAATCATTGATTAGGACAATCAAAATGATTCCATTCCATGCATCATACCCACCCGTGATGATGTATCAGCAGCCTGAACTTTTGGCTTGATCCTTCCAGCCTCGAAAAATTCTTGCTGTCCTCAAAATACTTCATGGATTGCGGATGACAGTCATGGACCTCATGTTGTATTCAATCTCGAAAAGACCCTCCAGGCAACTTGGAGATAAGGTTTCTTTCCAAGCAAGGCACTTGTGCGATTTCTGAATGTGTTGGAGTGTGTGGAAACGTTGTGTCTTTAGCGTACATGAGCTCGCTGCAGCAATTTCAAAGGTGTGACAGTGATAGCTCTCTTGTTGGAAGAAAGGAGTAGAGGGATAACCATAGCAATGCCAAGGGTCTTTCCAGAGCCTGTCGCAGCTCGAAGTACAACTTGAAACCCCTCTGCCACGCCACTCGGACGCTGGTCACGAGCCTACGTGGCACTATGGCTTGATCAGTGGTGCGTCAGCTTGGCCGGGGCTCGATTTTTCGCCTCTTGCCATTCGCATTTGCAGCTCAAAATGGAGGCATTTTCCATTTGATGACTCTGTCTTTGTATCGGTGTTGACGGGAGGTGCGGCGGGCATTTGGATGCGAATCTGAAAGCAAAGTATAATACATGACTCCTTCAAGAAACGTGCCACCGCTGCACCACATACTAAGTGCTTGATAAGTTCGAGAATATTTTCGAGTGGTTGCTCAGATTATACACCGTGAAATGAGTCCTTTAAATGAGCTTCAGTTGGATGATGAGTCAATGTGAAGTCCCATCGATGGATAAATCCGACTCCTTGACTTGGTACTACGATGTCGATTGCCTTCGAAATTCCAGGCAAACGTATCTTGTCTAATGATCAGTTGACTGCGTTTCAATCATCTGCTACTTACAATACCATCACATCATACATCGAGGTTCTAAATGCTTCTGTGGTGGGTGTGAAGCTTACCGACGCATACTCGCTATCTCTGGTGCGTTTCCTCCTCGAATTTCATCATTGTATCTAATACATTCTTCTTGCGTAAGTTCAGGGGATAAACGCCATCCTCCGCCTGTTGGATCGAATAGAGCAACTGGCTCATGAGACTCCCCCGGTTGAGAACAAGGCATCAAGATTTGGCAACCCAGCCTTCAGGTCGTTCTACGACAAAGTTCAGACTGTTGGTCTTGCAATTCCTCTCCCTTCATGTCTCCTACTTATGCCGTATTCAAGCTGGCACCGTCGTTGCATGCTGATCTCCCCGGCCTAGATCAAAATGCTATACCCGAATTAACTACCTACTTCTTGCAGGCTTGGGGGAATCGAGAACGCATTGACTATGGGAGCGGTATGGAGCTGAATTTTCTTTGCTGGCTGTAAGTCTTTTCATGTTTTTAATTCGCTTGGTCCTCATCACATCTCACAGGATATGCCTAGATCGTCTGCAGGTTGTTACCGCAAGTGATCACACTATGCTTGTTACTTGTGTGTTTTGGAGGTGCATTCTCAAAACAGTTATTTTGTTCATTACTCATTCCTCGTAGATATATTCAAATCATGCGCATACTTCAGTCAACGTATTGGTTAGAACCCGCTGGATCTCATGGCGTTTGGGGTCTCGACGATTATCATTTTTTGCCTTTCCTCTTTGGTTCTGCACAGCTACGAGGCACGTCGCAATCACCTACAGAGTGCAACAGGTCCTGATATTTTCTACTTACAGGACACAAGTTTGTACGACCGAAGGCAATACATGATCCAGAGATCGTAGATGAACTGTCGAAGGATTATATGTACTTCTCTTGCATAAAGTTCATCAACTCCGTTCGTATCTTTCATATCGCATGTTTAGCTGCGATCTCAAGATTTGGATATAGATTAAGACAGCCTCGCTTAGATGGCACTCGCCAATGCTGGATGATATATCAGCAGTGAGTATTGCGGCCCTCGGTAAATTGACTCGCCTGACTTTTTGTGTAGGTGAGAACTTGGGAAAAAGTTAACTCCGGAATGATCAAGATGTATCAAGCAGAAGTTTTAGGGAAGCTTCCTGTCATGCAACATTTCCTGTTTGGATCTATTCTTCCATACGAAGGACCACCGCCTCCATCTTCTGATGAATCGCATCACGGAGGTGGTCACGTGCACGAAGGATGGGGCGATTGTTGTGGTATACCCATACCTAGTGCATTTGCGGCAGTCCAACAGGAGCGAGAGCCAGGAAAGAGGATCGAGGGACCAGGCATCCGTCCTGTACCGTTTGATTGAAACGGAATTTGCGAGGGTGGTTTCCAAGTCATGACAATGCCTCCATCACAAACATCGGTAGGTAACCTAGGTTCAGTGCTATATAAATGTGATAGCAGTGCTCACAGACAACCTGGTCGGCGCGTGAACAGAAGTTGCATTTTCCAGGTAATCGGGTGTGTGTTCTGGTGCGTTTATGGCCGAGTCGGCTTCTTTCAGGCTGTCTGAACATGTTTTATTGGGGACGCGCCGCAATGTATTGTGATACATTCATATCTAATCCATATTCTTGTTTGACTGAAAAGGTACTGCGCGAAACTTTACTTGCAATGACGGCTGTCGGGAAGGCGCGAGCACCACCGGGAAAGGGTTATACCACAGCCCTACATATAAATGAATGAGCAAAAATACAAGGGGAAGATACATCCGCACTCGGAATTCGGTCATCATGGCAACTAGTCGTTCACACTTTTCAACTTTCTTCCAACTCGACAGCTACCACCTAATGTTGAGGACTTCACAGTACGCTCACACTTTGCAAAAGTTCATGTTCCTCTTCCTGGCATGCATTGCCTTAGCGCGCGTTGCAAATGCGCAACGCGTTTTTGCCCATTTCATGGCAAGTCTTTTAGAATCTTTGACTGTATGTCAGGCTGTTGAAAACCTTGTTGCACAGGCACAAAACTCTTATTCATACGCCGAAAGTGATTGGACGAATGATATGACAACCGCTCAGAATATTGGCATCGATGGCTTTGGTGCGTTGTCTTATGTTTCTTAAGCTTTCGATCACTCATGTAGTACGCCTCGTGCCTAGCATTGAACATTGCCGCAAACGACTATGAAGTTGACAGAATCGTCGATGCATATTCAGCTGCGGAATCTTTAGGCTTCAAGCTCTTCTATTCTTTTGATATGTCATACACTTGGCAGCAGAGCGATATGGTCAATATCGTTGCCAATCACTCGTCGAGTCCAAGTACATTTCTCTGGAAAAATACTATACTTGTATCGACATATTCAGGGGAGAGTTATGGAGAAGACTTCTGGGCTAGCTTCAAGAGCGCACTTAAGAGCCAAGGCATCGACATCACACTTGCACCCGCGTTCACAACTTACCGTGACCCTTCGAATGCTACTTCACTCGTGTCTACGTTCCCCTCAATTGGTGGGTTCTTCAATTGGTGGTCCTGGTAAGTAATGTCGCAAAGAGAATGATGACCCTCCCACCAAATGTATCACTAGGCCTGCCGATGTTCATGAAAACTTAACGACAGCTACAGATTTAGCCTACAAATCAGCTGTCTCGTCGCTCAGTGGACCGTACATTATGTGTGAGTAGTTTTTCCCAAATCTTTGTGGCTTTCATTGAAATTCAGTTGAGCTGTCTCGCCTTGGCAGTTTAAGAACCTCGATGGCGCTGGTGATTGGGTAGAATACAGTGACACTCTCTGGAACTACCGCTGGCAGCAAGCCCTGAATGACGTGAAACCTGATATCGTCGAAATCAGTGCTGTACCTTTGTTATTATGTTGGTCATAGCTCATCGTGCTCTAGTAAGTTGGAACGATTATGCCGAATCCCATTACATCGGTGATATCAATCCAAATGTAACCCCTCATGCCGTCGTCGAAGTTATAACTCTAACATGCATTTATGTAGGTGTACCTTGGGACACAAGCCCCACTTTACGTCGATGGTTTCATACATGCTGCTTGGCGAGATGTAGCTCAGTACTATATTTCATGGTTCAAGACTGGTTCTGCACCGACCATTACGGTGAGCCATTTGCTAAATTGCTCTCCAATTTGATGATCTGGGTTTTCTTTTATCGTATAGAAAGATGAAGTCGTCTTCTGGTATCGTGCATGGCCGAAAGCCGTTAGTTGCAGTACTGGATCTCTACCACGCAATGCTGCATACCCTGAGGACGCCGTTTTTGCACTCGCGATGCTCAAAGACACTGCAACTATCACGCTTGCCATAGGTAGCAATACGGTAAATTTCACCGCTGGTCCGGGTGTGACCATGGGTTCTGTACCATTCCCTACAGAGGATTCACAGATACCCTATATCGCGATCAACAAAGATGGCACAACAGTTGTCGACACCCATGGCTCGATGTATGTTAATCAAAGCGGATGTACGTACTACAATTTCAATCCTTTCGTTGGGAGCGTTGCAGAGTGATGTAGAATACAGCCGTAGACCACTGTATGGACAACCGTTTGTTCTATCGTCTCTACCGAATGACGGACTACAGCTAGATTTAGTGAAAACGTCGACTCATCGAGTAGCAAAATGGCGCCTTGATTTGGGCTCGCACAGATCAAGGTCCTCGTCACTAGTGTGCGGCGTCTAAATATCTTCATGCTAATTTCGTAACTAAAACACATGCGGGTTATAATGCAACGTCCAATAAGAGGAATGAAATGTGAACCCAACAGCAGAGCAAGTAAAGAACGTCCTATGGTATTAAAAGAAAGTCAAAAGAGTAGTCGACCCAAAGGCATTCCCTGTCGCATAAGTGTAGTTCGTAATTAGATCTACCATCGAAACATAGCGTTCTGATCGCGTTCTGGTATTATGTAGGAGTCTGTCCGTCCGTCTCGTGTCTAAATACCACCGTCCTATTTCATGCTTGTCTCAGTAGTACTCGGTCAATCGCGGCATTGATTGTCGCCTTTCGTGACGTCAAGTCCATCCCAAATTGTTCTTCGAGCTGACGCCGTATCTCGCGCTTCGTCACGGAGTTGAGGTCGGCAGTGCGAAGGATCTCATGGACAGCATAATCAAGTTCAGCATCACTAGGAACGCCTGGTGCCAAATCCATGTCCTCATGACTGCGTGTGGTCGGTATAGGCATTTCAAGATAGTTCGTTGGCGGCCGCGATGGCATGGGTTGGTACAACATGCCAGCGTCGCTCATGGGCCGCAACTGTGACATCGGTGTATTGCGACCCGATTGGTATCCAGGGGGTGGGATCATGCCGAATTGTGATGGTGCAGGTGAATGGCCACGTGGCTCGTAGTAGGTCTCGCGGCCGTACAACGATGCAGTAGCTGATGGCGCATATCCTTCCTTGTGGAATTGATTGGGAGGTACCCACGAGCCAATACTGTGGTTCGACTCCTTGTCCCAAAGCTCGTTTTCCTGTAAACTAAGATCAGTAACATGACTACAAAGAACTAACACCACTCACATAATCATTCCAAGATTTAAGAGGAATGGCACGTGGGTCGAACTTGCCTTCGTCCTAAAGAAACTTCATCAACATCGTTCCAAATAACAAGGACCAGAAACACCCACATGAACAATCATCTTCTTGCCAGATTCACCCAACACGACACGGGTAGCACCCCAAGAGAAGTCATCCATACGCCAGAACGAATAGAGCGGGAGCATGAGAGAGAAGATCGGGATAGCCAAAATGTAGAAGACCATCCATCCGACCATGTCCCACTTACGCCGGAGAATAAACACGAGGGCTTGTAAACCATAAACAGCACCGATCATAATGAGCGAGATGACCGGGAGAGTTTCCTGCTTAGTAGCGACCTCCACGATAAGATACACAATCTATAACTTTAAATCAGAGTCCGAAGAAAAATCCAAGAGAAACTCGACGCACGTAGCCGACAGTGATAGGCTGGATGATAGTTGAAACCAAATCGATCATGACGACAAATCGCATGGAGAAACAACAGAAACCACAGAGCTGCTCCAAGAACATCAGCTCGCCAAGATTGTGAACCGTCGAGTTGATCCAACGACGACGTTGTGAGAGTAGAATCTTCCAGTCATCAGGCGCTACGGTGAATGCATGAGCATCGCGAACGAATTGGGTCTTGTGCATCGGGAAGTGCCTCAAAAGGAGCGTGGTCAGGTATCGATCTTCTCCGAGATGCAATAAGTTCTTCATGTGCAGGGTATCAACGCGGTTCTGCGAGTAGTCCTGGACCATCTGGTTGGATATCAAAAGTGGTTTGTGGGTATCGGGAGTCCGCAAACGATATAGGGTGAAACAACCAGGCAAACAGGTAACAGATCCGAACAAACTCTCGAAAGCCTTGGCCATATGATGCGAGATGAAGTACTCATAGACCTAGATATCCGTTAGAATTTCGAACCACCCTACAAACCTAAAACAAGCTTGCCTGCATCATGGTGATGATTGACTGCTTCGAGTTCGCTAGCTCAGTTTCACCGCAAACACCAAGCACCTTCTTGTCATGAATACACCTACAGAAAAATAAACATCAATCCCAATTCCCATAGTGACGAACGATGACTTACGCAGAGATCAACCGGTTAACAGAATAAGGCTCCACTGTCGTATCAGCATCGACCGTAAACAGATACTCAAAGAACGTCGGGTTGACACCAATCACATTCTTGATCTGGTGGTACATCTCCAGCTCAAGCGGGTTCATGGGCGTACTGAAGTGAACCTGCGCAGCTCAAGTGTAAGCGCTAATTTCCACCATTCTATGAAAGAACCTCACCTTGTTCAAGAAGTGCATGATCACCATCTGAGAATCACGCTTGCCACGGTTACCAGGCCGCGAACGCTCAGACGGCTTGCCTATCTTCACCACGACCAAGTAAGGAACGACATGCCCAGCGCACTCGTACAAACCAGAGTAGACCTTGCCCATGTTATGCTGCCTTGCACCCTCACCCAACGAGACGAAACTGAGCGGCTCAGGGTCAAGATTAGGATCAGCTCCTAGGATGTCAAGCACGATGCGCGGCGTGGGACGGTCATTTCCAGAACCAACGATATTCCCATCACAGATAACAAGGATAAGTTTCCGCTTGTCATCATATTTGAGTTGCGCCAATGAGTCAATAGTCTTCCGCAATGAAGTCTCGCCTTCTGTATAACAAGGAACCTGGCAAATAACGAATTTGTCATGGTCTTCGGGCGCACGAGGAGACGCAAAGTTGATGGAAGCGATGAATTTGAATCCGATGATGCTGACCATCAAAATAGACAGTGCGAGCAAGATACCCTCTGCGAACTGGCACTGTGGCGAGTTACGGTTGTCCACCATACCGATCAAGAACAAGTTGCGGAGACAGGTACGCTGATTCTCCAGCGTAGTACTATCAAGATTGAGAGAATCGAATTGCTTCGTCAGATCCTGTCCTGAATTGTACTTGAAAAGATCGACGACGGATGTGTCCATGAATTGAGTGTCGATGCCTCCAGGAAGCTGCTCGCCATATGGAGCTTTGACGGCAGGTCCGTAGTTGACGTAGGACGTGAGGTCGTATATCATATCGTTGTAGACACCGAGGGAATAGCCAGAATTGGCCATGTCGCTGATCTCCTGTGGCGTGTAACCCATGTATCCGACGCGATTGTTCCATCGCATGATGGTCATGCTCTCAAAGTACCAATCTGGACGGGAATCATTGGTGAAAGCACGGAAGTCGTGATAAGAAGCATTCGGATCGGTGTCATTGGCAGAGCTTAGAGTCACGTAGGGGCTGACGGAGCCAGTCACGCCATTACACAATGCGGAGACCTGAAGACTGGTTAGAAAGAATCAACTCGTAAACTCATCCTTCTGACCTGAACAGGGAAGATCGCGTCTGATGCAGTACCACCATACGTCTGAAGGATCGTCTTCACAGGCACAATACTAACAACGCGTTGATGCGTAGCCGCAGCAGTCGTAAGATCGAACACCTCCCCCCGAATCGAGGTATACACGTTATTCGGTGAAGCCGTATATGAATGCGACGCTAATTCGGAAGTGCTGAAAACATGCTCTGTGGGGCAAATGATTTCGCCCAGGAAGACGATGACGAAAATAGCGCATGAACAGAAGAACCAAATGATGAAATTGATTGCGAGCTTTTCTCTCCATGCTTGTCGGACATCTTCACGCTTCATTCGGCCGATCCATCTAAGGAAGGGAGAGGGTATCCACCATGTCAGAGCCCAACACATCGCGACCCAGCGACGACGCGCAGAAGATTCCTTGAGCACTTCGGTTGTCTCGCCATCTCCGATCTCACCAGGCAGTGCTTCTTTCACCATGAGACCCTCCTTGTCCGCGTTCTGGAACATATTGCGAGAGGGCGCATAGGACTCAGTACCATAGTTGGAGTTTGAGTCGTCTCTGTTACTTGTGAGGCGGCTGCGGTTGTCAAAGTCGTCGCTGCGGAAAGACTTGCGTTCGTCGTATTCATCCTCGTACAGATCAGCGCGTTGGAAGGGGGATGCATTGGAAACAAGAGGAAGAGCCGGGTCTGAGAAGGCGTTGGCAAAGGGCGAATCCTCACCATTATTGGCACCAGGTGAGTGGTAAGGAGCATAAGGATCGCCGAAGCCACGGACATCAAGTCCAACCTCAGCCTCAGCATCACGAACACGGTTGCGCTTCTGTTCCTCAACATCCGATGCACGAATACGGTCCTCGAGCAAGTGGAACGCTATTTGTGATAGGAAGACCTACAGATATGTTTAAAACGTGTCTGAGCTGCGTAATCAATTCACTTGCCTTGTATTGCCCAAGGACAATATCCCGCTCCTTCAACGATAACGCAGCGCGCGTCTGCTCAACACGATCCCTCGGAGCTCCCTCCGAAATGTTCAGAGCCAAAATTGGATCCCTATACCTTTGACAAAATTCCTCCGGTGTCATGCCCACCTCAAACACATTCACATTGCGCTTCGCGATCTCTGTCAAGCCCATACTGCGCACCTGCCCCTTCACAGAACGACCCTCGAGCTGGTTGGGCAGCTGCGAGTCATTCGGGTTAATGCAGAAAACATACCAATTCTGCGTGTCTCCTAGAGTCTCGAAGAGTGTGTCGAGCGCGGAACGGAACTCGCCTGCGACGCAGGGTGCGCCGTTTCCGGCGGAAGCGGTAATATCGTCGTCTTCCCGATCCTGTTCGTCGTTGCCGTTTTCACGCAGTGTAGGCATGCGCTTGATTGTACCCTTGCGGCGGGTAGAGGGGGCACGCATGGGCTTGACGGGCTGCTGGGCAGCGACAATGGTGTCTTCATTTTTTGGGTGGGCTTGTGTTGCAATGGCCTTGCCCGAGAAGAGGCCTTTGACGAAGGGGTTCATTGAACCAGCACCCTCCGCACCATCAGAAATGCCCGAAGCTGAGCCACGAAGAAGAGAGACGAAATCAGGGTTAAGAGCATCGAGGTTGCGGTCCAAGAAGCCCTCAGCGGAGTAGGTGACAGGGCCGTTGAAGTGATTGACGGTGAACGTGGGGAAACCAGAGCGATCTATGGCACCGACTTTGAATGAGGAGTGGTTGCCCCAACGCTTGCCAAAGGCTTCCACCATCGAGTGATCAGTCTTCTTATGCGAACGGCGAGCCTGGTCATCCATGATGTGGATAAGACCACCCGGCTTGTTTTGGAGCAACCGCACGCATTCAGAGTTATCGAAGTAGGAGACGGTGGGGACAAAACGTGAGATACCCTCGTTCTGGTATTCATCCACGTGAGCCTCGAAGATACGTTTCTGGACGAAGTGTTGTAAGCGCTCATTGGCAAAGTTGACGCAGAACTGATCAAGGGAGTTGGGGCGACTGGTCATGTTCTGTGGCCCAGGAAGATCGAAAAGGCCGATGAATGTGTCAAAGTCTTCACGGCACAGCCGCTGGTTGATATGTTCGTTCAACCATGCGAAGAGAAGGGAGTACAGCGTTTTTGCGAGGTCATCTCGGTTATCAGATGCACCGTCGGGGTCAAGGAAAACAGTGCAAAGCTCCTTCTTCACAAGCTTGGTCTTGTAAGACATTGCGCCCTCCAAAGCACCCGCTTGGACACCCAAGAATTCAGCAACAATGCCAAGAATATCTGTGTTGCGCACGACAGCAGCGTCAACGTCACGACCACGGTCAACGGTGAACTCAAGGTTGCCAAGATGAAGAATGGCAGCGAGAAGTTGGCAAGTCTGAGCGACGTGCCGCTTGGACAAACCGATTGTCTTGAGAGCGACCTTGAGCTGCTCAAAGCGGGTAGCGTCATCATCCCGAACGCCATTTTGGCGTGCTGGGATAGCACCACGCTGACCGAGATAACGGTACTGGGTTTTATCCAAGAGGTGGAGGTGCTGGCGCTCTTCCTGAGTTGCACCTGCCACGAGGTAATAGAAGATATGGAAGTTGCGCTCTCCGGATGGCACAGAAGATACGCGGTTGCGCTCGAGGTAATAGTCCAGGGTCTTGACACCAGAAAGGCGACCACGATCAGTGAACTGCAACTCTGTGTATTTACCGAAGCGAGAAGCATTCGGGTTGAATAGAGTCCGGGCATTACCAAAAGACTCGATGACAAACTCTGCGGCGGGTAATTGGGTAGCGAGTTTGGAACCTTTCTTTCCTGGATTGGAAACGGAAAGCTCAAGAATAGTCTTTATAGCAAGTCTGCGGTTCTCTGATTTTCCGCTTCCAGTCTCACCGCTAGAATGATGGCGGTATTATTTTAGATGATGCAATGCATGCATTGATGGGGGTTACTTGCCTGATGAGAATAGACTGGTCCTGGGTAGTTCGTTTCATGTGGTAGTAGGCATTATTGGCAAGCTGGAAAATATGAGGAGCTAATGGAGACTTGTTCTCCGATGTGTCGCGATACTCTGAGGCATATTTTTGAAGGACAGAGTCGCCGTTGGAAGAGACATACTTGTGGGGATTCACGGCGACGAGAGAATTGGTGCCGATGTTGGTGTAAATCGATTCAGACATGAAACGCTCACGAATACATGAGACAATGAGATCGTCTGATATGGAGGACAAGCCGGAGAGGTCGCTAGCGGCCTCAAGCCTTTGGTGATGTGACATGCCAGCAGACGGGCGGCTCATGGCGAGCGCGTTGTTGACCAATTACCCTGCTAAGGAAGGAAGGAAGAAGAATTGGGTAGGAAAGAAAGGAAAGAAATGCTCTGGCAGACACAGAGAAATACGGAGGTGGATGAAGCAGGGAAAGAAGCGAGTGAGACCCGTTGAACGGTTGTAGCTGAGCAAAGGGAAATTGTCCTATTTCCAGCTAGCCTATGGTTTCCAATTTTCTCACGACGGGCACCTCTGAACTCACATGGCGACACGGCATCACACAGACTAGAATAATCGCTTCAAAGTTGTTGTCGTCGTGGGTAGTGAACTAATAATCATTGCAGCAGGATCCAGGAAATATTTGATTCAAGTCTTTCTTAAACCAAGTTTGCATAACAGACACCACGTGAACCACCAATATCCGTAGAGGAACAGTGACTAGCAAATCTTCGCCATCCCATCCTCAGTCTCCGCAAGGCTAGCTCTCTGCAGCACACTGGGCTTCCTTCCTTCCCCAGCTCTCGCAGCTGCAGCACGCATACGCTTATGTTCTTGTTCCGCGCGTAGTGCATGAGACTTCGTCACATCTCGAGCCAGCGCAGGAGGAATCCCACCTTTCGGCGGTTGCCCATACCCACAAGACAGCCGCGAATTGGCTTTACGGTCTTTGCTCTTGCTCTTCACTCCTGGGCGTTGACTTGCGGGGTGTACGACTCGTGTTCGTGGAAGCTGCGCAGGTGGATGTGTCGATAGCTTTGTTGTGACTCTCACGTCTGCAGGCCGCGTGGCTGGGTATGCTTTGACATGCACCGGTTCATCAGATGCCCGAGGAATGTGGTGTAGGGTTGAATTTGAAACTCGTGAAGAGCACGTCAGATCCTCGTGACTGACCTCGATGTCTTCGCAACCACTGGGAGGTATCCATCCAAGCATAGGAGAGGCATTCCACTGTACGGATGAATCTGGCTGAGTGAACTCTTCCTCGTTCTCATCAAAGTAGTTGAGGTAAACATCCATATCCTCGAAGGGCGCTAGCGGTTGCTTCTCGATCAGTGCATCCTTCACGACGTACTAAATACTTACCTACAGGCTCATCCCAGCTTGACGCCTCTATCCCCGATGACGGGACAGAAACATTGTTTTTACTCCCTTCTAGCGTTGCTTGATCCGGAACAACTCCAGGACCGGAGCACAAGATGTGCGTGAGAGACATTACATTCGGCCGACGCAAGGGTATCATGATGGGCTCAACAACTGCACGCGCTACAGCTTTCGTCATGACCCTCTCATTGGCCTCGTTCTCATTGGCCTCGTAGTCTCTGACAATCTCCGTCAGTCCGCCGGAGCTCGAGGAGAAAGTGGGACGCGTTGGTTGAAGTGTAGTACGCAGCGGTCTCGAAACTAAGAGAGTGGAGAAGTCTAACGAGTGCATGGTATAGACAGTGCTGATCGTTAAAAAGAAGAATACTGGAACCAAAGCCCAATACAAAACGATAGACTTTAACATAAATCGTCAATGTCAGCCCAACGTCAGCCGAGGCATGTCATGTCTGTTGCCCGAGCAATATGTGTCGTCATATCTGGACCTACAGCAAGGCCTTGTAGTCTAGAGGTACGATACTTGCTTTGGGTGATCACAATTGCAAGTGGCCTGGGTTCGATTCCCAGCAAGGCCCAGAAACTTTTGACATTTTTCGCTTACCGAAAGCACCAGCTGCCGTCACTGCCAACGTCGGACATTGAATTTGACGGCATGCTTTACCGGCCTGCAGTACTACATCAAGCAAGGTAACTATAATTATTGACAAAGTCTTCTTTTTCTCATTGGCCAGAGGTAAGGTTAACATTGTCATGACTGAGAATCTCCAATCCGCTCAGCTGGCATCCAAATTCAAACAGTTGTACAGCCTTTCTATCATGACGGCTTGCTCATAGATGGGCTGGTCACAATTCAATTCATCTGAGGACCTGTGTCACCACAGTGAATTGGTGTTGGGCTCCTAACTGGCTATCATAAGATACCGAATCAGACACGCATGAACTCATCAAACCAATTCAGACGCACGTTCTATGTCGATGAGACATCTAACTTTCACTCCTACTATCTTATTCCATCCCAAATGACATTGTGATAATGGAAATTATCATCACGAGTGCCAACTATGCCGCTGGTATCGTCGCAGTTGCAGTTGTAGTGACACTCATCATGTTTTACAAGTCATCCCTTGTAGCGGGTAGGAAGGGATCCCACTTCCACCTGGACCTCCTGCCCGTTGGCTCTGGTGCAATGCTTTGCCTTCTGTGAAGCGAGTTTCTATTCGAGATGTCAAAAGCTGATGCAGAGTGTCCACTCAGCATTGCCAATACGCTGACCGACTTGGTTCGAGAATATGGCCAGATTGTGTCGTTCCGACGGGGTAGCCAAGTGATAATTGTCAGTGGCAGTATTGAAGTATACTGCCCATACCTTGAGCTTCCTCCGACAATGACAAGACATCAATATTTTTACCAGGCAGTGTCTTCAGGAAAGTTACTTCTTCAAGGGAATTCCCTCGCTCTATCTATGCACCATATTTCAGTTTAGACAATATGTGCGTGCTGTATATATATTCAAGATCATCATCAACACCAAGCCATCATTGCAAGAGAAATCGGTGACATATCGATGAACAAATTTACCTCAGTTTCTTACTACTCAAGAGAGCCTTTCTTCCTGCACTCTGGCTGCGACGAAGGAAGACAGTGTGCATACGCGGCTGTTGTAACATGGGGCAGTCATCTAAGTTGAATAGCCATCGACTTGTGACGGAGTCTGGACGGTACAGAGCAATGAAACGTCTAAGCGTTGGCAGTGTGAACATCATGACAACACCCATCAATGCCCATATTTAAAGTCAATCCACGATGGTGTACCAGCAAACACTGATTCCAACGTGAAATTTTTCTCCACCTGCGCGTCAGTCAGGATAAATTCTTGGGGTATACGTTTCGACGTGTCCCCTCCAGGACCTGCAAGCGACATAAGGATCCAACATTGACAGTATAAGGCACGAGCCTTACCAGACGACTTATACTCTGCGAAATACGTGGTGCGTGGAACACTTGTTCTGTCATAAACAAGTTAGCGATTGGTGTCATGGTTTTGCAATCGTGCTTACGCTTTGGACCAGTGGGTGAAACCATTAGGATGAATGCTCTTATCCATGTATGTGCGCAAATATACGGTGACAGCCAGGGGATTCCAGGGGCGTCCTACATAGAGAAAAAGTAACCTTAGTGTCATAATCAAAGTGTTTTCTTCATTTCTAGCTTACCGAGGTAGCAATGGCCATCAGTAACGGTAGTGGTATTTGCATCTGGGGACTGAATAGTGAAATAAAATAAGAATTAAATCAGGCAATCACCAGAAGAAAAAAACTGACGCGGATGATTTTCGAATCAGCGATGAATGCCCCAGTCCTGGTTCCTTCTGTACCTCGCCATGCTACGATACCACCATTACAAGCTCGATTGGCCAAAATCACATTTTGAAACCAGCTATTCCAATAGTTACTCATGGAGTTTATACATATATTGATACATCCTTACGCCGTGCCAAATCCGAAAAGATCTTATCACGATGTCAGCAACTGCAACTAAATCGAGGTCACATGACTCACAATCAGCTTGACCGTATATTATACTGCCAACAGCATATGAATGTGCGCCGGGGCCGGTGAACCACGTATCCTGATAGCTTGCAAAGGAGCAGCCATAGAAAGAAACATTTGCTGATACGAAGGCTACAGCGAGAGCTTGAGAAATCGCGTAATTGGCCTGGATCGCTAAGCTTGTACAGATGTCAGTGTAAGAAATACGTCGAAGCTTACAGCACGATTTTCGAAGTCGATATTATAGGCTTTGAAGTCAATGTTACCGAACTGCTGTCCAGAGCGAGGTGCGACGGTCAGAGTCGCAGTCTCCAGGTCGTTCATCCCAGACAGAAGATGTAAATTGCTCCAAATGTGAACAAGGTTGCGCTGAGAAGCATTCCCAGCTGGGTCGCGAGCAGTGTTGGGATCAAGCTGGCCCTATACAGAAATGTCTCAGTAATCAAATTCTACAGATGAAATGACAGATACCAGAAGAGTGAGCGGCGCAGACCGCGCAACATTGACCCTTTCAAAGTATTCTCCCGCTCCAATCAGAATTATTGCGTCGCCCGTCTCTGGCCTGTGCAAATATCAAGACATAAGACAAAGGACAAATTCTGGTTGCTACCCACAGGGACTCCACAGCAGCTTGGACAGTTTTAAAGCCTGCTCTGCTATCTGTGGGTGACACAAATAGCGTTCCATCTGGGCATCCAGTCAAGGGGGAAGTTTCCGCATTCTGATGTAATTGGCATGCAGAATAGTCCGGGGAGAGGGCGTGAATTTCTACACTCAAACTGGCCAGGAATGCGCAAAGCACTGCAAAGTGTGTCAAATATGGTCCCATTGATATGATATCCAGGGAAGGAGTAATGCTGTATGCCCACCATGGCTCGTCGCGCTTATAAACTCTCATCAAGAAATCCCCACATGAGTCCATTCCCAAACCATGGGGCGATCTTGGCGACCCTTTGTCCGACACTGAATCCCTACGCCGACGCAGCGTGGGAGAGCATCCAAGTCAATATTTTGGCAAACTCATCACGAATAGATTGTCAAAGGGTGGGTCTTCCCAACTTGAACTTAGCAAACCCGACTTAGAGGTAATCATTCCTTTGTATCGAGGCAACCCTGATGGCTTGGAGGACTGCCGTTACTCAGGCCACGGAAAATTTGATGATGAGTTCGGACTCGTGGTGGGCCATGTGGATCAACTATCACTGTTATCGCCGCTAATTTTGATGTCGATTTTCGAGCGTCGGAATCGAGTGGAATTTTGAATCGCCCTGAATCGGCTCTGGAGCCGATTCAACATTCGTCTGACCACCAAGATTGTTTGATATGCCTAAAATTGTAGCTTAAGCGCGATGTATGAGAATTGGAGGTATTCACACTTACAGTCGACTCATGGCCGATTCAGGTTGATGCAATGAATCGTTAAGGTTGACTCCCACTGATGTATACTCACGTTCTGACCATATCCGCCAGTCCGCGGCAGATGCTACCAGAAAAAAGCGGGAGAACATAATTAAGTGATGATAAATCCAGCGTAATTTATTGCAACAAAATTGTTGGCAACCACTATACCACCACGTACGGTAGTACCGAGATCGGCGGCGACGAGGTTCGGATGTTTGAAAACATATGAGGACGTCGGCAACGGAACAACTATAGATACACGGTGATCCAAGCGCTTTATGGTGCCTTCCTGTCGTGGATGTGCTGTCGCCTCATATGTCATGGCAGGCTATGCCCACGAGAGTCAAATTCTTCACTCACAACTGTCTCCACACGGATTTGTATACCATCAGTCTGTGAGCTTCAAAACTCTTTCTTTCGCTCTGTCAATACACCGCAACAACATCTCTTCCGAGATTGCGCCGCCTGACTTAGTGGTGCTGATAAGCTCTCCTCGATCATCTACGATAACCGTGAGCGTCACGTCCATCAGGGGCTCTTCGAATGCAGTGGGATCTGAAAGAACGTGCGATCTAGAAGAAAGCAGGGCATGAATAACACGTCATTGAAATAGCCAGAAGAGAGCGTACGTGTCTAACACTCCAAAAGATGCCGAAGAGAAATTTCGAGTCAATGGTACCGGCGAACGAGTTTTCCGCGAACACGTCGTATGCCCAGTTTCTTCGTTATAGGTGGCTTTAGGCAGCGTAGCTAGCTCGTGTCATCAATTACGTGGCATGCCTCTAGCACGCTGAACTCACTACTTCTAAGCGCGCCCAACATAGCTAGCAGCGCTGCGTCAAACGCATTCCCATCATAATTTATACACGTGCAGTCCACATACAGCGTCCAAACAGCTTTACCGGGGTGGATGCACAACGAAGATAATGAAAGTGCGCCTGAGCTGTGTCGGGAAAGAAGAAAAGACACGAGTTCAAAGTCAAACGCACACACATAACGCAATGACCTACGCGACGAGAGCTTCGTTTAATCTATCAGAAAGGACCTGAGCTTCTTCTGTCGGAGGTCCTGGTTTGAATTTCGGAGAGCAGATTGCGGGTAAATCGATGTTGGGTACTAAAATTTCAGACTAATCAGCCTCTACTGTTTTGTGCGGAAGGAATGAAAGAATCACCCAAAAAACCCTGTTCAGGGCGATCGAGCTCTGGCTCTGCGATTTCCGCCTTGACACCGCAAACGATCGTGGTGTCTCCCATTCGCACAAGAGCAGAGCCATCAGCCGTTGATATTGATCCTGTAGCGAGCACATTATAGTGTAAGCACCGAAAAGCTGGACAAATCACGTACCGACATTCACAGAAACGTTGCGCCATTCATCAAACGTCCGTCCATCTGGCCTGATGTTCTCGGCAATAAACCTTTCGAGATAAACGCGAGGATGCAATCTCTGGAAAATTTGAGCGCGGAGAGTTTCCTCCGCTGCGGAGGAATTTGTGACAGATGAGGAAGACATAGAGGAGCTGTCTATATCGACTCGGATTTGGAAATTTCGCAACAGGCACAGCAGCTTCACTAATTCTATTGCAATTGTAATCGTACAACATATGAATTCTTTGATAGTAACTACAGTACAGATGAGTAAATAAATGATTGTGGTAGTACTACAAATGCGTAGTCGTGAAATGTCATTTGCACCCAGTCAGAAAGCAGAGAGACAAAAGAATATACAGTGAAAGTCGAAAGTTAGCTATCACGGCAGTATGTTGTAGCCGTTAGAACATAAGAAAATGCAATGGTAAAAAGAAACAAACACAACAGTCAGCGAGCCTTTACTCGCTAACCCATTCTCCACCATTCGCAAGTCTGGCAAATAGACCCTTGCCCTCCATGAGACTCTCATACGTGCCCTGCTCGCGCACCTGACCATCCTCGACGACAAGTATACGGTCGCACATCTTCATCACGGGCACCTTGTGCGTCACCATGATAGTAGTCCTCCCAACCTTCGCAGCCTGTATCGTCTCCAGGACAGCCGTCTGGTTGGCAGGATCGAGCGCTGAAGTACACTCGTCCAGAATGAGGATCTTGGCAGGTCGTGCAAGTGCGCGTGCGACTTGCAAGCGCTGCGCTTGTCCACCTGAGATAAGAGATGCGTTCTCGCCGATGAGCGTGTCATAGCCCTGTGGCAGTGACATCACGAATTCGTGGACGTTTGCTGCACGAGTAGCCCGCTCGACGTCTGCGTCGCTCATTCCGTTGTCCTCGCCGACTCGTCCGTAGGCAATGTTTTCTCTGATGCTGGCGTCGAAGAGGTTTGGGGTCTGACTGACGACGGCAACATGATCGCGAAGATAGTTGATATCCGTTGCACGGAGTTCATTGAAGCCCACCGAGATGGTGCCCGAAGTAGGCTCATAGAGACGTTGGAGGAGCGACGCAATGGTTGACTTGCCACATCCAGAAGAGCCTACAATCGCTACGCACTCTCCATCTGCAATGCGCATCGACATCTTGTTCAGGACAGAGACATTAGGGTTGGTGGGGTAAGAGAATGATACATTGTTGAAGACAAGATCACCCTCGATTCTCGGACGGAGAATACCTTGAGACTCGGAACTAGTCGTATCTAGCTTGATAAGCTCGTGTAGATCGTGCGTGGCCAGAACGGACTTGGCAATTTTTTGAGTGAATGACATGAGTTGGGAGCCGATGGAGACGGTGAAGACGACAAGGTTGAGGACTTGACACATCTGGAGGTATGTGTATGTGCCTTTGGCGATGAGCACAGCGCCAACATAGAAAAGAAGGGCCTCTGCCAAGTAGATGAGAGCGCTGGCGACACCATACGAGCACCCCTCGACGAAAGCGCCGCGGACACCAGTGGAAAGGCACTGCGAAGCGGCCTTGTCAAATTGAGCCTGAAGAACAGGCTCAAGAGACATAGCACGAATGCCACGGACGTTGAGAACAGACTAAACAACAAATCAGAACAAGAAACATCAGGCAGTGACAAAAACTTACTTCGTAATACACCCTGGCAACCTCCTCACGAGCCCGCTTATTGCGTTCCTCGCATTTTGCCACAAGGTTGGTCTGTATGCCCATGACTCCAACAAACACAGGCCCAATAGCCAGCCCAACAAATGTCAATTGCCATCCCCAAGCCATCGCCCAGAAAAGGCCAATTATCATCATCGCGCCAACAGCAACAATTTGGCCTACCACGACAGCAATCAACGTACGAGCGTCATCGCCATCCTTGATAATGACTTGGGTGAGTTTAGCTGCACCATTCTCGGGACGGTCAAACCAGCTCTTGTCCTGACTAAGAACACGGGAGAAAGCGATGTCGCGGAGGCGAGTGACCCAACGCATAGCGGAAGTTTCCATAAAGAAGAATTTGGAACCGAGAAGTAGCCCATCAATGGCTGCAATTCCGAGAACGAGACCACCGTAGGAGTTGATCATGCTGGCATCTGAACCACCAGCTGAGACTAAGACGATAAGTTTGGAAAGGAGGAATGAAAATATGGGTGTCATCGCCCCGCTTAGCAGGCAGATGATGAGCCCGACGAAAACGACTGGCTTGGTGGGAATGGTGGGGTACACAGCACGGAGAAGGGCAAAAAGGCCGGGAGCCGGTGAAAGATTAGATTGGTCTTGAGTATTTTCGATTCCAGACAGAGGCACAACGACACTCTGCAGGGTGCCATGGTGCTTGCGCTCCCTGCGCTCCCTTCTATTCGCAGCCTCCTCAGCGCTGCGCTTTAATGCCTGCTTCTCAGTCTCGAATTCCTCATCATCTTCGACCATGCATATCGGCTCCGGCAGAGAGAAGCCTGGGCGTGAGGATGTCGGGGAAGTAGGGGTGAACTGCAGACTGAAACGATGGCCGCCGTATGTGCGGGGGGGAAACGTGACCTCGGGGACGAATATCGACATACTGCTCGGTCTCCGTTGTCTCCCTGCTGCACCACCTTCGAACTCCGGTGTTTCTTCTATGGGCAACGCACTAGAGGGGATAAATCGACTCATTCGCCAGTCCTTGTCTTTCTCTGCCGCTGTAGGAAGAGATGGTGGTGCTGTACCCGATTTTGTAAGCTCCGCAACAACATCGAACATCCAGTTGCCAAGCGTTGCTGTGACGGGGCGCATGCCGCCCAACGTTGGGGCTATGCTCACGTGTCGTTCATGAACTGGGAGCTCTTCGTCTTCCTCCCCTGCGAGGATCGCTGCGATTGCATCGTACTCAGGGAGGTCGTCTTCAACTGCAAGGCCGCCTGTACGAAGCATGCGAGCAAATTCGTCATCTGCGTGCTCGAGATCTGATCGAAAGCCTTGCTCGACCACAGAGCCCTCTCGCATGACGTAGACAAAGTCATTCTCTTCGATTGCAGCAACATCGTGCGTAATGATGATTGTCGTGCGGTGCTGTCGCCATCTTCGAATGGCAGCCAATATAAGTGCACGAGTTGGGGGGTCTAACGCCGATGTTGCTTCATCTGACACAAAAGAACAAAACTAAGAGACCAGGTATACGAGAGAAATGCAAAACTTACCAAGAATCAATATCTCAGGGTCACGAATGCGCGCCCGCGCGATCGCGAGCCTCTGGCGCTGTCCACCACTTAACTGGATGCCTTCCGCACCAGTACCGCTCAATAGCGTATCATAGCCTTGGTCTAAACCAACCACCCAAGACTCAAGCATCGCAACTCTACACGCCTCTTCTACTTCTGCTCTGCTAACATCCTCCGATCGCTTGCCTTTTCCTACTGCGCCGAGAGCCACGTTCTCGTGAAGGCTTCCTGGGAAGACAGGTGCAGACGATGCGCCCTGCGCTACGCCGGCTATGCGGTCCGACACGTACGCGGCGTCAATGTATCGTACATCCTGCTCGTCAAGACAAACATAGCCAGAGTTCGGAGTGTAAATGCCCATCAAGATTGCACCAAGCGTGGACTTTCCGGAACCGCTTGATCCAACGATGAATGTCGTCTCACGCGCGGGGAGGTACATGGTTACGTCGCGGAGCACTTGAACGTCCAGTCGTGCGGGATATGCGAAGCACACGCCAGTCAGGCTCAGTTCGCCATAAAACGATTTCGGTTGGATTTTCCGAAGTTCTTGTAGACGTCGTTTTGGGGGTTGATGTGCTTCAGAGATGATGCCTGCGAGTTCTGCAGCGGCGACCTTGCCCTTCATGAAGGTGATGAGAAGGGGTACGGCCATTTGAAGGTTGCTCGTCGCGATAAGACATGCCCAGAAAACGCTCATGATTTGACCGGGTGTATTCTTGCCTTCGCGGACAAGGTGAGCTCCGAACCAAAATCCTTGTACAAACATTGCCATTGTAACAAACTGGCTCAGGCCGCATGTAAGACCCCAGATGCCCGCAAGTCTATTGGCAGCTGCGCCTACGCGTCCAAGCACACGGGAAAGTACCCGAGTCTCATGTGTAGCTGCGTTGAACGCTTTGACGGTAGCGATTGCAGACACAGCGCGCTCAACGACAGTAGCGGCACTCGCAGTAAAGGTGCGCTCACGAGCAAGGAGAGGACCCGCTAGCACTTGAGAGAACGCTTGAATGATAATTAATGCGGGGGCGGCTGAGAGAATGACAAGGGTGAGGAGCGGCGACCACACAAATGCAAGTACAAGGCTCGTAATGGTGGTGGTTAAATATTGAAGCAGCTGCCCTGCTGCCAGGGACGATGCTGCGCGTACCTCATCGGTTTCTCTATTGGGATTATAGAAAGACAATCAGAATCAAGGGCTCAGACGGATAAAAAAATGCTAACCTGGCAAACTTGGCCATGAGACCGCCAGGCACCTACGGGAGAATCTTCAGACGAGTCTTGCACATGGCCCGCATGTGCAGACCCGTCGATCCCCATCTGAAGATCGAACCATGACATCTCCTTGTTGACGACAGACCGGTAAACGAGCTGTCTAAGCTCCACGACATTGTGCTCGCCAGTGGAAATCCACAAGCTGCTTGTGATACTGCTCATGACTAGCGCACTAAGACTGAGTGCTACGAGCTCGAGTGCTGCGATACCCACACCATGAAGCAGCGCATCCTTGGCGGATTGCGGTGGGTTGGGTGTCAGTGGGAATGCGGCGAAGGCGTTAAACGACTGCCCAACAGCATAAGTCATGAGGGGAGCAATGGCGCCGGTAGCGACAGAGGATAAAACAGCTGGTGTTAGAAGGACCAGCTTCCTTCGCGGAGTGAGGAATGAGAACAGCAGCTTCGTTGATGGCACAGGTACTGCATGAATGTTAGGAATGTCGTGAATTGATGTTGTCTCAGAAACACTGGTGTCATTTTTGATATCAAGTGTCGACGAAGAAGCTGAGTGAATCGACCGAATTGAAAGATCTGATGTTGGATCGTGGTTCTTCATCGTCGCTCTGCACGATGAACTTGCCTCTTCGATCGTCTGAATGGTATAAGGGAGAGAAACGTCGAAAAGCTAGCCTGACGTTCCCGCATTTTTGTTGTTTCAATTGTGGCTTTAGTTTCGCTTCACTATTGTCCTGCCACGTGGGAACACAATCAGACACAATGGACGCTGAAACAATAAAAACTGTTATGTAATCAGGTACAAAGCCTTTGCACAACAATAGACAACAATGGCCTACACCATGCTGCGCTCGGCTCCCACTCATTGTGTTACAAGTATGCGATTATATTGCAGGTGAGTACTTTGCTCCAGCAATCATTCATTATTGCGAATGGCAAATCTCTTAAACAGGAGGTCTTTCTATCTTGAGCCATGAGAGCAGTGGAACATTGACTCTGTCGGGATATGAACTAACGGTCTATAAAAGGTCACCGAGCGGGTACTCCTAGCTGGAATGGAATACACACATTGATGTGCCACGGGCGGGTCAACCCAGTTGTTCAAGTTCAACCAAGACCTCAACGGCCTCAACCAGGCAGTTTGGCTCAACAAGACTACGCCGTTATCTTAATGCACAACCTCATCACGCGACGACGCTGCTTTCAATTCATTGAACTCTTGACTGCGAACCAGGCTTCGTGCTACACGTATCGTTACCTCGAATTCTTAGGGAGGATCGAACCCTCGAGTTTGGTTGCGGCTCCGAATCACCGTATGTTGTATATGTGACTATTGAAATCCTTTCGATAGCCAAGCATGCGTCTCTGAAGATCCTCCACTTGGTGTATGTGCTTGATCAGCATTTTCTATACTTGCACTAGCCTGCGAGTTTCTCACAACGAAAATTGACGAAAAGCCACGCGCTAATCAGAAAATGAAGCTAGACGAGCAGAATATCTCCTGCAGACCGTTTTGCAGGCATTCCTAGTGCTGCTCTGGATTTCACTCCTGCTCTCCGGCCTTTCGTTAAGAGTCAACGCTAATATCTATCATCATCTGCACCACAGCTTTTGGCCTCTTCTATCCTCATCCTCATGTCAGTACTGCGTCCGGACACCAGCCTCGGAGCTTGTTGCCATTGGCAAAATAATATTTCCAAACGAATTCATACTGGCTGGCACTTAAAAATATTCGGTAAATCATTTGTCATTCGCTGGATACTAGAGACTTCGAGGAACCTAGAAATCGCCGAGGTTGCGGTTCCAACAGTACCCCTCGTGCAATGGCCGCCGAACCTTGATGTTTCAACAGTTTGCGTACGCTTACGTAATAGCTGCTGGCCATGTGGTGACAGGGAAGAACACTTTCTGAAGTATGGCAAGGCCATGACCCATCTTTGTACGCAGACAGTGACAATCAACCCAGAACTTCTTTCGAAAGACATTGATACTCTTCATTATTAGGGAGGTAAAAGTCATTTTATCAGCGATGCGTTCGTGGATAGTCATGACACCCACCGTCGGCTTGAAGGGCAAGGCAGCGCCTTTGGTCTGCAAGCTCGGCGGAACCATCACTTGGCAGATGTACGCATCACTGTAAGATCAATGGTTTCACACAGACTATTGTCGACTTTCACCTGAAACTCTGATTTGAGAAGGTGAACTGCGCTGGCATTACAGCAACGGGTGTGCACCCAGTTGTGCAGAATTTGACTGGCTCATCGATTAGCTGACGAGACTTGAAACAATAAGGACAGCTACAGACAATGAGTCGGAGGATGATGCTCACCTTGCACTGTGGACCAGATTGCCCCACAAAGGGAGGGTGGAACGTCGGAACACTGACAGGTAGCATCAGTAGTGTTTTATGCATTCATCAGGGAAACATAATTTGCTACAGAGTGCTCTCGGTAGCATTCTGTAGCACCCTGTAACACTCTGTAGTGCAATCCACCCCGCTGATGTTTGTTATGCACTGGCACGTCGCAGTTCGTTCCTATGGTTAGAGCACGTTGAGCAGAAGGCAGACTTCCGTTCAATGATTAAATATTCAGGGTGACAAGTTAATGTGCACAACTGTCGCAGAAAAACAAATAAAATGAAATCCATCGTACTCATGACAGGGCGAGACATCGGAATACTCTGCTGTATATTCTGCGTCTTCGCCCTCGTGAGGGCGCAATTCAATGGATCATATGGTTACGAGTAATTTTTAAAACTAAGTTCTCATAATCTATATAAATACTGTCCGCGATATTGAAGCACAAGCTTTCAAATTTCATTATCACTGCCTTTTAGCGCCGCAATAGTTGAGCGGACGACCGTCTCGAGTATTCAGGGGGACTCAAAATAATATTTTGACACGCTGTCAACACCTTTCATTATGCTACACCGGCCTCTCATGCCCCTGAGCGCTACAGAACAATTAGCTACTCGAGTGTTAAAGTGACTTTGCCAGCAATAGGCTCGATTATACTGGATAGCTATGATAGACACAATGAGATAACGACCGCCAACCTTCCGCTCTGGATCGTACTCAATAAATTTCTCGCGGGCTTCTTATCAAACAAGTTCTTCTCTAAATTGTGATTTGGAATTTGCATTAGCGCAAGCCACCCACCTAAATCCTTTGGATCAATGATGATCAGCTCACACCGTCCATATCACCTGGACTCGACGCGCAGAGCAATAATCTTGTCGCTCCACATATTTTCAGGTGCAGGGTAAATGGGAGTATGGAAGCAGAGGAATTTTTGAATGTGTCGAACGGGACTTTGAGCCTGAAACCTCGTCTGTAACAGATTGAGCCGTGTTCTCGGGTTTCTGTATTTTTCACCGACAGAAAATGCGAGAGTGATGTTGCAGAGAAGGTAACGACATTGATCGAAGACCGGAGGGCGGGTATCAAAGAAGGAAGTGAGGACAACGGTGGTGATGAAGGCATGGAGGATACCGAGGCCTAGTAGGAGGAGAGCGAGGCTGAACGTTTGCTTAAGTGGAGAGTGTGACATAGGTCTACATCCTGTTGATGTTCAAATATTATTATCAATGATAAACATTACTTGACGGTCACGTAGTGTTTACAAGAAGAGGTGTGGGACCTCAGGCCTCAGATCTCAGAGATGCGGCGTCGGATGTATCATAGACCGAAAGCCGTCAAGGTACAAAGCCTTTGGGCAACAATTGCGACACTGCAGGGACATGTCAGAACGTGCGAGCAAAGGGTCAGATCATATGTGCAGATTTAGTTGACAGCAACATACGACGACTATTTTCAAATTTGTGAGCGTAGCGCGCAATGTAAATCCGCGGCGCGAACATTATTGCACGGATTAGCGACGTTTGCATTTGTTCTGTTGCTTTGCATTAGACTGGTGACACAGCTTGCCTCATAAGTTACTGCTCACCAGTCTGACCCATGTACGTAACTAGTACTGTGCGGGCCGCTAAGCGCCAAGGATGTAAATGACATGTCCTCGGCAAATGCCGAAGGTGTCGGAATCATATAGCATCCGCCTTCAACAGTTCAACTCCTCCAGCGTTTTCGGCGACCCAACTTGCAGCCTTGCACCTACTTGTACTACAACAGGCAGCACTCTCCGGACGTCCCTCGCACTGATTTTTACTAGGCAATTGGTCTCCCATGGATGAATGAAAATGGTCATCGATTCCGGTCGACGCCTTACTATTTGTGACTCGGAGGCCATGCATAAGTTAATAACCCAGGCCCACTGAAAATCTGGCAGTGCGAGAGTCATCCGGAGAGTTCCGCATCGTGCACCGCCAACTGAACCCGCCCTCGCACGATCTCGACAACAAAATCGTGGCATGATGAGAAGGTAGTCAGTATTGTCATGGTGTGTCGTTGTGCGAGGATGGTCTGTACACGCAAGCAGCAGATGGTAAATGCAAATGTTGCGGAACTCATTGGGTTCATGACTATGAACCACTACGAGGCTTCGTGCTACACTCATCGCTTCTTCAACGGTGAGGGGTCGCTCGAACCTTCAAGCTTCAGGCCTCCGAGTCAGGTTCCGAATCTTTGTAAATTGTATTCGTGACCATCAAAAGTAATTTTGGTAGTGAAGCATCGTCCGTGCGTTTCCGAATATATCTCCACTTCCCTCCTTGCATATGCGACCATTTTAACCTGTACTAGCAAATAGCTTGCATATTGATGGAGAACCGCATGCTCATTCTCATACTTCGAAACTCCGTGACAGCACACATGGCTCTGCCTCAAAGATCACCTACTACCCCAGGGCCATCAGCAATATATATGGCAGACTTTGACGCCAGTTGGGATCCCACTTATGTCAAAACTGACGCCAGCACAGCGACTACGCAGGTCGGAATCATATACTGCCGGTCACCATTTGCTTCCTCCTGTCGCAAATTTAATACTTTAGCGCGCTCTTGGATCATGTGGTAAGCTGGATCCTTCAATATGTGCGTCTTGGCAGATTTCAAACCCCTGTCTCAGGGACTCGATTCAGTGGTACCTTGTGTGCCGGCTTAACCGGTGACAAGGCTTTGACGTCTGATAAGAACATATGATTTGGATGCAGTGTAGAGCCAGGACTATATATTTCCACCGTTTCTTCCTCCCTACTTTCCTATTCATTGCCCGCAGCCCAAAGACATGGCAAGTGTATCATCACCCAACCCCCCGCCTGTCGGTACCGAAGTCCTGACAAATGAGTGAGTAGCAAGCTAGACTCAATTGTCCATGATACTCATGAACACGCAGGAATGTGATCGAGGTCGACCTTGTCACGAATATGTGAATGTCAACCCATTCGCATGGTGTACTTGACGTCTGACTTTACTATCTTAAAGGTCAAGCACCCTGGAGCAGATCCAGGATGAGCTCAAGGCGAATAATGCGAACGAGGAACGTGAAGGTCTCGACAAGAATATGTAATCATTAACCAATAAGCACGATACGCTTAGCATCTAACTATATTGTTTCAAAGGTCAAACACCCTGGAGCAGACCCCGGACAATGGGAAGCCGAATGATGTGATGAAGAATCCTGAGGTGTCTATCAAAGGAAGCCTTGATAAGATGTGAATTTCAACACATCAGTACGCTACACTTGAGGTCTAACTATATTTTTCTCAAAGGTCGGACACGCTGGAACACGTTCTCGAAGTCCTTAAAGGATCAACGATCGCAAAAGAACGTGGAAAGGACGACACTTCAAAGTTTTGGGCGACGTACAAGAAAGTTTCAACTGAATACGACGATGACTTCCTCGGGCAGGCCAATGATGATATGGACATTATTCTGACTTTTGTACGTTTTTTTCCATGACTTGCGATACAAGTCTCACAGGCGTATTAGGCTGGTCTTTTCTCAGCTGTCAATTCCACCTTCCTCGTCGGGATGCAGCCCAATCCAGGAGACACCACCAATGCTCTCCTCCTGTATTTAATCCAATTAAATGTTAGCGGACAGAATTCCCTACCTAACGTTGACACTCTTTCCTCAACTACGCGATTTGATCCATCCACGGTCTGGACGCAAGCGCTTGCTTATGCTAGCCTCACATTTAGCGTCTTGGCCGCGTTCGGAGCTGTCTTGGGGAAACAATGGCTAAACTCTTACAAGGTAGCTCGGGAAGGACGGACTATTGAAGAGCGCGGCATCGAGAGGCAGATGAAGCTAGACGGAGTAGAAGAATTCCGCCTGGAGTTCTTCTTACGGACATTCCTGGGGATGCTCCAAATTTCACTGCTGCTCTTCGCCCTCTCGCTCAGCGCCCGCATGTGGCTCCAACAAACCACGATATCCAGCGTCATCATCAGCGTCACAGCCACCGGTTTCCTGTTCTATATCGGCACTATCGTCCTGTCGGTGTTGCGTCCGGACAGTCCTTTCCATACAACAACCTCGGATTTACTGGTAGCTATCTGCCGAAAGTTTCTTCCAGACAGATCCCTATTCACTTCTAAGATATTCGGCAAATCGTCCGCCATTCGTTGGATGCTGGAGATATCGACAAACCCAGACATTGTCGAGACCGCAGCTACGATTGTACCCTCCGTGCAATGGCCCCGGAACCATAATGTTTCAGCAACCTTCGCACGTTTGCGTGATCATTTTGTGACGTGTGAGGACAAGGAAGAGCTATATGTGAAGTTCGGCAAAGCCGTGGCCCATCTCTACATGCAGCCGGTGAAAATCAAGAAGGAGCTTTTGGAGTTTCAGTGGAATGATAAATTTCAAGGAACCCGATGGCGTTTCATTCGCGATGCTTTCGCGGCTGGACGGGCTGCCTACGATCAGCTCAAGGATTCAGAGAAAGAAGAGGATGAGAAGAAGCATCGGGCCGATACGCGCACAGCTCTTAGAACAATGGTTGTCCACGGACTGGACGCACAGTTTTCACGTCCGGACGATGAACGCTTGATTTGGAATGGTGATCTGCGCTGTTCTCAAAGCGACGAGCGCGTGCCCAGCGATAATTTCGATTGGCTTATCGATTATCTGGCTGATGGTGCAGAACCTCGCACAGATGGCACAGATGGACCAGACGATGAAACAGAAGGTGACGCTTTGCTTGCACTGAGCGCCATGCGTGGACTTGGGAGCCCTACCAAGAAACTGTCCTACATCAAGTCGCTCATCCGCTGTATGCACTCCACCAGACCTTCCCGAGTCCGACACGCCGCGCTTAGAGCTGTTTTTGAAGCTCGAGAAGAATTAGCTTCTATGACAATTGCCTCGATGCCAGAGGGCGTCGACGCACAACTCCTGGATGAACTTTCCCGCGCTCTCTTAACTGCTGTACGTCCAAATGCCAACAAGAGAATCCACGACACTGGACCCGACGCCTCTTTCAACCAAGCTCGAGACAAATGCTACCTCCACCTCCTCTATTTCCTGACAAAGAACGACGAGTGGAAACGTCTGACTCGTGATGGTCATCTCGCACAGTGCATTCTTCTGATCGACCATGTTTGTCATGAGCGTTTTTCGGAAGTCGCATTCTACCTTCTTGTGATCTTCGGGCGCATCAAGTCCTGGGGCAAGGTTCTTCCTTTCAGCCCTGTCCAGAAGACATGGCAGTTGCTCGTCACAGACGCATGGGACAACGCGCAATATCTCAAAGAAGAAGACGACTATGTCGATGGAATATCAGCCTTGGTGACAGCGACGAGGCTGAATTTAACAGCCTCGTATGATAGTATTCCGATGAAGTGGTTCGCAGATCTCGCTGCAAAGGTGCATGAAGCTTTGGTCAAATGGCAGAAGAAACAAGCGGTCCTTGTGGATGATGATGCAGCTCGGGCCAAATTCGACGCTGCAATATCCGATGTGCAGAGCCTGTACGACGAGCTGAGTCATATTGTCAAGCAACGGAGCACACCGCAACACTTCCGAGAAAAGAGCTTCGGGATCGAGAAAGACATGCATTAGTAGCGAGGTACTTTTACGTGTTTGTTACGTACGTTCATATGCTTAGATCAATACCTGGTTCATGAAATGAATGAGATTTACTTACGGTAATGGCTATAGGAACTTTTTACTTACATTGTGTTCATTGTCACATCAGCGGGACGTATTGCGCTACAGTGTTACAGGGTGCTTCAAAGTGCTACAAAGCACTCCGTAGCAAATTATGTTTTCCCGATGCGTGTTCATTACAATTGTAGTTCTATTTTATCAAGAAGTCAGCGAGTTTCGCGCCGCCATTACACTGAGCGCTGACTGTCACTTAGTACGTGCAAGTAGCGGCAAGGTACACAGTCATGGTGAACACAGCCAGTTCCGGAGTGCGAAGGACTTGAGGATTTTGAAAGCCTATAACATGCACAAGACAAGAACAGGTAAGCTTTTGTCATCATGTGTGAATCAGCTTATTTTCCGATGACGACGTGAGTTAGTAACTACAGTGTTGTTGGCAGAACTCGGGGGTGATCTGGTTGTGCCCAACCACGTAGACTATTACCCCGAGAATCCGCTTTTGATCCAAACTCAAACCTAGTTTTAAAAGTCTGTGACAAACTCCTAGGCATCGAGACTCACGAGATATGATAACACAGATGGGTTTGAATTCAATAGAGCGCGAAAACCAACCCTCGGCTTACTAAAGTAGGATGGTGCCGGTGGCTAAGCAAATGGCCTTCATTAGTTGTGGTGGAAAAATCAACTCCGAAACTTACTCGCTCAAGGTCTTTGTTGTGATAATCTTTCAATTGTAGGGCACAGGCTGTCGAGATCGCACATGATCTTGGGGTATCCTTCGCATGGGCACCTTTCTCCCGACCGACATGAATTGCGATGCAGATATGACCTTCTTGCAAGTCCAGAAAGTATCTCGTGCGACGACATTGCCACTGAACTTGCAGTTCTCGAAAAGTTGAAAAGAACCGAAGAGGTTTACGGTATTGACGAAGCTGAAGCGCTGAAGCGCCAGAGGGAAATGATCCGGCGAGTGGTAGTTTACATGATGTAAAGCCCTAGATCGTGACCAGCCTACCCATGGATGCTCGAGTGGCGTATGCCAGCAGCCAAACATACTGGTGTATCCCTCGTGTATGCGTTGTTCGATAACGCCACGCATAGGTGCAACGCCTGTTCCTGGACCCACACATACCACTGGAATGTTTAGATCCGTAGGAAGGGAAATGAAGCCCTTTCTGAGACCGATACAAAGGGTATCTCCTGGACATGATATGAGTTCAGGGACTATGCTAGAACGCCGTGCGGACCTGAATTAAGCCCTGAAAGATAACTAGTACATACGCCTTTCCGAGGAACTTTCAACTTCGTGCGATAGCGCACTATAGCGACACAGAGATGTATTTCATGGGGATGGAGCTGACGAAACACAGAAGTGAATTTTGGTTTGCAGTGAAGGCGATCTAAGTCAAGCTCACCTTGATCGAACTAGCAATTGAAAACTCTCTTGGTCTCAATGGAGGGAACAAGTCAAAGACATACCCTCTCGGTATCCTTGCGGACAGGAACTCGGACAATACTTCCCAGATCGTGCGTTTGACGCGTTGACAATAATCATACATTTCGTCCTGCACGTCCTCAATAAACCAAACAAAATGGAGGAAACCCAACGTACCGCTCCTTCTATCGATACGAATTCATCGAGTTTTTCGCGTTCGAGCTCATCAGTAGCAAAATATCGCAGCAGTTGGAAAAAAGAGCGGCGGGGCACAGCATTGAAATCGAGATAGCGGGTGAATAGGATTCGGAGGGAAATGATTTTCGGTAGATGGTCGGGCAACGTTTGATCTGAAAGATGTTAGATGTGGTTTACTAGGGACCTGTTCTGTCGCACCTAACATTGTATGTTCTACTGTGAAAAAGTCATCGGCATCATTTGCCCAGCCCATGGTGACAAGGAAAGAGTCGACTTCTGATGCAGCCGCAGATGGATGAATCACAGCAACATCTCCAGGATTATACCTGAAATTTCCCGTTAGTAACCGCGAATTCAAAAGACAAAGCCCATACTGTATATCGTCTTCAAAGGAGAACTCAAAATGGCGTACGTCCTGAAACCAATCTTCCGCAGTGATCCGTCTGTTGCATTTCACCGAAGCTGTATGAAATTTCATGTCCTCATCTAGAGGATCTGGATTCAGGGAGCTATCGGATGTCACATTGCTCAAGGATACGCGAGGTGGTGGTAGACCAGCAGGAATATTATCTTGCTCGTGCGGTAGTGGGTAGAGCCGTGTGAGGACATCTAGGAGACCTTCGATCCAAGGATCCAAAGCACCATCTACCCTGCACTTTGATCAGCTATGTTGAAACGCGGAAAACATGGGATACCCACCCCATGCGATGTTGTTCGTCTCCTTCGCCTCGTGGGCAAATCTCATAACCTCCCAAACTTTGCATCCTTCTCGATAGCTTCTTCGCCGGCCAACAGAATTTCTCGTAGGCCGTGTCTCCAAGGCCGAATACACAGAAATCCATGTCCTCGAATAGGTCGCTTGGGAGATCAGACCTCAGCAGCATGTTCCATAACGAAGTCATGGCTCTGGGTTCAGCTCCCCAGCCAGTAGTCGAAACCACGAATATGACCAAGTGTTCCGAAATCAATGTTTCCTGCACAGGACGTGAACACCATCTTAGTAAAACGATTGAGAAGCTGCCTCACTGGTGGATACACATCCATGCTCTGCACACGACAGTGAAAACAGACTTTTCGACATTCCCTCGCAATGCGATCGGCAGTCTCTTGAGCTGTACCTGTTTCCGTAGCGTAGAGAATCAAAAGTTCGCGAGACGCAGATGAATGATGGTCCTGTTCCATGATCACCGTGTGTAGACATATGTTGGACGTTTGATGGACATGAAGGCAGATTGTCAGATGGCTGTGAAAAAAAAGAACATTTGCTTCCTTGTCTCAAGGTTTGACCACAGGAGACTAGAAGTCACTAGATAACTATAGGTTGAACTCGACAAAAGCACCTATTAGTAGCCGAAAGATCCGATGGCAAGTCGGGCCGGCCGATTTCCCCACAATTCGGTAAAAGCGTTGCAATGTTGCACTACACTATCTGCCATCATGATGTCCAAAGTTTCTACATTTCTTACAATGCAGACTCCCAAGAATCTATGCAGGAATGATCCCACTCAGCCTAAAGTCCCTGCTACTTGCCCCAACGGAGAAAGTGATAGTTCCTTCGGGTTTTGCCCACCCCTGGCGAACAACATCCCAAATAGAAAGATCGTAGCGGGACAGAGTAATCGATACAGAGGTAGTTTGGCCTGGTGATACAACGACATTCGTAAAGCCCTTAAGGACCGAAGGCGGTTCACCAGCTGAGGGTGGGTGATGGATGTATATTTGGGGAACCTAGGTGGATAACTGTCAATAATTTGGGCAAAAGGATAACGGAAGGAGCCACGTACCTCGCCACCGTATAAAGCACCAGTGTTTTGTACAGCAAAGGTAACTTCGTATGCTGGCATATGCAGCCTGTTTGTAGATGATTAGTTCGATACAATGGAATTATCATATTCATGGACAGACCAGAGAGCAGTTGTAGACCCTTCGGCAATGGGTGTTGCACCCCCGACTTCCCAATTCTGAACCAGGTCCATTTGTGCGTAGTTGGCGGGGTTAACTTTCGTGATGGCAAGGTCAGAGTACTCGAAAGTCGTGTAACTCAATCCGAAGCCAAACTCATAACGAGGTGTGATGTTTTGCTGTGGACGGTCAATATTGGCTAAACCTGCGGAAAGTACAGAAGTACTTACTGCATCGAACCAGCGGTAGTCAATGAAGAGACCTTCAGTGTAGTTTATGGACAAGATATCTGCTGCAGTACCACCCGTTACAAGCTGGGCAGGATAGTCCGTGGGGCTCTTCGCAATGGTATATGGTAGTTTCCCAGATGGGTTCCAGGCACCGTAAAGAATGTCAGCGATGGCGTTGCCAGCCTCGTTGCCGCCAAGATTAGCCCAAACAATCTGTACATCAGATGTCAGCATATGTGTGCAAGCGATTTGATCCAGCACCCACGGCAGTGACGTTTGGATGATCGACCCAAGGTTCGATGATCAAAGGACCAACAGAATTGGTGACCACGATAGTGTTGTTATTTTGAGCAGCGACAGCAAGAATGAGCTGGTCACCCTGATGCCATGCAGTCAAATTCTTCCTATCACCCGCATTTCCATCGACAGTAATGTAACCCTAAGAAGCGTTATGTTCAAGTAAGTCGTCAGGACCAAAATCAAGGTTGGACGACCCACTTCACCCGAGTCGGAGTTAACAAAAACAATGGCGGCTTCCATGCCAATAACGGAGTTGCCTGCCTTGGCGAGGTCCCAGTCATCAAAGTCCCAGAAAACACTGGTCTGATCCACTCGAGCGCGTGCCTGAATGGCTTCGTAGGGCTGAAAGGCCGGGACAATCGTTAAACAGAGTAATTAGGCAAAAGTTGAGATACTCACGGAGATAAGATACGTGAAATTGTCGGTTCTTACATGCAGAAGCGCTTGAGAAATGTTGTAATGTACGGAAGGCTGCCACTTACCCAGAACCCCAGCCCATCGCAAGGATGCCACTTGGATCGCCACCTTGGTCGGTGTACTCGTTTGGACCCGAAACTGGCGGAGCAGCATCACTACCAACTAAGACGATGCTCTTCGGCTTGCACAGAGGGAGTGCGCCTTCATTCTTTAGAAGAACTGTACCAGCGGCACCAATCTCGCGTACAATTAGATAATGATCACTTTGCGCGTTGACCTCCCGATTAAGAGGGTTGTAGAGATCGAACGAAGAAACAGTGACATTTGGGTAGCCTTCGTCCTGGTGCAAGAAGTACCATGCAGCAATGATCCGCGTCGCCATATCGTCAAGCCGCTGTATAGATATAGTGTCGTTCATAACGAAGTCGGTGAGATTCTGACCGAAGTAAGACGTCCCTGAACCGAGGGTTATGTCTCCGGGCATCGACATCTAATGACATCAGATCAGTGTTCTGAGGCATAATCGACTCTACACTTACATCGAGACCGGCAACGGGGGAAAGGGTTTCCATCGTCGCAGACCAATCAGATTGGATAACTGGACATGCTCATACAGCTCAGGGGCTATTGATCCAAAATACCAAGTTTGACTCACAGCCTTGAAAGCCAAACTCGCGTTTCATTATGTCGTTGAGGGTCTTGTTGTTATTACAAGCATAAGTGTCATTAATCAAGTCTGAAAGTTTGGTCGCATGAGGCACTGACAATTCAATTTTGGAGACACTCACTATAACTGCACATAACCGACGAGACACCCGCCATTACAGAGCGCATAAAAGGATGGGCGTAAATTTCATGTTGGGTACGATCATCGACATTGGAAGACTCCTGTGTGCGCTTCCATTCTTGTTCGCTAGATAACAAGGTTAGCCTGGTAAAATGACATGTCTGAATCGCACTTGTTGATGTAGTGTTTAGCCGTGGCCTGGACACCACCAGATTGCAGGCCCAGGATCGTTTCATAGGCGGCTTCTCCAGATAGAAACGGGTCAGCACCGAATCCCTCCCAGTTGCGTCCACCTTGAGCGATGCGGCCCATGTTCATCATGGGTCCCAGAGCGACATTGACACCTTTCATTCGGTGCTCTTGACCCATCGCGAAACCCCGGGCGCGCATGAGAGCACGATTCCATCTGCATTACTATATATCATTCCAGGTGAAAGAATTTTACATTTAAGACTTACGTAGAAGCGGTGGTGATACCAGCGGGGAACGAAGTGACGAAGTCAGTATCCCGGACTCCGAGCGGTGAATCCTAGAGCAGGAGATGTGCCAGAAGATTGAACACTCGTCAAAAATAAACATACGATTCACTGACTTGAAGACACAACCCAGGAAAGTTTCCAACAGGAGGAGTGTTTCCAACACAGAGACCATTACCCCAGCCAACGCCTGTGGTGATGTTGACTTTTTGCTGGATAGTGAAGTTGGATATCTGTACGCAAAATCAGATAATCATATCATGAAGTGGATTTGCTCGTCATACCATAGACACTGCCTTCGTGTAAGCGGCTGCCCAAGCTGGAGCAAAGTCAGGCACAACCATGGGGTCTGCACTAACAGGAGGGGGATATAAAGGATCGGTTGCAGGGAAAATCGGTGGCTCTGGCGCAAGCGTTGGAGTTGGAAACGGACTGAAAGAGTAATGTGAGATGGGCAAAGTCAAAGGACCAGTCTCAGTGGCAAGGTAGGAAGTCATCGAAGACGTTGACACAGATGTTGCGACACCACTAGTCGACATGTTCACGCTGCTCATTAAGCTCATGCTACTCGTGACAGGGGTGCTGCTATTGGATGCAGAAGTCGTCGGGATCGTGACCGAGGAATTCGACGCGACCGCATACGACACAAGTAGCAGCACGAACGAGCTTGGAACCATCCTGGAGGATGCGTACGGGGAAGGGATATACAGATGAATTCGCTAACGAAATGCATTGCTGCTGCTGATTATAACTGGCAGTGGTCTGATGGATTAAATTAGCTCTTTGCAATGAACGAACCTAAGAATAAGTATTCACAATTTCACATCGGAATCGCACAAGCTTTACCCCAGATTCTAGGGAAATAGCCATAAATTTGTTAGAGATCCACTGCAAAACTAGAGGTCACGACTCACTTCAAAATTTTATCCTTCACTTCAATAGACAACCTTGAGCTATGTATACCCCTTCATGGGAGAGGCTCTCCGCACATGACTCCAAAACCGCCGTTGAAACACCGCGCGCCACGCGTTCTCTGGTCTGTTGATCAATCGATCACGTCCTGCTGATTCTTTACGTCCATTTCCAGCTAGAATCGTTATTCGGCCGGCCTCTAAACCAGAAGTTTGTCGCTCTGTGTTGCTGCGTCTGCGCCATCATGTCCTTCAATCAGGCCTGGTAACCCCGATCTGATCGCGAATAGCGCATCATCGACCGTGGGGACTATTCATGGTCATACAGGTAAACTTAGGTGACACCGGTGGTTTGATGGATTCCTCGAGGTGGAGTGGAGGAAACTCGGGAGGTGATGACATCGACAACTGGCAGTATTTCGCACGACGCAATGACAATTCATTGTACTCGATGACAAGGATTCACATGCCAGTGAATGTTCGGGAATGACTGAAATCTAGATATCACATGGTCACTGGAACGTCCGACCTGACGCACTTGTGGAGCATAGCTCATATATCTTTGGGGACCGAGTGCACGAAGATATCAAACAGATGCGATCCTCGGGGTGCGTATGCATTCTTGTACAGATCGTCGGTAGCCGTTGTCGCGCGTGACTCGCATGGTAAGCTTCAAAGGCAACTACTAGTACTTGTGTTAGCCCAAGAGGCAGAATCTGCCAAGACCTTGCACGGGTGTACCATAGATAATATATCTTTCCACATGCTTGAACGATCACGGGACACTCTGAACAGGCTATAACAGTGGTTCCGCGTACATTTAACTTTGGTTGTGGAAATTGGACAGGAGGGCACGGGACGGGGGGCAGGTCCCATGTATCGATATGGTAGTTCGTGCCTGTTCGAGCATTCTTTATTCACATCAAACCGGCTCCTAGCTAACTCAGAGTCATACTCGATACCTTGACCAGTGGTGCTTCTGCAAGCACTTCTTCTGCAACTACCAATTCCATCTGCAATTGCCACTTGAGTACGGCTGGCCTATTTCGGAGAGATTTCGCACGGAGTTTGAAAATTTGCAGTTGCCGATTGTGTCGGCGGTATTCAAGTACAGACTATGTCATAGTCTTCATGCCTACGTAGTACTATATGCTATGATCGTGGCCTTGTCGTTTCGATTTCCACAATGTCCCTTACTGCGCTAGATGCACTTGAGAACCTTCTGACAGATTTTGATCCTTTAGATATATCCCAGCGCCAGAACGCTGTGGACATTTTCGCCCGACTCAATTTTCTTGCCAAAGGAACGAAACAACCACTGGCAATGATTATTCCCTTACTGCTCTCTCCCAACAAGATAGCAATCGCCGTCACACCATTGAAGCTTTTGCAAAAGATCATGTACGCTCGAAAATTTAAATCATGAATTTTACTTTTCTGCATCTGCCTTTAGGTCAATGAGTTTGTCCACTCTATCATTTACTGTCATCTGCATGTCACAAAGTATTTCCGGGATAGCCAGAACCTTTTCGTCTTCGCTGAGGCCACGGTGGTTCAACGTTGATTGTCCATGCCAGAGGTTCAGATGACTAATGATAGTACAATATCTGCGGGAAAAGCGCAGGAAATGGTATCATTGTAATGTCCTATCTGGAGTTCAGTACTCAAGTTCATGTGCTATGGGCAAACTTTCAAATTCCGTGCTTTCCCTGCCAAATCTCCCCGAGATTGACCAGTCTGCCTACGGCAAAAATCACACCATCTCAAAAAATGCCCGTAGGCAGAATGGTTACTAAGAGTCTACCCTGGGGTTATAAGTAGCCCGGAGCACACCAGCGGCTGCTAATCGCGTGCATGCCGGCAAGTCCTCATTTCTAGCCCATACAGTGGGTTTTGCCAGCCACGGTTGAATCAAGCAGTCTAAAACCACTGAAGCGCGGCTAAGGTACGACGTTGCCATATCTCGGTTTTATCGCCGCCATCATGTGAGCACTTGCCTTCGATCGCTTGATACTAATGCCTAGCTAAAGCGTCTGGTACTCTATAAATATCAGAAGTTAATTGGCCGTGAAAAAATTATTAGATCTCCCCACTCAGTGCACTACTAGCATGTTTCTGAGAACACTCGCTCGAGCTGGCGTTGCGCTATTACTGGCAGCTAGCGTATCCATAACTCGCGCCGTCTCTCTTGTCGAGAACGATCTTGATACTACCGTGACCCGGGAAACGGGACACATCGAGCTTCAATCCGAGGCTCACAGTGCAACTGGTATTCGTTTTGTCAAGAATTCAGGAATCTGTGAAACAACTCCGAATGTTAACCAAATTTCTGGTTATATCGAGGTTGGAACAAACATGTCCATGGTATATCTCCGTTCCCTGCCAGCTGCTCTGGATATAAACTGACTTGGGGCACAGTGGTTCTGGTTCTTCGAGTCTAGAAACTCACCTAAAACAGCCCCATTCACTCTATGGTAAGTTGCCGGGAAGCTGGTCGCCTAAGTATTTGAGTTAAGTCGCACCTCTGAACTGCCTTCGCAGGTTGAATGGCGGCCCTGGATGTTCTTCTATGGTCGGATTGTTCCAAGGTTAATCGGTTTAATTGCCTTCAATTGCTTCTAATTTCCTACAGAAAACGGGCCATGCCTTGTGAATGCCGACGGTAGTTCTACAGTTCTTAACCCCTACAGGTATGTCAGGATTATAGCTATTTTTATATGCTAATCCAACACGGGTTTCTACAGCTGGAACAGTGTTAGCAACAGTATGTAGCACGCAGACCTACGACTTCGTTGACCAGAACTGACTTCCTCACCCAGTGATCTACATTGACCAGCCAATTGGAACCGGGTTTTCCCACGGCGATGAAACGGTAAACAGCACGCAAAGCGCTGCGCCATTTGTATGGACTGCGTTTCAGGCTTTGTTCGAAAGCGAGCTATTCTCGAAGTATGCCAGTCGAGAGTCAGTCGCTTAACTCAAGCTATCACAAACACTTACTTACGCCGGTCTCAGGTTCATCTTTGCCACGGAGAGTTACGGTGGTCACTACGGACCCGGCTTTGTAACGTACTTCGAAAATCAAAACGCCTTAATTACTAGCGGCAAGATTAAAGCTGTTCCAATCGTTGTCAGCGCCCTGATGATCAACAAGTAAGTCGCTTTCTTGATTTACTGATGCCCCCTTGAATGAGCATTCGCAGTGGCTGGTTTGATCCGCTCATCCATTACGTCTCGTACCTGAACTATACGACAAATGCCCCCGGCTATGGAAAGCTCCGGCCAGACGGTGTACTCAAGAACATGTCTAATTTTCTTTATGGTCCAAATGGTTGCGTAGCGCAAGAGAAAGCCTGCTACGCTGCTGGAAATTCCGCTGAATCAAACAAGATTTGCCAGGTTGCTGATAAATACTGTGTGAGTAACATCAACGCTATACGTATGGACATCACTGAACTCTTTCAGATTCGAAATGTCCTCTTGCTTGCTGTGGGAGATTTCAACCAATATGATATCCGTCAAAAATCTGAAGTATTCCCCCCTGAATACTATGTAAATTATTTGAGTAAAAAGGACGTTATGAAGAAGATCGGTGCCGAGGTCGAATACGGGGAATGCCCAGACAAAATCTATAATGAATTTGCAAAGACAGGCGACGTATGTTTTTGTCCAACTTCTCTCTTCGAGTGCTAAATTTGGCTTCCTATCGAAGGACGCTAGAACATGGCTACCCCAGCTATCAGCTCTAGTCAACTCTAAGATGAAAATTTTGATTTGGGTGCGTGCCTATTTACTGCTTCATTGTCTCTTAACTTACCCGGGGAAAACAGGCCGGAGATGCTGATTTGAAGTCCGTTTTCGTGTTGTAGTGACCTTTCCTATGTTCCTGACGCTTCTCACTGACTTTAGTTGCAACTGGCTTGGGGTAGGTTATCGCATATCCTGCCGCCAACCCTGCTGAATTATTCCGGTTAATAGAGCCAAGCCGCAGTTCTAGCGATGGATTGGTATGGCAAGAAGACACTCCATAATACTCCATTCACCAATATGACGCTCAAGGGCAAGGCTGTTGCAGCCGTGCAGAACGTCGACAACTTCTCCTTTGCGTGAGTCTTTTTCATCTCAGCTTGTTAGCGAGAGATATACCTTATTATTCCATGTTTTAGACGGGTGTATAACGCAGGACACAAAGTGGTCAGTTGACTCTCCTGAGATGATGATGTCTACTGATGCTTGTTATGTCTTTGTTAGCCTGCCTTCCAGCCCAAAACAGCTTTAGAAATTTTCTCGCAGGTTATTCGTAAGGAGCAACTTCATTCTGTCTAAAGAGTGAATTTGGGAGTACACATCGTGAATTGGTTAGAAGTTTTTGTAGGAAGGTTTAGCAATAGCACACATCACTGTAACTGTGTAAGTGCCTTGATCGCACTCCGAATGACCACAGTAAGCTTTAAGCTTGAGACGTAATGGACTGAAGACTGAAACAAGGGGAAGAATTCAAACAAACATATCGCAATTGGTATAGGCTCAACTATAAGAACAGTTCGGCAGTGTATGTTATTTGATAGATTTTGAAATGGCCTCACATCTTCCATAACCGTTTCCTTCTACAAACCCATGCAAAAACGCACATAGCCATAGAATATGCACACAACAAACACATTGCTTTCATATTACCCACGAACATAGTCTGGATATTGAGGTTGATCAAACCGGTGGCCACATTTGACTGTGTGTAGAACCGTCAGGACCACAAATGCAGGTGATATTAGCAAGACGAACCAGCAAGAACAAGATGAATGCATTCTTATTAATAGCCTCCAATAGCACAGGCGCGCTGCTTTTCGGCCCCTTTTCCTCGATGAGGAGCCGTTTACCTGAAGGATTGGTTGGATCTCGTATCTTTAATGTTCTGGTGGGAAAGAACACCATATCGAGTAAGATGTAGCCAAGGATGAAGGAGGTATTGTAGGCTGCAACCCAGAGAACATATGAGATGTTTGCCTATGAATCATCTCAGCACATAAGGTTCCGCAAACCAAAACAAACAGGACGAACCATTCTTCTCGAAACTTCTAATTGAAGCCTCACGAAAGCCAGAAGCATCCACCAAACTATTGAATACGAGAGTACTTCAATGATGATCTTTGCACTCTGTCTGGGTGCTGAAGGATCAAGTTTGCTAGGTCGGTGAGAGGATGGCCTGTCGAGTAACTGCTGCTGCTTCCGGAAAAACGAAGGGGAGGGAGGAAGTATGATAGTTCCTAAGGACAAGCCGAGTATGTGGATCGAAACATAACCTAGTGGAGAGGGATTAAGAGGTGCATATCCTACGAGAGTAACAAACCATACCCGGCAAGGAGATCAAGCCCTCTTTGTTCGCAGAAATAATGTTACTCCGCGAAGCGTCGAGCAGAAAGTCCTTCATTTCTCCAGGTGACAGTACGAATTGATGCACTATTAAGCAGGCATCTGATTCAAGTTTCTTATGGACGGCCTGGCTATCACTTACACACTCCAATCCAGAGACCCAGCAGAGCGACGGGGATATGCAAGATGATGGGATGCAACAAGACCTCAATGATAGGCAAGAGCGCAAGTGTGAGGAAGAAATTCCAGTGTACGCCGTACTCTGTCACATGTTCCTGGTTGTAGCTGTTAAGCGGTGGGTGACATGAAACCTATGTAAGATCTTACAGGATATTCAGTGCCTTTCACGAGCACGACGCGAAGAATGCCTAACACAATGATGAGTATCATCTTACGGGAAACAGACTTCAGTTTAGGAAGGATCGGAGCCTGGAGGTAGGATATATCTTTGATGATCGGAATCGCAGACACCACGCCTTGGGAGAATACAAACGAGCCAACGCCGATGTCCATCTATAAATCAAATTGTGTGAAAATTGAAAAACATGATATATGTTCCAGACGCACCAAAGAAACACCATACGTCTCACACTTTGCTAGAATACGGGGGAACACTGGAAAATCAACAGCAAGAATACACAGAATTGTCATTAACATCATATGAGCACGGTAGGTGGTCAAAGCAGGTAAGGGTCTGATGAACTCAGATTGAGATGAGTGTGTTGGTGGAGTGTCTGCTCGACTTCTTCCATTTTGCGAAGCCAGCTCATCCCGACTTTCAGCCGGTAAAGGCGTGCCTCTTTCAAGAGGGGGCAGAAGGAGTAAAACAAGCATTGGTACGAGTAGTAGGAAAGACAGTGCGCCAGGAGCTTCCGCGAATAATGTCATGGACAATAACAGAGGCATGGCAAGTATTACAAACTCTGCCAAGAAATATGGGGATCCAAATGCTTGAACACGCGAACGCAGTGCTGAATGAAGGGCGATTGAGGACTGAAGATGGTCAGCTTGCTGGAGTGGAAAGACACGTAGAAATACGCACCAATGCAACGCCGCTTATCATATTTACATGAAATACTGTTGAGCCAGTCATTTCAGAGACAAAAGCCTCCTTCGAGGCCTTGTAGTCATTCATCGTGACCTGCAAGAATATGGTCAGTTGCTAATTGTGGTCTGCAACACCATATAATGTGTCGGATTGCAGCAAGCTGCAAGGTGTAGGTGCCGCCAACTTTTGAAGCGCCAACTCGTAGGGTCTATTATTTAATTTTGTTGCCTTCCTCGGCAATTTCCAGAATCTACTTGCACACGGTACAGCCGAGTGAACAAGTCTACAGCTATCGATTCTTCGTATGTAACGATAGACCAAAAATTCACTAGGTCACTTTATTTATTGTTGGAGCGACACACAGAGGAACTACTTTTGTAAGGACGTTCCCCTACAGCATCATCGTCCCTAAACAACGGAGTGCAATCGGCTATGGGTCCTCGTCGCATTCAAGATTCCAAATGAAAGTATGAAGCGTATTTCTTTTGCACGTCCTCTTCTCGCACATAAATATAATTTCTCGTGCAATGCGATTTGTGAAATATATGCAATTCATAGTAATCATACAACTGACCAGTGTACAAGCATTTGCGTTCTTATCATGTGCCTGTAGTCATTTGACTCTATGTCAGTGTTTAAACGTGACCGTTGTGACAAGGCCTTTAAATCTATGCCTTCCCCACCAAATCCAGTTGATTGTGATCACGACAAGAAGACCGCCCACAGCAACAATCGCGTAGTTCATGTTGAAGACGTCCACCGGGTATGCCGTAGGTAGGATGAATAAGACACAAACGAAAATAGTGAACTGTACGGATAATGAATATGAATGTATGATGGATGATAGAGTTGCGTACCAGAAAACTAGCAAAGTTTACTGGCCATGACCATTTTCCGAGGCGGAAAGGTCCAAAGTTTTCGATGCTAAATTCAAGAAAACAAGTTAAGTGTGGCTCAAATACATCATTGTAAATGACGAACGAGTCAGGCCAGAACACGCGAATAATGATGGGCTGCAAGTAGCTCAACATCACCGATATGGCTGCTGAGGATAAGATAGCGTTGAACTGTGAAGGCGCAAATGTTATCAGAACAAATAAACACTGTAATGAGTCGGATAGACTGACTGCAATCGCAGACCCAATGTAAGCGCATGATATGATGCATCCTATCAAGACGCTACACCATACGCCCCAGTATGGTGCTTGGAATCGGTTCAAGGACATAAATTGTTTCTTCAATGGGAATGCATTATCTCTAGCGAGCGCATAGAACAGTCTCGAACTGGCAGTAAATGTTGTAATTGCAGCCATCACTTGAGAAACCATTATCACAACCAGACACATTTGTGACAATCGGGGCCCGACTGCATCGTAGAAGAGTTGAGCGATCGGAATGGCAAACGTGGTGCCCTGAACGGAAGAGATATCCTGAACTGCGAAAAGAAGTGCAAGCAAGTACGCGAGGCCTATCAACCAAGAACCTGCGATGCTGCCAACGACAGCGAGTGGAGCCAGAATCTCCGCCCGTACAGCTTCTTCCGCTACTTGAGCTGCTGTCTCGCACCCCTCGAGCGTGTATACAGCCTATGGTAAGGTTGCGCCGTGAGTCATACAGTACAACATGTGCAGTGCCGATCCTCACTTGAAGAAACCCAAGAAGCACGACAAATCCTTGGGATTGCCAGCCGGTGAAGCTAGTCGACTAGTCAATGACTCTTTCAATCATAAAAATGGGCGAAGCTTACTTTTGAACATTCGTAAACACAAAGTCGGCAGAGTTCTGTCAGACATCATCAGATTCCGCATGAAGGAATCGGACTTGCGGTTTGATGGAACTTTACCATTACGGGTGCTTTCACAAGCAGTGTGGTGACCAAACAAACTGTGCCTCCGAGCGTCCACCAAACAAATAATGTGCTCATATGTCCTATAGCCTTCGTTCCAATAGTATTGACGATGCCAGAGAATACGTTTACGGCCCATGCGATCGCAGCGATTTCTAATCTCGTTAAACTTCTTCCTTGCCCAACTTCTGCCATGGACGAAAGGTATAGAGCGGTACTAGATGACAAATCACAGGTGCTGATTCGATGATGCAGATAACTCACCTCAAATTAGCAGAAACACCAGTAAATACCATGGCCATGGAATAAAGCCAGCCAGTAAAGACTAATAATTCATTTAGGCGCTACTCGGAGGATGGACATCAAGACTTACAGCCAAGGATGGGTACGTCTGGTTTCATCTTGCAAACCCAGAAGTAGAGTCCTCCCATTGTTGGGCTATACAACAACCTAAGACGTAGGCTCTGACAGAACATGAAATGCTTACTATGCACTGCAAATCTCTGCAAAGCTGAACGCGATCAGCAGCATAAAAAAACTGCAAATCTGGATAGAACAGGAGTTATTGTCATATTCATGGGGTTTAAGCGTCAAACTCACATTCCATCCCCAAAACAGACCCAGCGGGCCTCCAGAGAACAACCCTGTCTGAAGGGCGCTACTCATTCCATTTAAAATGCCGATGGAACAGAACGATATCCCAAGCACTCCGAAGAGAGACATCTCGCGGCGGAATTCAGGTCTGTACCCCAGGTCTAGAAGGCGTTGGTCGGATATGGTAACATTGTATGCTTCTTCCTTGACCTTTACCTCACTGGAGGGACTTTCTGGCTCGCCCATAGTGGATGTGAGACACGCTAATAATTATGATTAGAAATAATCAACGTTATATGGAATGAGATAAAGCAGAGATAAGGTGAGAGCTCAGTTCCAGATTCAGGTCTATACTCAGGTCCGGAAGGCGTTGGTGGGATAGGCAGCATCGTGTACCTCTGCCTTGGCATTGAACTCTCTCCTGTAGTGGAGTAAGCACATTGTGACTTGACTATGGTCACCGGAGGTGTCTACATTAACAGTCAATATTAGAATACATCAACGGGTAACTTGAACAGGTCAGGCTCACTGAGAGAAAGTGGATCTGATAAGACAAGCAGCTTGCTCGCTGTTGCTATGTAGTAACTAGCGTTTGCTTTTGGACAGTAGACGCCAGGAAATATGGCCGCCATAATGTATTAAATAAACGGATGTGCTTGAGCCTTGAAATTGACGGCAAAACCCCGAAGGAAACAATATTAGTTCAACACCAGAAGCGCTGGCTATGACAATGTCTCTATCTGTGCGGTTGAGTCAGTTGCGGCAGGAAATGTTATAGACGAGGGACCTGTGATTTACAATTCCCTAATGTGTGCCGCTTGTGCACATATCGTCGGCCATCATTGCTGCCAGCAGGCAGTATAATCCCTCGTCTGCAGTCGATGAAAATGAAGCTCACACTTGTCCGAGTTCCTGGCCTGAGAGAGGTGAGAAGGATCGATGGCTTCGTCGATGTCGGTTGATCGCTTCACAGATTTTGAAAAGTCATGAGTATGGCCGGGCTCGCACTGCATTTGAACCTTCGTACAAGTGAATCATCAATGACTCTTAAGCAAGATACAATACAACGTTTGAGGTCCATGATGTGAGGTGCCAACTTGGGTAGCCATTCAAGTTGGTTCAAGCTGCCGGTGGCTGGAGTCTAATGAGGCAATTGAACGGGCACGCTTGCTGATGATCGATGACCTCCGAGTCTTGGATCAACATAATTCGACATGCCAAGTTCACCTTCTCCATTGATACGGAGCTGTTAGCCTTGTTCGAGTCAGGCTGGAGACCCACGACTGGTCAGTGGTCACATGGGCCTTTTCAGGATCCGATTAGGTGAGAGTAACAGCGCACGTTGAACTCATTTCCTCGGCAGGTTAACTGATTGAAAATAGGCAAAGTGCTCATCTCCGCCGCAGCGTGTGCTAATAATGGCACTGTGACTGATTGACATGGTGCAAACACGCGTTCCATGATCCTTACATTCCAATCGATTGGACATGTAGTATATCAGGATAAATCCTCTTCTGTGCATCACCTGCGCAGCTACCATGCTCATCCATTGATATTCCTGGACACCTGCACATGCAAGTCACCTTTATAAACATCCTCTTGTCGCCTCTCGTCATCCAACATTCCCTCCCACTCACACTGTCGAACGACGCGGCGTGGTCCCGCATCTATTCTATTCTAATACCCTCATTTTGCTAGATCCACCTTCCAACCGGTCCAACAGGTTGAACCATTCCAAGCATGGAAGCCACAACACAATCAGCATCAAGCACCTCTCCCTCCATGAACGCCTTCCAACTGGTATTCCACATCGATATCTTCCTTCTTGCACTTGCGGGGGTGTTCGCCCTGTTAGCGCTCCCTCGTGCTATTGCACGCTTCTCCCGCGCTGCAGAATGGCGCCATGGACATATCCTCCGTGCCATCCCTCTCGAGCGCCGAGTGCCAAAGCCCCACATGCGTTCCGTACAACCTCCCTCAGCTGGCCCCTCCGCGGCAGCCGACAACCTTACGTCGGAAGAATCTCACACTTTACATTCCGAAGCACATCTCATTCGACACCCAGCAGCAAAGGAAGAAGGCTGGTCACTCCCACCGCATGTTCGCGCATGGTCCTCGCGCTCCCCAACTTTCGCTAATATCTTGAGGTACAGACTGGACGCGGGCTTCTCTCTGGGTCAAGCACTGGTCCTGGTGATCTATTTTGCGGTTCTAGTCTACGCTGGATTCCTAGAGTCAAACCCATTTGCGGAGCCGTTGCGGACTGGATTCGTAGCGATGTCACAGATTCCTGTCGTCTTTCTGTTGGCAACAAAAAATAATATATTGGGTATGTTTCTTGGTCTCGGGTATGAGAAGGTCGGTGATTGCAATCCTTTGAGTTAACTCTTACGAACTCTCTACAGCTCAATTACATTCATAGGTTCGCGGGAACGCTCCTTGTGATCGCTTCCAACTTGCATTCGCTTGGTTACAGTGAGTTTGAGAAGGGCGTAATTGCTCAGTGCTGATGTCTCTGGTCGTTCTTATTCTAGTTTATCATTGGACGACAAACCACACATTTACTGAAAACATTCGCGTGCCAGCACGTTTATGGGGCGTTGTTGCGCTCATCGCTGTAGATCTACTATACCTATTTTCAATTCCATTCTTCAGACGACGGGCATACAATCTGTTCTACTACTCGCATGTCATATTCTTCATTCTCTTTCTTCCAAGTGTGAGCCCAAATTGTCTTCATGCCATGTTGCCAGCTTCTCACAATGACATATACAGCTTCACGCTCATCAATCTGGTGTCTGGCCATATGTCATTGCCGCTGGCGGTATTATCGGCCTCGACTACCTCATTCGACTTATGAAAACACGCATATTCAATGCACGCATACGTCCTATTCCAGATCTCATGTTCACACGTATCGAGGTTCCCCAGCTCAATGCTGGTTGGAGGGCAGGACAACACGTACGCCTCCGCGTGCTCTCCTCCGCCATGGGATGGTTCGGCTGGGCAGAGAGTCACCCATTTACCATTGCTACCGCTGCGAAGACACCTGAAGGCATGGTGTTGTTGTGTAAGAAGACTGGTGGGTGGACGGGGAGATTGTATGATATGGCAAAAGCTGCGGGGTATGGATCAGACGAAGGCACGTATGGGAGGACGGTGCAAGTTATGATCGAAGGACCATATGGTAAGTGAAGACAGGCGTTTTATTAATGGTTATTCATTAGTCGTGCAGGCGGGCCAGGTCATTGCGTGTTTGCGAGCTACTCCGCCGCGATATTTATGGTTGGCGGAAGTGGGATTACCTTTGCCCTCTCAGCTGTACAGGACATCATACAAGTAAGCCAGATTGAGCATTTTTAACTTCCTGTTTTCCGACCCCTGCTGCTAGAGAGACTCGGAAGGTGCGAGTCGAGTAAAAGTTATAGAAGTCATTTGGAGTGTTCAAGATTCTGGTCTGTATCGTTATCGTATCAACTGAACGATTCGTTTCTCATACCCACTAGCCTCCCTTACTCCATTTGTCCCTCAACTAGCGGCGCTTATCCAACAAAGCATCTACACGCCACTCAAAATATCTGTCCACTACACACGCGCATGCGAGAAACCCCCCGGGAAGGATTTCCTCCCACCAGGGCTTACGCTCACCGCAGGACGTCCAAAGATAGCCAAAGTCCTTGACGCAGTGATATCGCGTGCGGTATCTTACGGATCTAATGTCAAGGCCAGTATGGATATCACAGGTGTCGTGGTTGGCGTGTGCGGCCCAACAGGTTTGGGTGATGATGTCGCGCACGTAATTTCTCAAGTAGATGCTGGAAGACGCTGGGCCGTCGGCGGAATTGAAATGCATGAGGAGTAAGCGTTCGCTTAATCTCAGTGCGTTATTGTCTCATAATTTTCGAACAGGGTGTTTGGGTGGTAGGCTCTGCGGCTCTTCTGCGGCGTTACTGGAAGAATATTGGGGGTATAACATATTTAATCACCGACTGCCCAGCGCAGTGTATCTCAGCGAGACAAATTCATATCGAGCAACACCACACTCCGCCGATACTTGCAAGCAAGTGAATTTATTTCTTTTTATCTAATTTGAGCGAGACGGATCACGTACTTACATAGTTGATTGAGATCTTTGGTTTGGGGTGGGATGACCGATCACTAGTCACAAACCGGAGAATTAATTGCATCCGGTGCTGCGGAGCACTGATGGCAACTCTATTATACTCAGTTGTGTTCCGTGCCAAATCAGTTCACTTCGATGCTTGGATTGTAACTTTGGTCGTGTTTCTTTACGTCTGGACGGTAGCAACATAACATGATCGTTGTGCTCGTGCGGAGCGGCATTTAATAAACGCGATTGATGTTAGCAGAAACGTATATGTTATGTTGCACATCGACGCAGGAAGGCGGGTCGCAACTTAAGACCTAAATGAATGAATTTGATGACCGTACCGTAACGCGATTCATTGAGTAATGAAAGCACCAGGCCTACTGAGGCTTACGTGACACATGACTGGTTAATTTGATCAATGTATCTGATGGTCTAGGTAAAAGCATTATAATGCTGACTATTAGGCAGGAGCCGGAGGTGCATCAGGTAAGATCCTATATGAAGAAATGGATGAGCTTGCAGGTACAGCAGAGGAAGATAAAGCGCACTTACATGAAGAATGAAAACGCGAAAGCTGATGTGAAAGAAAGCACGATAGACATGAATAAGGATTAGAGCAGTTAGTAGTCAGTTCCCAAGTTTGTTTAACTACATCTGTGTGTTCACCATACTGAGCGTCCTTCCTCTGCCCTACCCAGCACCACTTCCAGACCCAAAGTATATTCCTCCCCATTTCACTCAAAGACCAACTCTTGGGTTGCTATTCCCTTGCCCTTCTCACATATGCCTTTCATCACGCTAGCTTTCCCACAAGCAGGCACTGGAGCATGAAGGTGCGCATAAGTGAGGTAAGACTCGGGTACTACAATGGTTGGCGCCACAATAATGGGGGTGGCTGGTGGTGGCAGTGCAGCGTAAGCCTGTGACAGATCCTGGCAATCCTCATCATTTGACCTCAAAGAGAGAGATGGACTATGCGGGCGGGGTGGTAGACACATGGGCAAGGATGTTGATACTAGACAGCGTTAGTCCCCAGTCAGATAGAACGGACTGATATTGGCAAATACCTAGACAGTGTTAGTCTAGGAATGACAAGTAAGTTATGTATGTATGGTGTGATAACGAAGAGCGGCTTACCCTCAGTCAGATAGAATGGACTGAGGGAAGGAGGGAATGAGGCATGAGATATATATATACATAGTCCGTGTTGGTATTCCAACTATCAACTCCGCCAAGCGTGATTTGTATCGTATAAGGCATACTGGCATCAATACTCCTCCTCGATTGCATTATTGGAGGCCAAGGCATGATCTAAGGTGCTTGAAATCTTTTCGTGGTAAGGGTTTGGTAAATATGTCGGTGGTGTTTTCCTTTGATTTCACATAGTGCAGTTTGAGACGACCTTGTTCAATGTGCTGTTGAATGGAGTGATGCTTGATATCGATTTGTTTGACGCGCGCATGGAATGATGAGTCTTCGGTTAGAATGATACTGCCATTATTGTCGCAAAGTAAGTGAGTAGCAGAAAGCTGTGGGAAATTGAGTTCTTTGAGCAGGGTACGCAACCACTTGAGTTTGGATGCTGCTTCGGAGGTGGCGACATATTCAGCTTCGCAGGTGGAGAGAGAAACAGTCTTCTGCTGACATGCACTCCAGGTGATCATACCACTGCCTAGGGTGCAGCAGTAACCGCTGACTGATCGGCGTGTATCAACACAATTCGCCAGATCACTGTCAGTGTAGCCAAGTAAGCGTGCAGTGTGCTCCCCTCCAAGAACAAGCGCAGTATCCCGTGAACCTTTCAAATAGTGTACAACATGCTTCACAGCTTCCCAATGGACACGACCATAGCAGTCCAAAATTTGCATAGTTGCTGAACTGCGTATGCGATATCCGGACGAGTGCCGATCACCAAGTACATTAATGAGCCAACGAGGGAGCAATAAGGGGTGTGGGCCATTAGCTCACGTTCTGCATCAGAGGAAGGTGCGTGATATTTGCGCGACAATTGGAGACCAGGTTCCATGGGTGTAGAGACAGGTACGGCATCTTTCAGACCAAATTGTTTGACAATTCGATTGATAAGGGCACCCTGAGAGAGACTGACTGTGCGAGCAGCGCGGTCACGTTCAATAGTGATTCCCAGACAGAATTGGGCAGCGCCAAGATCAGAGACAGTCCACTTAGTATGGAGCTGTTCCTTAAAGCCAGAGATCACTGCCTTGGAACTCCCGATAGTGAAAAAATCGTCAACATGAATTGCAACGGGTAGGATGCCAGCATCGGTGCGATGGTAATAGATGCAGTGTTCGCACTTAAGTTGGGTGAATCCCCAGGAGAGCATTGCCTGATTCATAGTGTGATTCCATACCAGTCCGCCCTGCTTCATACCATAAAGGCCCCATTGAAGTTCCCAGACGTGGTCTTCAAAACCGGGCTCTATGAAACCTTCAGGTTGTTCCATATAGCATACTTCGTCTGGATCAAGGAGACCATAGAGGAAAGCCATTTTAATATTGAGTTGATCGATTTCCCAATCAAGTGCGGCGCCCAAGTGTGCGAGGACTCGGAAAGATTCTAGCCGGGCGGTGGGAGCAGATGCTTTCATATAGTCTTGACCCCAAACGGCAGAATACCCACGACAGACATATCTAGCTTTAAAGCGGGCAGGCGCACCATGTTGATCACGTTTTAGTTTAAAGACTGGGTGTCCCTTCATAATCTTTCGTCCATGAGGCATGGAGAGCCGGGGCATGAGCTTGTACACACCAAGTTTGCGAAGTGAGGAGAACTCCTCCTGCAGGGCTGAAGTCCAGGCAGCAGCATCGGCAGATGCCATGGCTTCGGAATAGGTCGATGGATCATTGGGGTGCTCGTTGTCGAGATGATCTGGCATGGCTGAAAAAAGTTCAGCAAGGTGGGCGAGTTCTCCCTCTGACACCATTGCGGCTAGGACATCTTCATCGGGCAGGCAAGAGGGCATTGGCTTGAGTGCATGCAGACGATCAGCTACAGCCATGGAGGCAAGGATCGCACGCTGAGTTGCGGAGGTATATGGTAGGTCATTGGCAGCCTGTAGATGCTCGGATGGAGCAGGTACCCAGGAAGACCGACGAGGTAAGATGGGAGGGGGGTCACCAGTGTCAGTTGTGTCAGTAACAGTTGTCCGTTGGGACAAAACTGCACCAGGCACGGGAGAGCTCTCACTAAGTGTCGGGTTACTAGCAGTGGATGGGCCAGGCGCATCAACTGGGACACTGCCGGTGGGTGGAACAACGTTAGTGTCAACAAGTGTGCCCAGAGTAACCCCCGGATGCAAGGGAATGTCACTAGCTTGGTGAGATTCGATGAAGGAAACATGGTAAGAAACAAACACTTTATGGGTTGCCTGGTGATAGCAGCGATAAGCTTTGGAGTCGAGGGAGTAGCCGATAAGGACACATTCAACTGAATGATCAAAATTTTTAGGATTGTGTCGATTTTGAATGAGGACGAAGGCGCGACAGCCAATTTCTCAGAGATGCGAAAGGTCCGGCTTACGAGCAAACCAGCGTTCAAACGGGGTGTGTCCTGACTGTGAGGCTACAGGTGTACAATTAGACAAGTAACAAGCAGTGAGAACAAACTCGTCCCAGTGATTGGGGGGCAAATCACACGCAGAACGCATAGCACAGGCCTTGCCCATAAAAGTACGATGTAGGCGTTCAACATGGCCATTCTGGGCAGACATGTATGGCGCGGTAAATTGATGTTGCATGCCGCAGTGTCTTAATAACCGAGGGTCTTATATAAAGTCATGTAAATGTAATGACACCACAATTACACTTTGGATAAGACTGCTTGCCAGTCCTCGATTAACACGGTCTACAACTTTTCCTATTTCGTGGTAGATAACGTGTGAGTTCTTGGGAGGCTCGCTAAACTAATCTTTTTATAAAGATCAACCTAGCCGGAGCTTTACTTTTCTTTATTGAAACTCAAATCTCTTGTCTAGGAACAAGCTTCTAGACACGTAATTCAGTTTCTGGGACGTATTTGCCTAGGAAATCTCCTTCTAGGCTCTGGACTTGGATACTGGAACTAGTGAGACGTGGTCTCAAATATACAAAATATGACCAAGATCGCTTGGTCTATGGACACCTGACTGTGAGACAATGGTCTCAAATATACGATATATGTTCAAGATCGCTTGAACAAAGGGGACTATAACTTGACCAAGATCGCTTGGTCTATGGGACAACTAGTGAGACGTGGTCTCAACAATATGATAGATGACTAAGATCGCTTAGTCAAAGGGCACAGAGCAATGAGACAAAGGGGTCTCAAAGACAATATATGTGACCAAGAACACTTGGTCTATAGCACTAAATAAGTTTCTAAGGTAAGAAACTTATGATCTCAAGGAAATTCTTTTCCCTGCACTTGTCTCACTTCAAAGGGACTAACTTTGCAAGTGAAATATCTGATAGGCAGATTGCTACAAATGGGAGATCATATTTTTTTTTGGGGAGAATGGGCTCTCCTTATATACATTTTGTGTGGGAAAGTAACCTAGGTTCACAAACAATAAAAAATAAGGAGGACCAATCAAAATATTGGGTCAAACCCAATAAAAGAATAAAATACAAGTGAAAGATGGAGCTATGACATCATTGTGGAGCAGAACATTCTGGAATGTGGAGTAATGACATCATAATGACATCAAGAGTGACATCATTGTGGAGCAAAAAATTCCAGAACCTTCCATGAGTGAGTCAGAGTGAGTCATTGTGGAGCAGAATATTCTAGAAGGAAATGACATCATGGATGATGTCATTGTGGAGTAGAATAATCTAGAGCTTGATGACATAATATCTTTCAACAGAATACCTGCAGGAGTATCTGTGGAGTCTTATGACATCATAATGACATCATACCCTATGGGTACAATTTTATGAAGTGTCAGGTGAGTCAAAGCATCCTAATGAAAAAGTAAAGTAAAGAAACACTAGAGAAAAGTAGGTAGCAAAAATAAGACAGTTGGCAGGAATTGAAACATGGTCTTTTTGGATAGGTTTTTTATAGGCTTTGTACTTTTCTCTATGGTTTTCTCTAGCCAAAGTGAATAAGTCAAAGGCAAGGCTATACCTTAACCTTCATTTCCCTTCTCACATCAACTAGGTCTAAATGTGATTCCCATCTCACATTAGACTTTTTCCATCAAAACATATTCAGATCATGAAACTTGGGGAAAACTGGAAATATGGACCATGGTTTGAAACCAAGGTATGGGTTGACTAGTCTGAGGACTAAGCTAACAGACTTTATCTTTTGAGGGTCACCTAGTATTCATGTCCATGCATGATTCCCACATCATGCAGGACAGCGGGTAAGGAGCCAGTCATGCATAGACGCAGATTTGAGCTTGCCGTTATCGGATCGATAAAGCCCAACCTTAAGACCAGTTTCAAGTTTGCGAGCGCACTCCCAGGCAAGGAGAGCAGGAAATGTGTCACTCTTAGCAGCAAGGGGAATGGCCCAGGAGTAGGAGGAAAAGTCATCAATAATGTCCATAATGTACCTATTCCCTGCAGCGGACATTGTATCTGGGTGATCCATCAAGTCAACATGCACAATACCAAGCTTTCTGCTAGCGCGATCCCCCACTCAAACTTTTGGAACATTAGACTTGGTCTGTTTGCCAAGAACACATGCGTCACAAATGGGTGGCTGGGCAGAAAGATCAATGGGCATACTGGTTGCATTGCCTGAACGCGCGAGGTCATATACTGCACGGTAGTGCGCATGACCTAGGCGACGGTGCCAGGATTGCAAGGTAGGCTGGCGTTGAGCGAGGTAGGCATGGTCTGCAGACAACTGACCGCCGGACAGCGCATACAGATGGTGCGAAGTAAGATTGCCCGTAAGCATGCGAGTGCCACTGCGGGCCTGAATCCAGCAGGATGAAGCATCAAATGATGCAATGCACCTGTGGGCAGCACAAATGGCAGACATGGAGACAAGACGTACAGTCGCAGCAGGGATGAAAAGGACATGGTCGAGTGTGAGATGAATTCCCTTCGCGATGATGAGGCAGATAGAGCCGATACCGACAGCTTGGATGGAGGAGCCACCAACTCCACTGACTGATCTGGGAGGTACAGGTCATAGGGAGTAGAAATTGGACTCAACATTACTGATATGCACAGAGGCACCACTGTCGAGGAAGAAAGGAACAATGGATGGGTCAACAATGGTGTGTAGACGCTGGTTGGGAGCCTTATAAGTGATGCTGGCGAAGTCGACACTCTGCGAGTTGATGCGCCAATCCACGCTGGTTTGAAAGTCACCAATGGTAGCGAATAGTGCATTGTACTCCTCATCATCAGAGCTGGAGAGCTCATTAATATACGCGGATGGGGTGGGATCAAACACAAGGCCCGCAAATTCCTGTGAAGTAGAAGGTGCGGAGGATGGTGCAGCAGAGGACATGGCCATGTAGATGGCTTCACCAGTCTCCCCGTCAAGCAGGTACGCGCTGTCCTGCATGATGTGGGAATCATGCATGGACATGAATACTAGGTGACCCTCAAAAGATAAAGTCTGTTAGCTTAGTCCTCAGACTAGTCAACCCATACCTTGGTTTCAAACCATGGTCCATATTTCCAGTTTTCCCCAAGTTTCATGATCTGAATATGTTTTGATGGAAAAAGTCTAATGTGAGATGGGAATCACATTTAGACCTAGTTGATGTGAGAAGGGAAATGAAGGTTAAGGTATAGCCTTGCCTTTGACTTATTCACTTTGGCTAGAGAAAACCATAGAGAAAAGTACAAAGCCTATAAAAAACCTATCCAAAAAGACCATGTTTCAATTCCTGCCAACTGTCTTATTTTTGCTACCTACTTTTCTCTAGTGTTTCTTTACTTTACTTTTTCATTAGGATGCTTTGACTCACCTGACACTTCATAAAATTGTACCCATAGGGTATGATGTCATTATGATGTCATAAGACTCCACAGATACTCCTGCAGGTATTCTGTTGAAAGATATTATGTCATCAAGCTCTAGATTATTCTACTCCACAATGACATCATCCATGATGTCATTTCCTTCTAGAATATTCTGCTCCACAATGACTCACTCTGACTCACTCATGGAAGGTTCTGGAATTTTTTGCTCCACAATGATGTCACTCTTGATGTCATTATGATGTCATTACTCCACATTCCAGAATGTTCTGCTCCACAATGATGTCATAGCTCCATCTTTCACTTGTATTTTATTCTTTTATTGGGTTTGACCCAATATTTTGATTGGTCCTCCTTATTTTTTATTGTTTGTGAACCTAGGTTACTTTCCCACACAAAATGTATATAAGGAGAGCCCATTCTCCCCAAAAAAAAATATGATCTCCCATTTGTAGCAATCTGCCTATCAGATATTTCACTTGCAAAGTTAGTCCCTTTGAAGTGAGACAAGTGCAGGGAAAAGAATTTCCTTGAGATCATAAGTTTCTTACCTTAGAAACTTATTTAGTGCTATAGACCAAGTGTTCTTGGTCACATATATTGTCTTTGAGACCCCTTTGTCTCATTGCTCTGTGCCCTTTGACTAAGCGATCTTAGTCATCTATCATATTGTTGAGACCACGTCTCACTAGTTGTCCCATAGACCAAGCGATCTTGGTCAAGTTATAGTCCCCTTTGTTCAAGCGATCTTGAACATATATCGTATATTTGAGACCATTGTCTCACAGTCAGGTGTCCATAGACCAAGCGATCTTGGTCATATTTTGTATATTTGAGACCACGTCTCACTAGTTCCAGTATCCAAGTCCAGAGCCTAGAAGGAGATTTCCTAGGCAAATACGTCCCAGAAACTGAATTACGTGTCTAGAAGCTTGTTCCTAGACAAGAGATTTGAGTTTCAATAAAGAAAAGTAAAGCTCCGGCTAGGTTGATCTTTATAAAAAGATTAGTTTAGCGAGCCTCCCAAGAACTCACACGTTATCTACCATGAAATAGGAAAAGTTGTAGACCGTGTTAATCGAGGACTGGCAAGCAGTCTTATCCAAAGTGTAATTGTGGTGTCATTACATTTACATGACTTTATATAAGACCCTCGGTTATTAAGACACCGCATCCCCCTTGGTTGTAGCGCAGACCGCCAGGCTTACCAGTGGCTGCAGCCTTGGGAACAGGCTTAGTGGTAAAAGAACCTCCCTTGGCAGCCGCAGTGTCACGGGCAGCACATTTTCGCGCTAGCACTTCATCGTGTTTGCCTTCCATGGCCCCACCTTTGCTGAAGCAATCTTTGGCGAGATGACCCCAGCTACTGCAAGTAGTGCAGCACGAGGAGTGACCGGCAACGTGGCATTCCGAACAGATCTTCCCCAGATGCGCATTGCGGCCGTTGGAGCCCTTGGTGGTGGAAGTGGCCATAGCCAAGTCCACAGATCCCTTCATCTTCTCCGTGTCGAGGAGCTGCTGCTCGACATCGAGACGGGAGAGAATATTGGAAGGTCCATAGACAGAGGTGGAAGTACTGGTGGAAAGTGAGTCCGTGATGTGGTTCCGGACGTGAGGCAAATTGTTGGTCATCGCGTTCAACATCATAATGGTGAGAAAATCGTCTTCCTTTGGTATCCCTATAGCATATATGCACCTGACGAGGTCGCCAATCTGAGTACTGGTGGTGGAAAGCCATCCGGAACGACAATAACGAACTGCCAGGGCTTGTTGGATAAGGAGGATTTGAGCAATTGGTCTGACTTTCTCATGGCGCGATTTGAGCGCAGTCCATGCTAGGAACGTGTTAGTGAAAGGACGGAGAAACTCTTGCTCTTCAGAGCTGGAACGAGTACGAAGCGCAGCGATAACACAGAGGTTATTGAGGTCCCAGGTGGCCGCACCTGAAAAATCAGTGACGGGATCTGGACGGGAGATGATGCCTAGAAGGTACCCTCCGCCATGCTTGAGGAGTAGGTAGTTCTGTAGTTTGTCAGACCAAACCTCCCAATTGTTCTGACTGCGATCGAGAATCTCGATCTTCTCAAGATCTGTCTGACTAAGGGTGATGGCGGTAATCAAAGAAGGCATAGCCATAGTATTAGGTGTTGCAGTTAGGGAACTCTTGGATTGAGTATGGGGTTGCGGCTTATTGGCTCTCAACATTACCAGTGGTGATGGTTCGAGAACAAGGGGGGAGAGAGACATGAGGTGCCAAAATGGGGTAGGGGAAGGACGTGCGCATATATGTGTCTGTGCGCGTGTATGCATCTGTGCGTGTGCGTGCGTCTTAGTTAGGAGTGCTTGTTAGTCCTCAGTCAGATAGAATGGACTGATATTGGCAAATACCTAGACAGTGTTAGTCTAGGAATGACAAGTAAGTTATGTATGTATGGCGTGATAACGAAGAGCGGCTTACCCTCAGTCAGATAGAACGGACTGAGGGAAGGAGGGAATGAGGCATGAGATATATATATACATAGTCCGTGTTGGTATTCCAACTATCAACTCCGCCAAGCGTGATTCGTATCGTATAAGGCACACTGGCGTCAATAAAGGATGCAGCACGAACTCATGGAGTAATTGGCAGAGCTGTTACTAGTGGAGGTCGTGTAGGTGTGGTTTTTGTGGGCGATGTCAGGCACAACATTGAAAGAGGTTGGAGTAACAGTGCACAAGCATTGAGTGATCCATTGTCGGCCTCATCATCATCATCGGTGTTATCATTACCAATGGCAGCTTGATACGATGGGGGAGGCGTCCGTGGCCTAAACATAGGGAGTTCCTGCAAGGATTGAGAGCAAGGATACATGCTTGTAGTCCGTGTGTGCACATGGAATGGAGAACAGAAGAACAGATCATCAGTTGCATTGACATCTCCCTGGCTGACACCGAGTCTCCCATCCAGAGTGATAGCTGATGTAACTTCAGGTGAATTCAGCGATGTAGGGCTTTGAGGGAAGTCAATCTTGGAGGTTCTCCTTTTGGGAGACCCTCCCTCATCGTCCCCTCCCTCATGAACAGGAAGCAACTTAGTGGGACTCTCGAGGAACGAAATGCGCAGGGGACACTTTGAAGCTGCTGTTTCTCCACCACGTTTCAAATTGATATCCCTGTATTTGCTGTGACGACCAATGTCTTTCTTAGAAACATCATCCATGCCCCACACATACATGGCTAATGGTGACCGCCTGACAGGTCTGCCCAACACAAGGCCAGTTGGAAGAATCGGTCCATTCAGCTTTGTCACAGGTGGTGTGAGTCCAGGAGGTCAATAAGGAAAATGTGCAGCAGATGGGACGGAACCATCCCATACCCTCATACCTGGGCTAGAACCCTGGACAGCAACTGAAAATAAGGTGGGCGCAAAAGCCACAGTGACTTTGATGCCCACACTCCATGTACACCTGCATGCCCTAATTTCGAGTTGCCCCTCAGACTCAGGGTCCATCAATCCACACCCAAAAGAGTTTTGTGACCATAACAGGCCCCGATGCTCCTCATGTGCATGAGTACGCACAAAAGTTAGAGCACTTCAAATTCAAGAAAGTAAGGCAATGCGAGTAGAAATTGTTATGACTTGGATGGTATCTGTTGGCGATGCTCAAACAGAGCTTGTGTCGTCAACGGTCTGTGGACGTCCTTGGGCTAGCCCAAGGTTAGGGGTCGTACTTGGCGTGTCTTCGGCAAGTACGATTTAACGCCTATGTCCAAATCGGGTAGCTTATGTCACGCGGGTGCGAGACGATAAGCTATATCGGCCTAGGCTTACGACACCCGAAGGTTAATCGTAAGGATCGTCGTTAATTAGAAGGACAGAAGTCCGACTAGTTAACAGGGGCTTTGCTCGTCGACGAAGTCGATGAGTAAAGGTCGAGACTATAGGCTTATCCGCAAAGAGCAGATAAGAAGATAGAATATAGACTGCTGGCGAGGCAGAAGGATCACTCTGGTGAGAGTAGGAGGTCAAGAACCAAGTAGATTCAAGTTAAGGAATATAGTACATGGTAGCGAGTTTATATAGAGGACAGGGAACGTATTAGTGGATGATAACTCGTACTACCGGGAGAGGCAATCGGTAAAGGGTAAGACCATAATAGGAAGGCACGTTCGATCTAGGTAGAACGTGCTGGATAAGAAAGTGAGTCAAGGATCAGAATGAGAAGTAAAACGCGCAGGGGCACGATCATGCAACTGCAGATCTAAGTATAGGTCGCATGTGCGACTGCGCACCGAGTCAGAGAACAAGAAAGGGAACAGGGCAAAGGGGATGCGTCATGCATCGTGTCATAGGTTACCGTCCGGACGGTAAGGGCAAGGGGACTGTCCGCAGGATCAGTCAGGTGGTGAAACGGAGCATGGGTATGCTTCGTCAGCGAAAGGATCCGGCCAAATGTACTGGCTTTGCTGAAGCGACAGGTAGAGGGCGAAAGGGAATGCGAGGATGACGAGGATGACAAGGGTAAGGTCGGGGTAAGGGTATGATGTGAGGGCTGATACGAGGAGGATTAGGAAAAAGATAGTAGGGGCCCAAGCGTCTAGATGTTCTTGTAACAGAAATAAGTTCCTCTGCGTTCGAAATGGACATGCACTTTGGCAGATGTGATGGTGATGAGGGGAAATGTGAGGGTAACTTCTGTGAGTGCATTGCTGATCGGTAGTTCCATGGCGCCACGGTAGTACTAGGCTTGACACATACATGCAGCATAGTTGAGGGGCTTGAATGAAAAGGACGAGTTTTTGGACAGGAAGAAATAGTTTTTGAGATGGTCGTCAAAACAGAGTCAGAATGACTGCATTGCTGAAAGCATGCACCATTCTCAGACAATCCTGGTAACATAGCTGGGAGAGGCAGAGGCAGCATTTCATCGTCCTCGGGGGTATGCAAAGATGTCTGGCTTTCATCTGACTCATCTTCCTCAGTGGCATCCGATGGCATAGCAGCAAATGTCATATCAGCATAATAGTTGCAGCCCTCATGAGTAATTCCAAAATCCTCATCGAAATTGAGCTGTCCATCATCGAAGGTGAACTCTGTTCCTGGGCGCAGGGCGCCAAAATTGTCAAAAGCGACATGGTCATCATCATCCCACACATCACCAAAAGCATCAGGTCCAAAGCCAAAGCTCTCGCATAGGAGGCTGCCATTCTCCATGCTGAACTCAAAAGTGTACACATCCAGTTCATCATATGCACTTGAGTTACAGACATGACGAATTGCGCCAAATTCGTGTGCTAAATACTTTTCAGAAATACGTCATTCTAGAATGAAATCAATCAAACCTTGTTCGTGACGAGGATATACAACGCAGTCATCGTTTTCACTCTCAAGTTCATCAAGAAATGGTGAAGGTGCATGCCATTGTCCTTGAATCTCCTCAGAGCTACGCTCCCCAAAGTCAAGAGCAACTCTTCCCTCACTTTGTGCCCTACCATGTTTGTGAATGGCACCATGCCCAGGCTGCCAGGATTTCTCGAGTTCTCTCAGCTGGGCACAAGCTCTAGTAGCCATACCACAGAGCACCCATTCAATGTACCCTGCATAATGGTTCTGATTCAAAAGGGCTGAAACAACATGTCGTCTCCAGGCATCGATAAGCATAGCACATGCATGGCAACAGAGAATTGGCAGGTCTGTTGATGATAGGAAAGCAGGGTTACAGGAGATTGGAGATTGCGGGATGGGAGAAAATGATGTATCATGGGATGTGATAGGGGGAATTGGTGGGAGGGGAGGCAGAGATGGGCAGGGTGTGGTGGGTGATGGAGGAGGGGCTGGGGGCGGAGACAAGGAATGTGGCACCAATGAGCTGAATAGTAGACAAGAACAAGTCAGCCTAGAGAAAGCGTAAGGAACATGACAACACATACAAGATCAAAGAAAACAGCAGGGAGCACTGCTTCTTATGCCTGCTCAACTTCAGAGACTTCAGGGGAGCTATGGGTGTGCTAGGGATATCCTGCAAACTGGCAGGATTGCTGCAGATACTAGCGGAGGTGGCATACTCGAAGCTGTCTCGTCGAGACTCCTGTTCAGTGCATGCTTTAACATCGTCAACAACACTCTGAAGCATCTGCATGCATTGGGAGTTCATAGGCAGCTTTTCAATGCACCCATTAACGAAGCTTACGACAACCTCCTTGGTTGGTAGATCAAACATGACTTTGATTATCCGAGTGACGAGACCAACTGAATGGTCGAACACATGGATGCTCGGGGGAGAATCGAGATGCAACACTGAGGTCAGATGGTGCAACTGGTTTGACCACGCAGGGGGGGGTAGGTAAATTAGGAAAGTGAATCGGAAAGGAGACATTGTAGTGAACAGTGCCATGTGATACGGAGGGGACAAGACGAATGAGCATGGTGGCAATTAACTGGGTGAGATATTATAAAACTGGTGTGCTCTTCGTCGTAGTCCACATCCAAGTATGCAAAAGCGAAAACGGGAAGACTCGTTGGTTTTCTGCGCTGTACGTGAGTTTACGTTAAAACTAATTTGTGGCAGGCTACTATATCACGAACTCGGGTACGTACAGGAAGTTCGGGACCGTGTCCGCTTCTGGGCCAGCCCATGTTCATGGTAAACACAGGGAAACGAAATTCACTACAGAGGGCTACAGAACGCTCTGTAGCATTTTTAGTACAACCTAGCTCGCTGATGCATTCATACTGAGTGAGCCTGCAAGGTGATTCAAAAGGTCAATTGCATAATGGTAAACTTGATTGGAGTTCGTG